ATATGGTGGTGATTGACACGCCCCTCCTGTGACTGCTATTGCCAGTGTGATATTAAATTTTGTTCAAGATGAAACGACCATTTTCATTGGCTAAAATAAGTCGTGAGGCCACAAGATAATAACTCGTGGCCACGAGATAATAAGTCGTGGCCACGAGATAATAAGTCGTGGCCACAAGATAATAACTCGTGGCCACGAGATAATATCTTGAGGCTACAAGATAATAAGTCGTGGCCACGAGATAATAAGTCGTGGCCACAAGATAATAACTCGTGGTCACGAGATAATATATTGAGGCCACAAGATAATAAGTCGCGGCCACGAGATAATAAGTCGTGGCAACGAGATAATATCTTGAGGCCTCAAGATAATAAGTCGTGGCCACGAGATAAAATAAAACTGCAAATGTCACCTCTATGCCACCGTACTGATAAGCCCAAGTATGTTAAATTTACCAGGGAAATGTAATTCTCATTATTGTGTTCCACTAAGTTATTCCAATTCTAGATATGATTATAATACAGTTAATTTTCATAAAATACCTGTAAAATGGATTGTTAAAATAAGATGGGATGAATGAGAACATTTCAAGGTAAAATCTCACTGATCTTTTCTTTTTTAAACCAAGCTACTTTAGATGTATTACTGGTATTGTTGTTTCTTTTGTATACAATTATCGTTTTAGCCTTAATGATCAATGTAAGTTTCATGTGTTGTTATATTTTTTCATATTTTTTTGGTTATATTCAGTGTTGTTATGTTTTTTCTGGTCCTTCGGGATCATTGATGCCAGCACTCATAGGTGTTGAGAATTGAGTACCGCTCCATTGGTGATAGGGGGCGTGAGGGATGTTGCACTTATTCATTATCCCTTATGTGTAGACTCAATCAAACCGAGTCTGCAATTTTCATGTAATTTTGTTGTGATTAATGCTTCCAAGGTCTGGATTGTTATAAAGCAATGAAAATGAAATTAGGATTATTCGATTATCTTGTTAAACACGTAGCCAGGTGCTTGTTCGTGCCTGAAATAATGCATGTTGGTGCACTTAAGGTCTTCCTCCACCAGTAAAGCTAAACAGTTGTCAGATCACATTGACAGTGTTGGTGCGACAGTTGTCAGATCACATTGACAATGTTGGTGCGACAGTTGTCAAAACACATTGACAGTGTTGGTGCGACAGTTGTCAGATCACATTGACAGTGTTGGTGCAACAGTTGTCAAAACACATTGACAGTGTTGGTGCGACAGTTGTCAAAACACATTGACAGTGTTGGTGCGACAGTTGCCAGATCACATTGACAGTGTTGGTGCGACAGTTTGTCAAAACACATTGACAGTGTTGGTGCGACAGTTGCCAGATCACATTGACAGTGTTGGTGCAACAGTTGTCAAAACACATTGACAGTGTTGGTGCGACAGTTGTCAGATCACATTGACAGTGTTGGTGCAACAGTTGTCAAAACACATTGACAGTGTTGGTGCGACAGTTGTCAAAAACATTGACAGTGTTGGTGCGACAGTTGCCAGATCACATTGACAGTGTTGGTGCGACAGTTGTCAAAACACATTGACAGTGTTGGTGCGACAGTTGCCAGATCACATTGACAGTGTTGGTGCGACAGTTGTCAGATCACATAGACAGTGTTGGTGCGACAGTTGTCAAAACACATTGACAGTGTTGGTGCGACAGTTGTCAAAACACATTGACAGTGTTGGTGCGACAGTTGTCAAAACACATTGACAGTGTTGTTGCGACAGTTTTCAGATCACATTGACAGTGTTGGTGCGACAGTTGCCAGATCACATTGACAGTGTTGTGTTACAGTTGTCAGATCACATAGACAGTGTTGGTGCGACAGTTGTCAAAACACATTGACAGTGTTGGTGCGACAGTTGTCAAAACACATTGACAGTGTTGGTGCGACAGTTGTCAGATCACATTGACAGTGTTGGTGTTACAGTTGTCAGATCACATTGACAGTGTTGGTGTGACAGTTGTCAGATCACATTGACAGTGTTGGTGCGACAGTTGTCAAATCACATTGACAGTGTTGGTGCGACAGTTGTCAAAACACATTGACAGTGTTGGTGCGACAGTTGCCAGATCACATTGACAGTGTTGGTGCGACAGTTGTCAGATCACATTGAAAGTGTTGGTGAAAAAGTTGTCAAAAACACATTGACAGTGTTGGTGCGACAGTTGTCAAAACACATTGACAGTGTTGGTGCGACAGTTGCCAGATCACATTGACAGTGTTGGTGCGACAGTTGCAGTGTTGGTGCGACGTAAAACCAAACAACAAAAAAATGAATAAATATTAATAAAAAAATACAGACCATTTAAAGAAAAAATATTTGTATTTAAATGGCGGAGCGTTGGCCTAGTAGTAATGATGTATGTCTTTCATCACAGATATCATAGGTTTGAGTCCTATTTGAGATGTCACGATCATGTTCCCTCATATGACACCAGTACCAGTTTATTCCGGGACTTGGTGCTGGTTCAAATAAGATGAACGATTTGTTTACAGTCGAGCTTATAATTACGTTTAAAGGAGCTTCACTGAGATCCAAAAGCCTACAAACATAAAATTTGAAATTCTTACATAGTGATAGCTGGGCCGCTACTCATAGTAAATAACTTGAGCACTATTCATAGTAATAACTTCTAGGCCGCTACACAAAGTAATAACTTGGCCGCTACACATAGTTATAACAGGCCGCTACACAAAGTAATAACTTGGTTTATACAGAATTTATTATAGTACGATTGTGTAGGAAGCTATATATGGAACCACCCAGTACTGATCAATGGATGTAAAAGTTTCTTGCTCATGGAAACGAGATGCCCTTGACGGGATTTGAACCCATGCGGATAGCAATCATTAGATTACTAGTTAACCACTCGCCCATGTCGCCACATCATTAAAGAAATTACTTGGGTGTTACACACAGTATTAACTGGATCACTACTCACAGTAATAACTGGGGCACTAAAAACGGAAAAAAATTTGAAAATTTAAGTACAAACGCACAAATGTACTGGCTATCTGTCATCAATGGGAGAAGTTAGCATGCTTTTATAAAACCAAGCAATCTGATTATTACAGACAGACTGCAAAGAATGTGAAAACTATTATGAAGTTGGCATCAGAACGTTTATTTAAATGACCAATGTCCTAATTTCATGATAATTTGTCAGTTTTTAACTTATATATTTTAGAAAGATTTGAGTTTACCACAGTATGTTGTTTTTTGTAACTTTCGGATATGAAGATATCTGCACTTCTTAAAATATATAGTTGGCTAAAGGACATTATCTTAGATATTAACTAATTAATTTCGATGAAATATGTAAGTACATGTATGTAAGTTACGGTATCTATTTTCTTACTGAAAAGTACACAAGTGTTGTCGACTAAACGTATTGGGTGGAAATGTTTTTGTTCTACCCAAATAATCGACACATCGGCTTTTTGATACATTTAATATCTTATTCACTGCTGACATCATCATTTTGTTTTGCCTATATAGATTATATCTCAGATTTAAGGTGTTTTTGTATACATAAGACATGGGACCTTTAGGGCAGGGATAATTTTGACCTGAGGATCATTGTTAACATAACTTTTGTAGAGGAAAGCAGATTGATGGAACATGTTGACCAATTACAAAGTTCTATGCTTTCATACAACTTTAAGAAGTGAAAAATTTCAAGGTATGTTTATAAGTCTACATAAACTATGTGACCTTCAGGGGGTGGGGGGAATTTTTACCTGAGGGTCATGATTTATGTAGTTCCGTTGAAGCAAAACTACATTATCCAAATACATTGTATCTAAGCTCTGGTCATTTTATTTCACATAAGACTTAAATGTGTTTTCCTATATAATAATATAAGGATAATTAGATTAACAAAGTGGCCCCCTGGATGGGTCAAATATTGACCCAAGGGAAATGATGTTTCAGTTTTGTGGAGGTCAACATGGCAATGCCACATGCCAAATATCTATCTCTCGGCATTGTAGTTTTAAAGAATAAGACTTAAATGTTTTTCTATAGAAATCATGTGACCCAAGGGGCAAGGTAAATATTTACCCAAGGGGGCACCCTTTATGTCAGTTTTGTGGAGGTCAAAATACATTGCTACTGGCCAAATATTTACAATACATAATGCTACATGCCAAATACCTACAATACAATGCTATCTGCCAAATGTTTAAGTTCTTGGCATTGTAGTTTAACAGAATAGGACTAAATTAATTTCCTATATACGCTTATATAAATCAAATGACCCCTGCACCTGACCTCAAGGGACATAATCAATATCCCTCTTGTAGAGGTCCACAAGGCAATGCTACTTGCCTGCATGATAACTTAGCTATAGCCATTTTTAGTTTCACAAAATAACTTAATAACAGATGCATTTATAAAGGGAGATTATTAAACAATGTCAGAATTATCTGCCTCTTAGAAATGCATTCTTACTTCAAAATAAATATTTCAGTTGCTTTTGAGATATGAACCTTAAATAAAATGGTTTACTAAGAAACTAATTTAATAAAGGGGCATAACCCATCAAAACTTATGACAAGGAAATATGCCCTATTGAAATGCAATTCAGTTTTAATATTGAAAAAGCTATGGATTCCAAGTTTGAAGAAAAAACTTATTGGTCTTGGCAACTGACCTTTAATTATGATACTAAAACACTTATCTAGTTTCATGTGGATACCTTCAGTAGTTTTGAAGGGAAAATTTGAACTATTTATTTCTTTAGTTTATAAAGGGCCATAATTCTGTCAAAATCCATGCAAGATTTATTGGCCTTGTATTGTAAACCTCCAATTACCATTCCAAAGACATGTTTGAAGATTCAAATAAGCAAGTATCTTTAATGGTTGATAAAGTAGTACAAAAAGTTGCATGCAAAACTCAACCATAGTGTCATTCTGATACAGGATGATTAACCTAAAAAAAAAACTAACTCATAATATTTCAAAATGTACAAAGCAAGATACTTTTTTATTACAATTCTTTATGAAGTTGATAAAGCATTCATGAAAGTCATATAAAATATTTCAGTCTCCAAATATCGTGAATAATTTGCATATGTTAGACACATTTAATGTTATCTACACTGGTAGATTAGACTTTAGCTTTGAGCAAGATGTCTCCTTCTTCTGTAATATCTTCTGTAGCTTCTACCTCTGAAAAATATCAAACAAATGGATTTAACTCAATACAGGATTGGAGCAATACCTCTAGATGCTTGCAGAAATCATGATCACAAACTAGACAAATACATGTATGGGTTTTTTTTTCGCCGATTATCACATTTTTCATTCCTCAACGTATATAAATCGGTGTGAAAAGATGAATTAGACATTTTAAAGTTCATTCTGTAAGGTGAAAAGGTGAGATTTTAGCATTTAAACATTCAAGCGTCTTGTCCGGTATGTAGTGTGGTGCTCCAATCCTTTTTTTTTTAGTCTCACCCTCAACAAATTCACAAACTTAAACACCATTCACCTGCTGAATTTGTGTAATGGTTTTGCCGAGCTTTGAATTTGGAACAGTCCATTTCAAGTTAAAGGGATATCAATATAAAAATATGTGTCAACAGGCATAAAATAGCAACATACTACGCCAATCAAACAAAACAATTTACCTAATTTCTTATAGAGGGGAAATGAAAAGAATATTTAATAAATGAAAAGAACATTTAATTAATAAAACGAACATTTAATGAATGAAAAGAACATCTAAAAAATGAAAAGAACATTTGATAAGCATAAAATCTAAATTTTGAAATGATTGCCTTTTTCTATATCTTCATTACTAATCAATAATACAGAAAATACAAACATTACAAATATCAAAAACTTACGGCACAACTTCTACATTATCTATTGCCCATTGATCAAATCCCTGTCCACCATGAACTGGTTGTATCCATCTAAGTTGAACACCTTCAACATGTGCATGATGTGGTATATCATATGCTAATCTACGTGGCACAAGATGTTCTCCAGGGTCGTGTCGTGCTATCAATATCCAGTCTGCTCCCTAAATCAATTAATTTCAAAAGTCTTATTACATTTATGTAATTTCAAAAGTCTATTCAACTTAGTCATTTTTCTTACAATTGACAATTAAATTTCAAACATTCTGCATTTTTCTTACAATTGGCTATTAAATTTCACTGTTTGTTTTTATTTTTCAAAGAAATTCGAAGATCATAGTTTAAAATTGGGTAAATCAGCTGATCTTGATTTTAACATTTTCAAACATGTATCAACTTTGCCAACAGAAGCATTATACACCTGAGCACAATTCATTCTCTCCCTTTTATTAGAGGAAAAAAAAATTAAGAAACCTTAAGTAACATTATGTAATAAAATCTATAACTTGAAGATAAATTAACCCTTAAGGCCTTTAAACCTGATGGCATTGAAATTGATTAGCCCTTTGCATACAGTATAGCGCCAGGCCGGCAAGCACTTCTGTGCAGTCTGACTGGGAATAGTATATACTGTTGACAAAATAACCATAAACATTTATATTTACTGTAAAGGTGGATATTTCTGCGTGTTGAAAAGTTAGAGAATTTAAAATTCTAAACATTTTGCGTGTGGAAATATCAGCGAATCACAGATCTCTGAGTTTTGTGAAAACTGAAAACAATTAGGGTGATATTTAGGACCAAAGGACATTATAGTGATTTTTGTCAATTTGCAACATTTGCAAATTTTTTCCTTGTTGCTAAAGTTCATAATGGACAGGTGGACAAGTCTCACTGATTTTATGATAATTAACAGGTTAAGGGATAATGTACGATGATATTGTCAATTCAAGCATTTGAGTCGCGTCACAACAAAATCAACATAATGGGTTTGCGACCAGCATGGATCCAGACCAGCCTGCGCATCCGCACAGTCTGATCAGGATCCATGCTGTTCGCTATCAGTTTCTCTACTTGTAATAGGGTTTGTAAGCGAACAGCATGGATCCTGATCAGACTGCGTGGATGCGCAGGCTGGTCTGGATCCATGCTGGTCACAAACCCATTATGTTGGTTTTGTCGTAACGCGGCTCATTTCATTTATCAACATATTTATTCAACAAATTGTTTGATGCTGGTATCATTTTGCTGCAATCAGTATCAATAATTAAAGCTCACCCTATTGGACGAATACTGTAGCAATACACCTCTATAATTTGACATGTCTCCTGTTTTCACATTACATTCTGGTGTTTGAGCCCGGCAACCAATTTGTAAAACAAACATTATTTTGCTGAAAATATATATTTATTGTTAAATGATCAATATCTACAGCACTATTTAATTATGGATACCTACAACAATACTTCATTATCAATACTCACAACAGTATTGACAAATGAATACCTACAACAGTATTGACAAATGAATACCTACAACAGCGTTGAATGATTCAATGATTGATGCCTACAAAAGTATTAAATAATCATAACCTTAAACAATATTGAATGATCAATACCTACAGTAATATAGAATTATACATGCCTACAACACTATTGTATGATCAATTACCTACCAAAATATTGACTGATCGATGCCTACAACAATATTTTTACTGATCAATGCCTACAAAGCACTGAATAATCAAAACCTAAAACAATACCCAATGATCAATGCCTACAACACCATTGTATGATCCATACCTTTAACAATATTGCTTGTGATCAATACCTTTAACAATATTGTATCATCAATACCTAATATTGTAGAAGTAATGTTCAAAATAATTTTGGGTGATTCATACGGTACCTATATTATTTTTTTATCAGAGTTATTACATCAATTTGAACAGACAAATATGAGGATTGATCAAAAAGTTCTCGGCCCAATATACTTCTGGTAGTCAGAGAACCCAACTAATGGTCTTACTTTTCAATATAATCGCCCTCTACATTAATGCACTTTGCCAACCTGTGCTCCAACTTGTTTAACCCTTCAAAATAGAACTCTCTATTTTGGTCCTCAAAGAACTCATTGACCACCTCCATGACACCTTCATTGCTACCATGAAGCTTGGTTTTCAGTTTCAGAAACAAGTAGAAGTCAGAGGGGGCCAAGTCTGGAGAATATGGGGGATGGAGCCCCAGTATTGAGTTGCAGCAGCCATCGCCACTTGCGGTATGTGAGATGCCGCATTGTTGTGCAGGAGCAGAATGCCTTGAGTCAGTTTGCCCCTCCTTTTACGCTCGATTTCTTGACACAGATGTCACAGTTCATCTGCATAGTATGTACCGTTTATGGAATGACCTTGCTCAAGATAGTCAATCATGATTATCCCCTGACTATACCAAAAAATTGAACTGCTGATGGCACCCTCTTGAATTTCTTCAAGGGGGTGAGCCAGGGTGCTTCCACTGCATGCTCTGTTCTTGGATGCTGGATCCCAGTGATGGGCCCATGTTTCATCCTAAGTTACGATCCGGTAGATAAAATCAGGTTCATCCTTGAAGCGAGAAAAAGGATATCTTGAAATGTCAAGTCTGGTCTGTTTCTGGTCGTCAGTTAACTGTCTGGGGACCCATTGAACAAGACATAGACATCAGTCAGAATTGCCTGAACTGAACCAACGCTTATACCCACTTCCCTAGCAATGCTTCACAGATCTCTCCTTCTATCGCACATGTCCAGGTCGTGCACAGCGTCGGCAGTTTCATCGTTGGTGGCCTCTTTTGGTCTCCCAGGTCGCTTATCATCTCCAATGCCCTCCCTGTCCCTCTTCAATTTAAAGCAGCCCATTTTTTCACAGTGCTATTGGAACGGGACTCCTTCCAAAGTGTATCCATGAAGTCTTCATGGATTTCCTTGGGGGATATCCCTTTCTTACAGAGGTACTTAATGACGGCTCTGATTTAAAGTGTGTTTTATGTTACTTAATCTGTGTTAAACCGTGTGTAACTTGGTAAGTAGTCTTCAATAAGATATCAGTATCGACATAGCGTGTGTAAATATCAGCATAGTGGCTAGAAGTATATGGGGCCAAGAACTTTTTGATCATACCTCAAATTTTAAAAATACTGTGATATCAGTACAAGTCAATGAATGATCCACAGATAGCTTTATTGTGTAAGTTTCATCTAACAAATTTCAACTAATTACAGTTATCTAACATTCATTACCCTTAATTATCTATGAACATTTGATTCTCAGATAATGTTTGTGATTTTTTTGTTGTTGTAATCATTCAAATAATTCATTTCTTACTTTACCTTGAAGTTGTTAGATCCATTTCCACTGTCCTTGCCTCCCTAATACCACAGCCATTAAAGTAAAGTGTTTTACCATGGGCATATGGAAGCAATGCTTTACATCCAAATCCAATACCACCACCCGACACAACATCCCAGTGTGATGTATACACTCCGCCCTCAAATGAATCAAACAGTCGACTTTTCTGTTTCTCTCCAGGCATGCAAGATGAACCTATATATATTACAAATAATGTTTAGTTCTAGTAATTTTAATACTGAATTTAATTGATACAAATGCACACAACTGTTTTCTAGTACAAAAATGTGTAAAAACTGCAACAGGCATAAAAAAGCAAAAGCAATTACAGAAGAGTTTCTATATTGTCAATCTACATGTTGCTACTATTTAGCTTGCATCAAAGTTTAGTTTCAATAGAGTACTGATATTACTGCAATGACCTATGACCTATCATCCAAGAAACAGTCCCCATAATGTCAACTGTAAGCAAGAATTGTCCTTTGAAACTGAATTTATTACCTATTTGTTACAAATGTAACATATACTAAATACAAGAGTGATCAGTGATCACAATTTGTGTCGCCTGATCATAGCCAATTAAGCAGGTGTATTGAGGGGTGATTGGACATTTAGTTGGATACGTAATTTGACTGTATGGATATTTGTGTATCTTCTGTAATATGGAGAAAGTAAAAATTACACAAAAATTATAAACTAGCCAAAAGCCCTTTTATTCAAGGGTCATAAGTCAGCAAAAAAAACCAAAAAACATTTAACCAAATAAAAACACAATAAATATGCCAAATCACTGATCAATCCAGTTAAATTTTATTCAATTTGCAGTGAAGTAGTCTGGACAAACTTTAAAAATATATATCATTAAAGGGCCATAACTCTGACAAAAAGTTTGGGCTGTTAAGGTAGTACACCCCTAATGCACTGTCTCCACTTTGAAGAGTATTCAAATAGGCTAAAATCACTGTAAAGTGTATTGAAACTGAGGGGGCGTGGGTTCAACCCCCAGAAAGGGCAATTTTTTTTCTTTCTTTTTTTTCTTTTTAACATTTTTTATTAATCTCTCAGACCCCCTATGGAAGAAAAAAGTGTTTTATTTTAATTAAATAATTATTGTAGGTATTTATTTACTAAATAATGCCAAATTTAATAGAAAATATGATACCAGATATTTTCAAAGATTAATAAAATAAAAACTAAACGGTAAAAGTATTTTATATTTTGCAAGACCAACCAATATACATTAAAGAAAATTTAGGCAAACTTTGAAAATAGCCCCTCATTTTGGAAAATTTTAGGGATATTTTAAATAAGGCTTTTTACATAGGGAAATGGTCAAATTAGTGTTAAAAGTGGGTGGGGTAGGGTTACATTTTATACATATTAAAAACATTTCGTTTAAAAACAATCATTTTGCTTGTTTAATTTGTTACCTATATGTCATTGTTAATTTCTTAACAATGAGCAAAAGGAAAACATTTTTCATAATGATGATACTATAGATTATTTAGAGTTTCCTCATTTCTGAAAAAATCCCTTCTAATGGCAAAGTTTTAGTTCATAAAAATGTCCATAACTCATAAACCACACGGTAAATTTTGTTTAAATTTTGCATACAGGTGACATTTAAGGCATATAACTGTACTATGTTGTCAAATTTACAATTCCTTATAGTGCTCATTAGGGGTGTACTACCTTAAATACAGTCAGCTAGATTTGGTTCTGGTTATTCCTGTAAAGTTTGGATAAAATTGCACCAGTAGTTTTTGAGGAGTAGTCCATACAGTAGTTTTGTGTCGGGCATACATACAGATAGACTGAGAGGTGATCCCTATATGTCATGGCAATTTTGTAGCATGTAGCAGGCAAAACATAACACCTTTTATATTCAAGAGCCTTAAGTCAGAAAGAAATCATTCAACCGGAAACCCATTACATACGCACAAGAAAATACCAACAATATGCACCACAAGACTTATTCATGTAAAGTTTAGATGAAACTGCACTAGTTCTTGAGAAGTAATCTGGACAAGTTTTGTATAGCAGGTGACACAAAAGAGCCATATTTCAGCTGAAAATCTTTCAACCAAACAACCATTATAGATGTGCAAGTACATTTGTACTTGAGGTACCAATCACTCCTGTAGCATTTCATAAAAATTGCTTATTAGTACGAGAGATGAAGTCATTAAAGGGCCATAACTTTGACAAAAATCACTGAACTGGAAATGCCAAAAGCATGCACAAGTACTGATCCTTCCTGTAAAGTTCAGAAATTTAAAGGGAAGGGCTGATTTTGACCTCAGATTATTACAAATTTTGTAGAAGACTAGAAATTGATGATACAAGCCAAATATCTAAGCTTAGGGCTTTGAAGTTTATGTGTAAAAAATTGTAGTTCAGCACAATAAGTCCTTTAAAAATCAAATAAGCCCGGGATTGTCCAATAATAACCCGAGGGACATGATTAATAACAGCATTGTAGAGTTCTACAAGGTACTGCTACATGCAAAATATCTAAACACAAGGCATTGTAAGTTTCACTTAAATATGTTTTCCTATATAAGTGTCTAAAACCAAGTGACAACTGGGGCAGGACCAAATTGGCTGAGGAAGCCTTAAAATGCATTCTGCACATCATACAAGTTTTTTGCAACATTTCAGCCAAATAGTTTTAATTTCCGTCTATCTGTTCAAACAAACATACAGCTGACATGAAATTTTCAAATTCATACATAATGACAAAATGTGACATTGGCCTCAGCAAAGTCACATTATCTCAATATGATTATTATTTCTGCCCAATATATTTCAAATTTCCTTTCAGACACACACAGAGAGGACAGAAAATTGCTGAAAGATGGACAGATGGCCATGTGCATAACAATGTACAACAAACTTTTTATCAGGTGTATAAAAATGAAAAATAACTTTGTTATAACACATTATTTCATTAATAAAAGCAACACTTAAACTCTTAGCCTGCTATTGACAACAGCATATACCTTTGCACCTATACTGACCAAAATCAGCCAGCATAACAGTGCCCTCATGATCTGCACTGTTGCTACTCATTGGTACATATATTGAAATTTTCCTAAAAATGATTAATGGTTTTGTCTAGATTAAAAAAAAATGATGGACAGGTCCTTTAAGACATTGAGCATTTGTAAGTGTTAAAGCAAGATTATATTGCAAAATGTTAACTACCTATATATCCAGTATCACAGATACATTTTCCTCCAGCACAATCTCCCCGGCCATGACACATGCTTGGACATGTCTCCCCTACATATATATCATCTAATGCCCAACTTGGTGCCGTCTTATCCACTGAATCCTGTATCCATCTAAACCGAGTTGTGCTGTAATCATATACATGTCACAAATCATATACCAAAAAACAAGAGGGCCATGATGGCCCTGAAGTCGCTCACCTGTATATAGGCCCCCAGGAGCGGGGCCAGTTTAAACCCCAGGGCTTTTATTTGAACAAACTTGGTAGACACCCATTATAAGATGTTTCATGCTAAACATCTAAGGTCTAGCTCGTTGGGTTTTTTAAGAGAAGATTTTTTAAGTTTTTTCTTTACACATATATTTGAAAACAATGACACCCCTGGGGCAGGACCAGTTTTGACCCCAGGGCTTTTATTTGAACAATCTTTGTAGACACTTACTAGAAGATATTTCATGCTTAATATCTAAACTCTAGCTATTCGGGTTTTTTCGAAGAAGATTTTTAAGTTTTTGCTATACACATAGAAGGAAAATCAATGTCCCCCAGGGCGGGACCAATTTTGACCCCAGGGCTCTTATTTGAACAAACTTGGTAGACATCCATTAGAACATGTTTCATGCTAAATATCTTAGCTCTAGCTTTTTGGGTTCTTTAAAAGAAGATTTTTAAGTTTTTACTATATGCATATAGGAAAAATCAATGACCCCCTGGGGCGGGGCCAATTTTGACCCCAGGGCTTTTATTTGAACAAACTTGGTAGACACCCATTAGAAGATGTTTCATCTTAAATATCATAGCTCTAGCTCTTTTGGTTCTTTAAAAGAAGATTTTTTAAGTTTTTACTATATACATATCGGAAAAATCAATGACCCCCTGGGGCGGGGCCAATTTTGACCCCAGGGCTTTTATTTGAACAAACTTGGTAGACACTCACTAGAAGATGTTTCATGCCAAATATCTAAGCTCTAGCTCTTTGGGTTATTTAGAAGAAGATAATTAAAGTTTTTTCTTTTGGTTGCCATGGCAACCAGAGTTCTACATGGAATTAAATTCTTTGAACAATTTTTAAAGGTCACCACCAAAGGAACATTCCTGAGAAGTTTGGTTGAAAATGGCTTAGTGGTTTATGAGGATATGTCATTTAAAGTAAAAGTTTACGGACGCCGGACGGACAGACGCCGGACGAAAAGCGATCACAAAAGCTCACCCTGTCACAAAGTGACAGGTGAGCTAAAAACCCACTTATCATAGCATTTTATAGTTACATTACTGGTATAACCATAACAAGAGGGCCATGATGGCCCTGAGGTCGCTCACCTGTATATAGGCCCATGGAGCGGGGCCAGTTTAAACCCCAGGGCTTTTATTTGAACAAACTTGGAAGACACCCATTAGAAGATGTTTCATGATGTTAAGTTTTTACTACACACATATAATGAAAAACAATGACCTTCCCACCCCCCACCCCCCGGCAGGGCCAATTTTAATCCAAAGGCTTTTATTTGAACAAACTTGGTAGACACCCATAAGATGTTTCATGCTGAACATCTAAGCTCTAGCTCATTGGGTTTTTTAAAAGAACATTTTTTTAAGTTTTTACTATACACACATAGTTAAATACAATGACACCCTGGGGCGGGACCAATTTTGACCCCAGGGCTTTTATTTGAACAATCTTGGTAGACACTCATTAGAAGATGTTTCATGCTTACTATCTTAGCTCTAGCTCTTTGGGTTCTTTAAAAGAAGATTTTTTTTAAGTTTTTACTATATGCATATAGGGAAAATCAATGACCCCCTGGGGCGGGGCCAATTTTGACCGTAGGGATTTTATTTGAACAATCTTGGTAGACACTCACTAGAAGATGTTTCATGCAAAATATCTAAGCTCTAGCTCTTTGGGTTTTCTAGAAGAAGATGTTTAAAGTTTTTTCTTTTGGTTGCCATGGCAACCAGAGTTCTGCATGGAATGGAATTCTTTGAACAACTTTGTTAAGGCTTCACACAAGGAACATCCCTGTGAAGTTTCATTATGATCTGCCTTATGGTTTCAGAGGAGATGTCGTTTGAAAAGTGTGAACGGACAACGTACGACGTACGACGGACGAAGAGTGATCCTAATAGCTCACCCTGAGCATATGCTCAGGTGAGCTAAAAACACTGAGTAAGAAAAGTTTAAATTATGTTGGTAAATGCTTATAAAACTATCAGTTTTATTTTGAGGGTTCATTGCAATACTGCAGTAACAAATATGAAATAAAGAAGTACTTACAAAAGTTTTGCGGTCAACTCTCGATTTGATCATTTCGCTAGCAAAGCGTGTGATCAACTGGGATTCTGACAATTTAGATTAAAAAGTTTGTATTTAATTTTAACCAGACTGACGTTAGTTTTAGTCGCACAAGTGCCCATGAATTCTTCTGTCTAGGACACAGAACAATTCCCCAAAATATTTGTCATGTCTTAGTACTAAATATAAGGTGCATGTAGGTCACAAAGCACTGGACACTCTGTCCTCACATACAAGGAGCACTAGACACATTACACATTCAAATACAAGGCATTATAAAAAATGTTCCATTTGTACAAATCATCGGTTAAACCACCAAATAACATAAATAAATATAAAAATTTACTGGTACTAATTCCCAACCTTGAGAATGTTTTTTCCGGTAGTTTGATAGTTACTCGAGTCCATGTTGGATGTGTATCTGCCCAGTACTCGCTAGCAGCGTGAAACTTGTTGGGTAAACAATCCATACGTCTGTTTATATCGGGCAAGCACAATGGTATAACTTCATACCATTTATCGTGACTAGGATTTTTGTTGAAGACAAGCTTGACAGGTGCATGAGGCTGGCAGACATTGAATGTTTTATCGCACCCTACAGAAATCTATAATATATTTAATATTAAAGTATTCAGACATTGAATGATTTATCGCACCCTACAGAAATCTTTAATATATTTAATATTAAGGCATTTTCGGGAGTTTTCATATAGACATAAAGGCAAAATTAAAACTGTTCAATAGAGTTTCTTTAAACTTGGCATGTTGTTAGAATATGATAATAGAAACATTTTAACTAAAATAAAATTGGGGTCACCGTTTTCGTTTTTGAGTTATCTGCCCCTGAATCAGACTTTTCTACTTATTTGATGTCATTTCAAGGGCAGATAACTTATACATACTAAAATGAATTCTTGTTTTTACTTCTGGATAATATTTTTTTTTTTATTTCTGAGTACAATACATAATAACATGCAATTCCTAACATTGTTTCTGTTAATATTTTTCAATGAAAATAAAGGTACTTTAAATTCTTAAAACATAGGCCATTTTTTAAGAAAAAATGCACAGGTTAAAAGAAAAAGTGAGAATAAAATCTACCCACTCTAAATTTGTTCTTGAAATTTTGCATATCAACTAAAACGAAGGTAAGCTTCATGAAAATAAGAAAAAAAATGTTTTGTTTTCATTTATTGTAAATTATCTGCCCTTGAATTTAACAATAAAAGTCCAATTCAAGGGCAGATAACTCAAAACGAGAACCGTTACCCCATTTTTTTTTCGCTTAAAATGTTTCTGTTATAATATTCTAACAACATGCCAAGTTTAAAGAAATTCTATTGAACAGTTTTAATTTTGCCTATTTGTCTATATGAAAACTCCCGAAAACGTCTTTAAAGTATTCAGACATTGAATGTTTTATCGTACCCTACAGAAATCTATAATATATTTAATATTAAAGTATTCAGACATTCAATGTTTTATCGAACCCTACAGAAATCTATAATATATTTAATATTAAAGTATTCAGACACTAAATGTTTTATCGCACCCTACAGAAATCTATAATATATTTAATATTAAAGTATTCAGACATTAAATGTTTTATCACAACCTACAGAAATCTATAATATATTTAATATTAAAGTATTCAGACATTGAATGTTTTATCGCACCCTACAGAAATCTATAATATATTTAATATTAAAGTATTCAGACATTAAATGTTTTATCACAACCTACAGAAATCTATAATATATTTAATATTAAAGTATTCAGACATTAAATGTTTTATCGCACCCTACAGAAATCTATAATATATTTAATATTAATGTATTCAGACATTGAATGTTTTATCGCACCCTACAGAAATCTATAATATATTTAATATTAAAGTATTCAGACATTGAATGTTTTATCGCACCCTACAGAAATCTATAATATATTTAATATTAAAGTATTCAGACATTGAATGTTTTATCGCACCCTACAGAAATCTATAATATATTTAATAATAAAGTATTCAGACACTGAATGTTTTATCACAACTTTAAACAAACTATCTTAGAAATATGTAAGGTAGCTGCAAAGATATAGAAAAGATATTGTATGGTTTGCAAACAATTGTACAATGACAATAATTTGTAGTGCAGCCACCATGACTGGTAAAAATTCATAGACAGTTTACCTAGCATACTTTCACCCTAAGTCTACTGTCAACAACAGATTCTACTTATTTGACAAATGCAGACCAAGATCAGCAAACACATTTGTGTCGTCTGCTTATGGTCTACACTGGTTGCTATTCAGTCAGAATACATTTTGAAATATATCCTTAAAATGATGAAAGGTTTTGGCTAGGCAGAAAGCTGGACAATTTCATGTAAGATATTTAACATGGTTAATGAGCAATTTTGTGTTTCCAAAACATGTCTGCTTTCAACCTTTTAGTTTATGAAGACTTTGAATTCTAATTAACCTTACCTTAAACTGCAGTAAATAGTTCATCTGTACAATAAGTTGTTTTGTTGTAAATTCTCTCGTTCCGTTTCCTTCATCCCACATTATAACACTATCATCTTTCTTGCAAATCTCAGCTCCTATATGTCCATACGGAGAAAACTCCCATGGTTGATCATTCAACATCAAAGTTTCATTGAAATTTATTTCAATATTTGCTGGGTTTATCTCATGACCTCCTAGTATACGAAACAAAACACTCTATATAGATATATATATTTTGTAAAATTAAACAATTATTCTTACATATATCACCAGATTTCATAGGTGCATAGGTATTAATTAGCAGAAACGAAATGTTTGTAAGGATATATATTAAAAGTACACAATAATTTTTCAGCCAAATGTTTTAGTATGATTGTGTTTATTTAAATGTATATTGTTTTGATAAAATTTGACAAAAATACTTTGATGTTCAAAATGAACAATGTTTAAAATTTATGTAAAAAACTTTTTCAAGTTGCAAATGTGACAGAAATCTCTCGTATTTGTTGTATTTTTTAACAAGCAAACACAAATTAAGATAAAATTTCCGGACAGAAATTTATCTGTAAAATACACAAAATACACACAACCATGTAATAACTTCATCACAGCAAAGATAAATCTTTATACATGTTAACTCCTAAATGCACACTTCAATATAAGATTTACCAATATAAACATCATCAAGAGCCCATGCTGGAGGGGGCCTCTCTGTATCCTCTGACAGCAACTGCCACCATCTGATCTTAGTACTACGAGTCCTTGCCTCTTGTGGCAGGGGAATATAGTCACGTCTTGGTTTTAGGTAACTCGCATAATCAAGTGTATGTAAAGTGTTCCAGTGAATACCACCATCTATACTATATTGTAGACTAACGCTTTGGTCTCGTCTGTACGGTTTAAAGCAATCATCCAAGTTGCTCTCACCTCCTATTGTAGCTGTATACTGGACAAATCTAAATAACAATGAAAATGTTAATAGGATTCTTTTTTGTTCCAAAGATTTCATTCTTTGCTAAGTAATAGGAATTAAACAAGAATTGGTTGTTGTTTTTTTCTTTCTTATACTGCATACTTATGAGACTGTTTAAAAAATATGGAGCTTAAAAGTAAATAACTATTAAAATTTAGTCAATGTAAATCAGCATCATGTGCTTGGACCACATTAAAATTAATGTGAAATGCAGATTTTTTTTTCAAATTAGATAAATTCTAATTTGGTCTGCACTGTTTACTATTTTGTTATGAGTTTGTTTTGTTTGGTTTTATGGCATACATTCACAGTTTATATGGTGCCAAAACATGATTTGGCTACCCTTGTATGTTACAAACTTAAAGCAACATAGGTACTCAGGATTGTAATAACTTTGGATTGCTAAGTCATTTATTTTCCCTTTGTCAACAAGTACATGTTGCTTTAATTTTAACAGAAATAAAATACTTATTCTCAAATACTAACTTTGCATCCCTGAGGTCCATATCAGTAGTGACAACTTGTCTCAGACCTGGACCATTCTGTACTAGAGCTGTACCTTCCACTAGTTGAGTACATGGTTCTTGTATTGTTCCACCTTGTATCAGAGACCATTTTGACTTGTCTATACCTTCACTATCAAATGTATCCTTTAACTCCGTCTTATTAAACAAAATAAAATTTATTTGAGTTTTTTATCATATTGAACCAAATTGAACAGCAACATGTTTGCTGAGAAATAGAGGAAATGTGTTGGCCTATTGTGATTCACAGTTGATTTCAATGATAATTTTACATTTACTTGGTCAAAAGTGTTGGTATGATTAGTGGCAAAAATACAGAAACCACTGTCGATACGATTGGACCAGGGATATAGATACATGTATCATTGCTCTCACTGAACAGACAACAACTTGAAAAAGGCCTGGAATTTCCCAAGTGATATCAATATTTGACCTGAAATGTGTTGAACTTGACTTCTGTAAAGTGTTTTTTCTGATATGATGTCTAGCATTGTTGTTTTATAGATATCTACAGGCATTGGCTGTGCAATAGGATTGGTTTTAACAGTAGTCCCAAATTCCCAATATTAAAGTCCCAGGGTGAGAAAAAAGTGCAGCCTGGCCATGACTTGAACTCCTTGTTAGTTTGTACCCAGTCAGGGACAATTCATTGAACAAGATACTACATTCATTGCTTAGTATTGGTTGGTAATCCAGGAACAGATTTGAGAGTGTTTCAATAAGCTTATAGCTTCCAACACAATCAAACTAAAATCAACTTGTATAAACTAAGACCGAAATCCAGGACCTTTGGATGACTGAGCAACTCTACTGAATGAGCTTTCCAGAGGCTTTCACATTTAACCTATATTTGTAAACAGTTCTATATGTAACATTAAATAAACAGAAACAACAAAAGGTACTGATTACATTGTATATCCAACATATTGTATGATGGTGCACATATAAAATGTGATATTTTTAGAACATTTTTCAAGACTTACAAAAATTATTATGTTAAGTTTACCGGATTGTTTACTTTCCATGGATAACAGTTACGACCATGATGACCATCATCACAGACACATGCTGGATAGTTGTTTGGTCGACATACACCATGACCATTACACAGATCCTCACACGCTGGACCAATATATATATCTCTTAAACCAAAGTCAACAACACTGTGTTCATCATCTACAGGACGTTGTTGCCAGCGGAATCTTGTTGAACTAGACAACATAAAACATGATATAACTTACTGAAATAATGGCAAGTTAGTAATATAGACCACTCAGATAAAAACATTCACAAATAATAAAATTGTAATATATATAAAAAGTAAACTTTTATAGAATGAACACCTCTGGAAAATTTTTATATGATCAAAAAAGCTAATTGTGGCAATAAGGAATTCATTTACCATGAAATTTCATGCATTTTGCAATTTGAATTACAATGTATTTGAAAGCTTCATTGTAACACAACTCTCTGCAATCATACAGATTACTGCGGCTTTTATACAGAAGGCTAAATATAGAAGTTAGTAAAAGGAATTACTCCAATTAGTTTCATGCATGGTGACATTAACTAGAAATGTGTCCATAGGACATGGATGCCCCATTATCTCCATTGTTGTCAACGCATGTAAATATTTTAAGACTTTCCCTATATATGATATATGGTTATGCTTAGATTGAAAAAAATGTACCAGTTCATTTAAGACATAAATTCAACTTATCCAGTCTTTTTAAATTACATCTATAACACTGATGATGCATCACTGTTTTGACACAGCTCTAAAATATTGCTTGTCTACATGGGAAAAATAATAAAATATATTTTACTTTTAGTGATATTTACCTTAATAACATTGCATTCATACCACACATAAAAGGCTAAATGGAATTCGCTATCCAACCTTATTTCATATTAAGTATTTAAGGCTTTGACTAATGAAGATTATGCAAGACACTTAAGATTATGCAAGACAAAATAGATAACTTTACTATCATCTCACCTACTTGAAACCAAATTGAAAAGATTCATAAAAGTTAAGATTGTACTAAAATATTTTAAAAATAACTTCAGATTTTTATTAATAAATGATCAAAATTCTTTTGAGCCTCACTAACCTGGCCTTATCTGCACCAAAAAGCAGATAATCATGCAACCATTGAAGAATTAAAATCTATGTACACGTTTGCAATAATTAAAACTTACTTTGAGATAGTCATTCCTTCAAGTGGGATTGTAACACGTTGCCAAGTGCCCATAGGATCACCATAGTACACACTTGCCATAGAAGTACCTTGTGGACAAACTGGATCATTGGACAGACACTGTCGTAAAATATACGACCATGTCATACCATAGTCCGTAGAATACTGTAGATGTACTGGTGCTACTGAAATATTCCATTGTCGCATACATCCAACATTATACCAGAACTGTAGCATATAGTTTGACCCTACATGTAGGTCTTGAGTTGTAAGAGATGCACTTTCTTCATCATGCGTATTACCAATTGCAACATTCTCCCAGTCACAATAATCATCAGTTTTTATATTATCAAATGTGTACCACTGTGCTGGATCTATGCCTGGGACAAAGTCACTCATCATAGAGTCTGGGTTTTTTAAATGTCCGCCAACACGTAAATTATCAATAATCCAATCATCTTGATTTAATCCGCTATGCTGAAGCTGTGTGAATGTTATTTGGGTACCATTCTGTTTGGCTTCCTGCGGTAGTTGCAAGGTGACAAATCTGTAAAATATGATAAAATGATACATAATAATTCCGTTTCATATGGCATATTTGAGAGACACTTTACTTTATATGTACAGAATCATCTAACAAGAATCATAACTTCTGTATAAACACTAAATTGCTATGTTGTGAAAGCGGTGCACTGTGTGCTTCACATTATGACTTGAAAGGTAACATTCTTATCCTTGTTTAAATATACAACTTTCCCTGAAAGACATCATGACTTTAATATTTTACCTTTAAAAACCTAAATATTTCTTTTTTGAGTATGTATGCTGATTCGAGATTACCAAATACATTACTAGATTACAGGAATTGAGATTCTAATACCAAATATAACATATCATAAGATGTTGCCATGAATGTTCTAAACAAGAGCAGGTTGAACAGGGTGATGCTCCCTGACTAGGTTTTGGACACAGAAAAGTATATCTTTTGTAGTTTCAGAGTAATATCCCAGGTAAGTTCAAAGTGTGATAATTCAAAACTTAGGCAAGGCAGAGTTACTGTTCTTTGCACAACACTTCTATTCAATGAGATCTAATCTAAATTGTTGTAAAATCCGGCTTCAAATAACAAAAGTTGTGGGACGGACACAATTTTGCTGCAAGGTCATGCTGTGACCTTGACCTTCAAGGTAGCGACCCAAATGTTGCGTGTGACATGTCGTCTCAATATGGTGATCATTTCTGTGAAATAGTTGTATAATCCGGCTGCAAATAACAAGGTTAAGGGCTAGACACAATTTTGCTGCAAGGTCATGCTGTGACCTTGACCTTCAAGATAGCGACCAAAATATGGCGCACGACACGTCGTCTCAATATGGTGATCATTTCTGTTAAATAGTTTAAAAATCCGACTTCAAATAACGAAGTTATGGGCCGGACACGATTTTGTTTCAAGGTCATGCTGTGACCTTGACCTTCAAGGTAGTGACCCAAATGTTACGCGCAACAAGTCGTCTCAATATGGTGATCATTTCTGTGAAATAGTTTAAAAATCCGACTTCAAATATAGAAGTTATGGGCCAATACAAATTTCGGGACGTACATACTGACGGACTGACTGACGGACGTTCTCACAGGACAGTAAATATGTTGCTACTCCATTGATCTCTCTATCGTTCTTTTTAGACACACAAAAGAAAATAGCCACATAAAAGCATTATGGAATGAATGACATCAAAGAGGAAGAACAGTTACCAATTGTCCCTCTAGCTACATAATTACTGTCCTGTGAGTACGGATGGACGGACAGACAACCCGACGACTATATGCTCCCCCGAAATTTTTCAGGAAGAATAACAAATGATGCTATACATTAACAAACCAGACAACAACCTCTATCATTTGTATATATCAATACAAAAACACTTGTATATATCAATACAAAAACTGTTAATGGGAACAGACCTACCCATGTTATATAATTACCATTCAATATCAACAATAAAGCTTTCAATATGATACAAAGCTTACGTGGGATTTCGGTAGTTTAGAAAGTGCAATGTTGAAATACTAGTCCAAGCATCGGCACCAGTAGAGAAACCAATAGTTACGCTCTCGTCTAGATTGTCCGGAGGTGACAAACATCCATACATGAAGTTAAACTGAATGAATGCTGCATCACTGAGATCAAGGTAATGAGATGTCAAAATACGTGAACAGTTCTGAAAGAAATATTTTAAATGGTTTGTACGTTTGTATCATGAATTTATCAAATATCTTACTGTATGTACTATAACAAAACTTTATCAATAACATTTGAAATGAATAAATTGACCTGTACAATATTAATGACAATTTCTACATAGCTAGTTAGTGAAAGGTTAAAAATAATTAATAGCATCCTAAAACGATCAATGATTGTTAAAATCTGGAAAAAAAATGCATTTTATATACTGGTAGAAAGAAATACAGTCCTACAAACTGATTAAATGAAAAGAACTTGTTCATTTTTATACTATATTTAGCTTCAGTGACCCCTAAAGAATATCTCATATTAATCTAAACAAAACTTGTTTGTGACAATGCATATTTGTTTGCTTATTTCTTGTGAATATTCATTTTAAACATTTGAGAAAGTAATTTGTCTAAATACAAACATGCTAACCTGTAAAACCGTCAAACATTTTCAAAGTGAAATGGACAAAGTATAAAATTTTATGGAGATACAACTATCATTCATGTAAACGAAACAATATAATTATTAAGTAGAACAATCATGAGAAATCAGAAACAGCTTATATGGACATATTAACCCCAGTGAAATGATATGCCAGCCCAGATGCCATTGTTTTACATGGTGTAACACGCTTTCCGCCAACACTCTTAAACCAATCATCTGATTCCACCTCAAACTTATCATACAGATAGTCTGGTAAAGCTGTCAAAGCACTGTCACATGAACTTCCTGACCAACCCTCATCACATCTGTAACAAAGTCATCATAAATTATGAAAACCACCAATATTAAACTATCTTTTCACAGCTCTAACTTTGGTTAAAAAAAAAATGTAAATTCATACTATCATAAAAATTAATATGTTCGACAAGTCTATATCACTCAAAGTGAGTGGTATACATTGAGTGATGTGAATTTATTAAAATTAGCTTTAATTGGTGATAATACAAATTATTATAAGATAAATATTTTCTATTGTAAAAACAATTTCTACATCAATACTTATATCATATTTAATGCTACAGACAAATTTTCATCAAGGATTTTGGTCATTAATGACCAATGAATTATGCAAATAAAAATAACAATGCATCAAAATACTTACATGCAACCATATTCTGTACATTTTCCATGTCCACTGCATAATGTTGGACAATGTGTTCCAATGTATAAATTGGCTATAGCCCATGTATCCTTTACATTGAAGCCATCAGGTTGGTACCACAAAAATCGTGTTTCTTGTGACCTTAACAGAGGTAAACATTTTATATAAAATATCATTTAAATATTTTATGTGGAAATCAACTGCTTTAATATTTTGGCATCAAATATTCATAAAGTGTTTGGTGGAAAATGAAAATATGGAAATTATGAATGTCAACAAAAATTGGACAATAAAGATATTTCATAGGCTATGTTTAATTTACAACATTTATCAATAAGATAATAAATGTAAATGTTTCTACTCATCAATTTCATGTGTTCTTAATTTGGAGTCAAATGAGAAGGCTTAAATTCGTTAATTTCTGTCTGTCTGTTTTCTATGAACTTAAAAATATTCACAATTGAGTCAGTCATATTATTAGCTATAAAGATTTTTGACAGGTTATATGGCCTTTTATAAATGGTTGTTTGGAAATATAACCAGAGCTGCTAGGCAAGTGTCATATAACCTGAAAGAAATATTCATAACGAAATTTTAATACCACAAACATCCTTTTTAGAGAAAAAAGTGATATAATTTTAATAAAATTGACAGCAACGTGTATATAAAACTATATAAACACCATGATTATCGAATACGTTACAAACCAGCAGAATTATAAAGATCAATCTAATAGTAAAATGGCCCATGTTTTTTCTATTGCTTTGATTAAACGTACCTTGTATGGAACCCAAGCAATATTGTGTGTCTATTCCAGCCCCAATTATAATCTGACATATAGGCATTGTCTGTCCTGATGACTTTGTTACACTCTATATTTGATGGATAGCAAGGCTTCCACAGTGGTTCCCATGTAACACCTTTATTGACGGAGTATGCTACGTATATTCCTGAAATTTTTTCCAGATATCTACATTTATTACATAATTATAAATGAAATATTGAAAAATATTGATAATATAAAATGCGCATTCTCATTATTCTATATATTATTGTATTAATTTATTTTTCACTGCAATGAAAAATATTTTCCGTATTTTCACTGAAGTCTTGCGGAACTACTTTCTTATAAATTCAGCCAAAACACAAAATTTGAGGGGTAGTCTTTCAAATTGTGATGTCAAAATTAAAGAGAAAAATGTATATAATATACAGAAAATTCAAGTTTTTTCTATAAATACAGAATCTATTTTCATCTTGTGATATGAAAATTATCATATTTCATGAGTGGCAGTAGAAAACAAATCCTTTAATTATAGAACAAACTTGAATATCCTCTTTTTATTTTATTTGAAAATCAATGTTATAGTTCATGTCTAAAAAAACCAAGAGTGTTTTGAAGTATTTGTTCAGAAAGATACTTGTGTAAACTGATAAAAACCTACCGAAACAATGTTTAGGATCTGAACATCCCATGGATAAATCAAACTGTAAAATTGTACCCTCCTGTACCACAACATCAGCTGTGACTGCAAATCTATACTTCTCACCACCTGGTCGTAGAAAATCATTTACATAATAATGACAATAATGTTTTATTCAGACAATCATTTACATAATAATGATAAGAATGTTACATTAAGACAATAATCTACATAATAATGATAAAAATGTTATATTCAGACAATTATCTATATAAATTTACATAAGGGTGATCACTATAATTCACATGCCCATACTGTTATATTCTTTTTTACATATTCTATCTCATCATTGAAAATTTATCCAACAAGATGTTATAAGAAAACTTCAGTTCTTTAAAACAAATCCTATTCAAAATCCTAATGAAGATTTGTTAGAACTGAAACTGTTAGATTATTAAAATACTCAACCTGCACTGGTGTTGTCGTGTTGTATTTCTTTATCTTTATCTTATTCTGACTTATTCAAAATAGATTAAATAACATGATAAAAATAAAATAACATACCAACAAAATCTATTGCATCAAAACCTTTGCCACACACTGGTTTTATAACAGCACCCGGGTTTAAAAGCCAATTAGGGTCTTTAGGTGAAGTTGGGTGGTCTGCTAGCATTTGCTCACCTTCATTGTCACCACCAATATATATCTGTATCATGAAATATTTTAGAGTAGTTAACTAAAATGTCAAGAAATATTTTAGCCTAGGTATGTCAAGAAATATTTTATAGTGACAATAATAATTTGAAGTGTCGTAAAATATTTTTGAGAGAGCATATTAATTTGAAATGTCATGAAATATTTTAAAGTGAGCATATCAACTTGAAACATCAAGCAATATTTTAAAGTGCACATATTGACTTGAAATGTCATGAAATAAGTTATAATGACCATATTAACTTGAAATGATATATTGCAAAATGTAAATTTTCAGTGCCGTGTAATTACATAGAGGATATTTGTTTGTTTTGCATGTAAGATTGAAATATAATTTCACTGAGTGAACACCAGATGCAATATTTTCACGAGTGGCATAGCCACGAGTGAAAATATAATAGCTGGTGTTCACGAATGAAATATATTTCAATCTTACATGTAAAACAAATAAATTTTCTTTTTATTTCATGCTTTTTAAGTGATTTTAAGTATTTTTTTTACTGGTTTTGCCGCGTAACGTCACGCATTCTTCTTTGTGACGTCATCACATCATGACGTCACATAATCAATTTTGAAATATAGGTCTGTTAAATTTCTTTATTTTTGTTACGTTTTTAACACGATGTATGATGACATCGACTTTCTTTTCCTACAGAAGCAAAATTTACGCATGACGGCATTAATTTCTGCCTGTTATTCCATTTAGTTATGATTTTCTTTTCATCCGCATTCAGATATAGTCCGGCTACAGTGAAAATTATATTTTATAAATTTCACTAGTGGTTTATCAGAATATAATCATCTGATATATTACAATAAAACACTGGAAAGCATGAAATAAAAGATATTAACATGAACATGTGTTCAGGAGTTCATTTTCTTGAATAAGCAGTTTGGTAGTAAATACCTCATCTATAGCCCAGGGTTCCAAAAACTCTCCATGCTGTGATGGCTGCCACCATCTTAACTGTGTAGATGGTGATTGTGCTTTTGGTGGAAAATTCAACACCACATAAAATGGTTTATGACTGTCAGGACTGAAATCAAACTGTTGTATGGTGTGCCAGTTGATGCCTCCATTTGTGCTATACTGGACATACACAGGAGGTGTCAGTGGGTTAGGGGTAGAATCACTACATCCTAGTCTTAAATAAAACTGTACCGTCCTGTAATATAAATAAATGTTATCACTACATGTACTAAATATCTATAACCTACATCTACTTACAGATTATTACATTTATATATTTATGAGATATGTTCGTAAAACACAAAAAAATCCTCTATAGAATTTTCTGGATTTTTTTCTGAGACTTTCCCAGAAAATCAAAAGAAAAATTCCTGGATTAAAACCTAAGATAGTAAATCAAAGTACAATGTAAATCCTGGGTTCTAGGTGGCAGAGAATCTCCTCATTTTTGATGAAAAATATAATCATCCTAAGTTTTCAAGAGATTTTCCTGTGAAACCTTAGAAATTCCTGGTTTCTAACCATCATCACAAAAGCAGGTCATGAATAATTAGCTATGGTGAATTTTGTAAATATGACTTAGAATCTCATGGTCATTTAGGGGTCAAAATACATTTTAATGTGCATCATTTGTGAAATAAAATATATTGTTCATTCTTCTTTTATATGAATCATAACTTGATCTTTATACGCTAAACACATTTACAAAAGGTACCGTACTTACGTGGCTTTCAATAGATTAAGTTCTCGTGTAACGAGGACCCTTTCTCCTGTCCCTTTAAACACAAGGCTGTTTTTATCAACGAGAAGATCACAGTCTTTTGAAACAATTCCACCTGACCATATGTCCCACTTCTTCTCATCAACAATCTTGTGAGCTTATAATGAAGTTATTGAGATTATAAATTTTAGAAGAGACATAATAATAAACAAATTTAAAGTTCTATAAATCAATATTTATATAAAATAGAGGTATACTACATTACAATTAAAACCTGAATGTAAGAGAAAGAAGAACAAATACATTGCTATAATGGACATGTTCATGAAGCATTTAACTTTTCTTTGTTAATAATCTTCAAAAGTTTTATCAATAAAATAATCTGACTTAAAAAAAGTAGGTGGACTAGAAAATGCATTTCAATACGGAAGCTGCCTGACTTTATGTGTTAATAAGATTCTTAATGTTCACAATTTCTTTTCTATTTTGCAATAATTCAATGACTTAAATCTTTAAAATAATCTTTCAAAATGTTGGTTTGTTCTTACACATGTATAAGGACAATTAGCACTCAACTTTGCAATATGAAAAATTATAATTAAATGTGACAATACAAGTCAAAAATTAATGCTTGCTTGTGATCTGTTTACCTGAGATTATTGTATATATTGTATATAACCAAAACTCAGGATAGAAAGTAAGATTATAACAGTCAATCTATAATTATGCAAGTCTTAAAATGTCAGCAATGATGCAGCGACATTAAAAAGCTACTCCCAAAGTTTTTCTATTCATTTTACTAATACTTTTTAAAGAATGCAATTAAAGGGAGCTAACCAGAATACTTTATACAATCATGGATACCAATGCAACTGTCACTTTGTCAATTCTAACTGTAACGAGAATATACAATATATGACTGATGAAAGTGTAAATTCAAATCTTTATACTTACGGCTCACAAAGGAATCTAAAAGCTGAAGACTTTCTGGAATATCATTTGAACCATCAACTAAGGGGAAACCTTCTTTCAAATATTCAGGAAACAATTGTTCAGGCTCACAAACATCACCATTAAAGCCTCTGTCACATGAACACATCATCGTGCTGCTACATTCCCCTATAAAAACAATTGTAGCTTCCAGAGATGAGCAATAAAATTGAAACAATAAAATACTGAAAAAAAATTGTAACATGCAAACAAGATAAATACTTTTTCTACAAACTTTTGGTGACATATTTTATCATTTAAGCACCAAATTAAAAGAGTGATATCTTTTTTTTCACTAACAATACAAAATGAAACAATTGTTCTGTCAGGTTTTAAAAACACATATTTTGAAAAGCAACTGTGAGACACTTATATTTAAAGTATAACCAGTTACAGACGCTGTGAATTATCAGGAAAAATGTGTACCTGACCCTCAGTTAATGTGGCTTGTGGTTATTTTAATATATATCAGATTATCAGATTATAATTTACAGGGTCAAAAATTTGAGACCATCATAATTACATAAAAAAATTATATCAAAAAATTATACTTGATTGTAAATTTGAACTTATAGAGAGCCGAAGATGTTGTTGACATAAACACTCTACTCATCCTAATGTTTATTGGCACAATAAACACTATAACTATTTAGCCTAAACTCTACTCATTACAAATATACAGCAAACAAGAAACTTTCACAAAATAATGTCTCACCTTTCCCTAAGCAGTGCTGCATACATGACATACCAACAAACACATTATCTAACGCCCATTGAGGTCCATAATCATCTGCTGGGATCACACCCTGGTACCAACGAAATCTCAAAGACCTGATAACAGTTTTATTAATATCTATAATTCACCTTCAATCAGCAACCACAATAAATATGTTTGTTTTTACATGTCACATTTCAAAAGAGAAACCTTAAACAGGCTAATAGGAGACCTTCAATAACTTAAGAGGGTACAGTGATTTTTCTTGTAACACAAAAAACCTTGTTTGAAATTTAAGGTAAGTCACTAAGACAGCAGCTGCTGTTTCATTTAATATTTCATCTTTTATGCAAATTTTAAGTTTCTTTTGTTGTCTCTTTTTCATTCCCCAGAAATGCTTATATTTTAATTTCTTAAAAGCCTATAATTTTGTGTCTTGTTATAGTTTCTTAAAAGATACTCATCAGCCAGTTTCCTTAACCATATTTTGCTTCTGTTTCTTTTTTTGGAATTAGTACAGTCATACTGATTAAGTGTTTTGTATGGAAGTAAAAATACTACTTTGTTTACATTTTGCTACTTTTATGTCACAGAATTTCACATTCATGGCTATATTATTCAGACTATAAGCATCTAACATACTTTTAATCATTATTTAAACATTATAAAACTCATAATTCACATTTCTAAAGATGAAGAAAACTTACAAGTTTCTGAGGCAATATATGTAAAAATTTGGATACGTGACAAAATACATACCCACAAGCATATAGACTGTCAAGAGGTATGACAATTCTCCTCCAATATTTTGAAGTTCCGCCATAAAATATACTGGGATGTAGAAGACTATCGTGACAATTAGTGTATGACTCTGTGGCACAATTTGGTATAACTAAATGCCATGTTTTACCACCATCCGCTGAATACTCTAATCTTACAGGATATTTGTGAGTGGCTTCTGACGAACAACCAACATTAATCTGTAAATATGATGATATTCCTTACAACATATATTACACATCTATAACACATTTATAACATTCCATGTTTGTAATGTCTGTTTTCATTGGACAATAATATTATTGAGATTTTTATTTCATTCATATTTATGAATTGCTTCATTATGACATATACTATAAGTGTCAATATTTTGAAGACTTGTAGAGCGTTTTTGGTCTGTTAATCGGGTGACTTGTGTTCAATTTGCGAACGATGCAGGTAACTTTCGTTGTGATTTATTATGAAATTTTTTCTACAGTCATTTGCACTGAACCTCTGCTATTGCATAAACAGAAGTTTCGATTCCCTGTGGAAGTGAAGGCAACTACTCGTAGTACTGGTAAGCTGCTTGACAGCCTGCCAAGGAGCCCAGGAATGATGCAGTGGTTGAACTGTGCTCTGGTAAAAACAATTTGGCTTCTGCCATGATCTGGAGTAAAACCACTTTTGACAGGTTATTTGACCATATATTAACTGCTGTGCAGCTCCAGTTATTCAAGCTAATAACCCTACATATTGAGCTATATAACATTGAAACTAATACAATGTTAGCAGTTTTTGCCAAGTTAATATCTGATAATCATAGGAACATATAAATTGTTGATCATCTTCTTGTGGTACTTCTTTCTCAATTATGAAGAAATTTGATATTTATTCTTATAAATGATGAATATCATACAAATATGAGGTATTATTATATCAATTTGTCTACAAATTCAAAATTCAATTCTCATGATTTGTTTGTTGGATTTGAATTTAATTTACATAACACTGTAAAGTTATATAGTGCCTTTTCAGCATTCAACCCTGGAGGAAGACCCTAGGTGCCCCTTCATGCATTATTTCAGGCATGTGCAGAAATAAAGAGTAGAACCACTGACCTTTCACATGAAGGAATCCAAATAAGCAAGTGATTTAAGTCAGCAACATTAACTTTTAGGCATGCAAACCCCTATGATTATCTCTTGTTACATAAATCATGCAGAATTAGGTCACTGGGTCATATAAAAGGTCATCTCACATTAAAATTTGACTTGAAAATGTACTTACATCAAACTGCAAGACAGACATTGGACCAACATCTAAATCTCGAGTTATAACTGAGTTCTCGCCTTGATCTAAGCCTTGTTTGAATACTAAAGCGGACTCCCCAGCACCCTCTGTATCTGATCTGTATAACAGATATAGATGTACAGGATCTCAAATAGTTGACATATACATTTAATGAAACTTCAAGCCTAAAAAACCAGGAATGTGAGATTTTTATCACACAACTAAATGCAGTGAAATTTATAAAAATTTACTTGTTTTGAAATTTTACTCGCACTTTTGTACACTGCTTTTTCTTTTGAGATGTATAGAAGAAGAGAAATGATGTCACAACAATGTTATATTACACATGTGTAATATAAAGAAATGTGTAATGATTATATAACATCAAAAAGAAGGAAAATCATATGATAAAACAACATTTTTTACAACACATTTGATATCATTTACATCAAGTGACTCCTTCACTGTTTTAGAAAGATATTACTGTTTATAAGAAAGAAAGCAAAAATTATTTCCATACTTCTCCTTACACTGAATTAAATCAAAGGTAAATCAAATATTGAAATGGTATTATTAAAACACAGATATTTAAATCTTTTAAAAGTAGACACTACAAATGAATTCCTAAAATCAATTCAAACAATTAATACTTTGTTAAAAGTAACAAGAACCGGTTGAACCGGGTGATGCTCCCCGAGAAGGTTCTGGACACAGGAAGGTATAAAAAAAATGAACAAAGGGCAAAAACTCCAAAATTAGGCAAGGCGGAGTTATGTTTTTTGCACTGCACTTCTATTCAATGAGATCTATCTAGCTATAAAGTTTCCTGATGATATCAGAGTTATGTCCCGGTTAAAATTAAAAGTGCAAAAATGAACAAAGGGCAATAACTCCAAAATTAGACCAGGCTTTGTTTAGGTTCTTTAAGCATTTAAGCATTGACAAAAGTCAAAAAGTAAAAATAAACAAAAGGGCAATAACTTCAAAATAAGACAAGGCATAGTAATGATTCTTAAGCACTGCACTTCCACCCAATGAGACCTATCTATCTACAAAGTTTCATGTTGATATCTCTTATAATTTTAGAGTTATGTCCTGGACAAAGTTCAAAGTGTGAAAATAAACAAAGGGGGATAATTCAAAAATTAGGCAAGGCAGAGTTACGGTTCTTGTGCACTGCACACCTACTCAATGAGATCTATCTACCTACAAAGTTTTATGTTGATACCTATTATAGTTTTAGAGTTATGTCCTGGACAAAGTTCAAAGTGTAAAATAAACAAAGGGGAATAATTCAAAAATTAGGCAAGGCAGAGTTACGGTTCTTGTGCACTGCACACCTACTCAATGAGATCTATCTACCTACAAAGTTTCATGTTGATACCTCTTATACTTTTAGAGTTATGTCCTGGACAAAGTTCAAAAAGTAAAATAAACAAAGGGGGATAATTCAAAATAAGGCAAGGCAGAGTAATGATTCTTAAGCACTGCACTTCCACCCAATGAGACCTATCTATCTACAAAGTTTCATGTTGATATCTCTTATAGTTTTAGAGTTATGTCCTGGACAAAGTTCAAAGTGTGAAAATAAACAAAGGGGGATAATTAAAAAATTAGGCAAGGCAGTGTTACGGTTCTTGTGCACTGCACATCTACTCAATGAGATCTATCTACCTACAAAGTTTTATGTTGATACCTATAATAGTTTTAGAGTTATGTCCTGGACAAAGTTCAAAGTGTAAAATAAACAAAGGGGAATAATTCAAAAATTAGGCAAGGCAGAGTTACGGTTCTTGTGCACTGCACACCTACTCAATGAGATCTATCTACCTACAAAGTTTCATGTTGATACCTCTTATACTTTTAGAGTTATGTCCTGGACAAAGTTCAAAAAGTAAAATAAACAAAGGGGGATAATTCAAAAATTAGGCAAGACAGAGTTACAGTTCTTGTGCACTGCACACCTACTCAATGAGATCTATCTACCTACAAAGTTTCATGTTGATACCTCTTATACTTTTAGAGTTATGTCCTGGACAAAGTTCAAAGTGTAAAATAAACAAAGGGGGATAATTCAAAAATTAGGCAAGGCAGAGTTACAGTTCTTGTACACTGCACACCTACTCAATGAGATCTATCTACCTACAAAGTTTCATGTTGATACCTATTATACTTTTAGAGTTATGTCCTGGACAAAGTTCAAAGTGTAAAAAAAAACAAAGGGGAATAATTCAAAAATTAAGCAAGGCAGAGTTACGGTTCTTGTGCACTGCACACCTACTCAATGAGATCTATCTACATACAAAGTTTCATGTTGATACCTCTTGTTGTTTCAAAGTTATGTCCCGGACAAGAAAAGGGGACGGACGGACGGAAAGACGGATGGACAAGGCGGCGACTATATGCTCCCCCGAAATTTTTCGGGGAGCATAAGAAGAGAATGAGATGAATCAGTTTCAAAAACTTCAGCTTTATTACCTGGTGTTTTGTTCACAATAGGAACCAATTTCTCCCTCATTTACAAACAACCAGGAGTCAGAATTTATATTTGTGTTGAAATCATCCGACATAGAGCTTGGATTCATGGTCATTCGTCCAATAAACAAATTATCTATAGCCCATGTAGACTGCATTTTCCCTGAAATTAAGATTATGTTTATGCCATTTAAAGCATTCAGTTTTATTTCATACCAAATTAAATATCTTAAATGGACTTATTATCCTTCAATCTAGAATACATTTAAAAAACAGTTTTAATGCATTGATAGTCAAATCAGGAACATTTCTTGGGTACTTGTATATATACATGTATTTACAAGGTTTTGACCTGAATACATCCCCTACTGCTACTTACCATTTGCTTTCTATGGTAGTTCATCATTTTTTTGGAAAATATTAAAGTAAGTACTGACTGAATAGTGACCAGTGCAGACCATTATAAGACATCACGGATGTGCTGGCTGTTCTTGGTCTGCACTGCTCACAAGGGCAGAATCTGCTGTCCCCAGCAGGTAAAGGGTTACATTTTCTTCTATTGACCCTTAAACCAGCTTTGAGAACAAGAATTTAGTTAATTATATACTTATAAATGAAATATTGAGAAATATTGATGAAATAAAATGTGTATTTTCATTTTCTGTATTTCTACTATAAAAATTTATTTTTCACTGCATATTTTCCATATTTTCACTGGTGTCTTGGCGGACTACTTTCTTTTAAATTCTGCCAGTACACAAAATTTAAGGGAAAGTCTTTCAAATTGTAATGTCAAAAAAGAGACAAATGTATATAATAAACAGAAAATTCAAGTTTTTCTATAAATACGAGATCTTGTGGCATGAAAATTATCTTATTTCACTTGTGGCTACCACCACTCATGAAATATTTATTTTCATGCCACTAGATGAAAATAAATCATGTATTTATAGAAAAAATATAAATATCCTCTTTGTATTACAAAAAAGTATGCTAAGCTTAGTAAAGTATATAATGACACAGCTTTATAACTTTATAATACTAAGAGAACTTACAAAACATTCCTAGATGTCATTTAGTCACAATATATTTTTATTATAACCATGTCATACATGATGTGAGTGTAACAAAGAACAATTAGTAATGAAGGTATGAATATTGAATGTTTATTTTGAATTTGAAGTAAATGAAAGTTAAAAGAACGAATAGGAAAAATTAAAAGTTTAAGGAGGAGATAATTCTAAAAATATGGATGCTAGATTTATAAACCTTGTCATATTATTGTCATATATATTATTATGATGTGGGAGTTTGAAGAAAATCCTATCATAATTGAAGAAAATTACCAATTTCTCAAAAGTTCAAAAGGGGCATAATTCTGGACATAGTCTTGCTAGAGTTTTGAACACTCACAAATGTTGAGTGATAATAAGAAACATTTATATGAAGTTTGAAGTAGATACGTTCAGAAAAAAGAAGTTATTAAAAAAAGCAATGTTTTTTAATGAAAATTTTAAGTTCGAGGGAGGTAATTCTGATAAATTATGTGCTAGAGTTGTAAACTTTGTCACATATGATGTGGTTGATGACTAGCAACTTATATTTAAAGTTTGAAGAAAATACCTTAAGAAATAAAGAACTTATAGTGAAAAAATGAAAAACTAGAATCAGAAATCTTGAAATTCAGTCTATTTGTTGCCATAGCAACAAGATTTTCAATACAGGTAGATAAGAAAAGAATGTGCATAATTTCCATACTGCCATCTACCAATATGTCAAGTTTCATAAAAATATTTTCAGTAATTTTTGCGTTATCACTGGATCCAGGTTATGTGTAAAATTTGCCATATTTTCAGTCTATTTGTTGCCATAGCAACCAGAATTTTCAGCATAGGAATAAAAGAAAAAGACGTGCATAATCTCCATACTGCCATCTATCCATATACCAAGTTTCATAAAAATATTTTCTGTACTTTTTGCGGTATCGCGGGATCCAGGTTATGTGTAAAATTTGCCATATTTTCAGTCTATTTGTTGCCATAGCAACCAGACTTTTCAACATAGGAAGAAAAGAAAAAGACGTGCATAATCTCCAAACTGCCATCTATCCATATATCAAGTTTCATAAAAATATTTTCAGTACTTTTTGCGTTATCCAGTTTTGTGGACGGACGGACGGACTGACGGACGGACGGACGGACAGACAGACAGACGGAGGGTAAACCTAAAGTCCCCTCCGGTAAACCGGTAGGGGACTAACAAGTTTTTCCTAGCTATGTAGAATTAAACAATTAACAATGTTTGTCAAAGTTGACCAGACAAAGCATGATGATCACATTTCTTGGTCAATCATTTGATGACAAAAAAAGTTACCTTTGAAAAGATTGTTTACATATTAAATTAGGACAAAAGTCAACATGTGATCAGATTTTAGCTTTGTACTTGCCCATGTGCTCATGTGAGCTTGGAATAGACTAGAAGAGTATTTTAAACAATATAATCAGTGAATAACATGTAAATGTTTGTTTGCTGGACTACAGTTTATCATGTTGCCAGAAAAAAACAAAATAAATGGACATAATTGTTTACAGTAATGACACAATATTGTAAGTGTTGCTATAGTTGAAAGTTGCCTTAACAGAAATAGATTATTTTTCAAATGACCATCTATCTTAACTGTTAATAATGCCAAACCTGACATAGATAGAAACAATAATGATGATTACATATACATTTATATATACCTTCATTTGATGGTTGCCAAAATCTAAACCTTGTTGAATTGTGTCGTGCTTTTACTGGTAATTCAAGACTAAAAAATCTGGAAAACAACAACAACAAATTGAACAATTATATCATCTTATTGTGTAACATAATACTTGTATATCTGTTGACCCATATCAAATCAGAAATTTTAAGTGGATTTGACTTATTTGAATGTGAAGGTATTTTTTGTCATTGCACACAGAAAAATTAATTGATTTGAATTAGTTGCATTATGTAGGACGAAAATTGGTGCCGGTAATCATACTCATGGACTTACTGTTTGAAATTTGGTCATCAAAATAGAATGCTCGTGTGTTATGTATGCATAACATATGTTTACCATCCTATTTCAAAAGTGGTAGTATCAATAATATATAACAAAATGTCTCCTTTGCAAACAAAAACAAATAAATGTAAACATATTTTTTTTCATCTGTCATGTGTAACACTCAGGACCCTGGCCTCGAGGTTACTAGTTTAAAACTTTCTGAGTGTTGTCTCAAATTTCAGGAATGTCATTGGTCAATCAAACACGTGAGATCTGAGTTTAAGCCTGAACAATTTCTTGACACCTCGGAACCTGTGTTTTTTTGTTTTTTGTGACTACAACACCCTTGTTTAATTAAAATAATAATAATAAAATTAAAAAAAAATATATAAACCTTTATAAACACAGGTAAAGTGTTTAATTGGCTTCATTCTGACTTTTCTACTAATGTCTTGCAATGTTTATTTAGGTGTTTTTTTTTATTAAATTCAAATAACAAAAAAAAGTTAGTTATACAGTTAGATTTTTAATACCTTGGCTTTGTGACATTGGGATAATGTAGCTCCTTGACAAGATTCCAGGTTATCCCTCCATTGTTGGAATACTGTAATAAAACACTTTGATTACGAGACCATTCTATCTTCTTTCCTTTACAGCCATACAAGAAGTCAAATTCTATTGTGTTCAACATACTGGTGTCCAAATCTCTTGTAACTGCCATTCTGAGCTTATCCTAAAGAATGAAAAATAGATTTTGAATTACATCTGCATGTAGTAAAGCAAGTCTACAAGATAGATTCAGCCACACCTTGAATATGAAATACTGTTATTGTTACTGTAATATATAGAAGTTAACTGGTAGATATGACAAGTGTATGAGTTTATACTTAATGGATGCAACACATATAGAAAAATATATAAACCACCCTTTGGGTTTTGTTTAGTTTGTGTGCTAGTAAGCCATCCAAATATGTTATAATTATAAATATTACACTGTACACCATGAAATTTTTCTGATTTTAAAAAATTTCATAAAGATTTTTACTTAAAAGGGGGCATAATTCCTAATTACGATTTTTAATTTGGAATATATATTACATGTATATGTTATTCATCACACACCAAATGTATAAACTGAAACCATAAACTTTCTCATCAGAACTTTTGAAATATTCTACTCATACGACTAGTGCAGACCAATATTAGCTAGTCTGAGCATGGTCTACACTTATCACTATTCAGTCAGTACATATTCTGAAATTTTTCCCTAAAAATGATCAACAATTTTAATATATTTAGAATGGTAAGGATTGAGAAACAACAACTTACATCAGTGAAAGTTAAAGAATTTCCACTGACTAATGTTCCACATTGTTTTGTAAGCTGACCACCATATACCTCTAACCAGTTATCATTCATGGGCTTTTCACGGTTAAAGTCATCCCTTAACATCATAGGAAGAGGTTTAGAGGGTACACAAAACTCTCCACTATATCCATCATCACATCTGAATTATAAAAAGAAAGAAATTAGAATTTGGCAAAGTTATGAGCACTTTTATATAAATGCATATACACTGTAAAGTAAGTTTGGAACACTCGTTTATCTCTTAACATGCTGGAACAAGATGTATTTAGCCTTTAATAACAGTATAGAGCCAGCATGCATTGTCTGTGAGTCTGACCAGGCACTAATAATTATAATAGCTCACTTTTTGTATTTTTTTGGTATTGAATTGCCTAAACTTTTGAATGGACTGTTCCAAATTCAAAATAGGGCAAATCCATTGGTTAAGAGTTTAACATGTTAATGAACTTGCTAAGTTTGTACAAATAATGTCATTATTGATACAGTTATCACATCCCCCTTTTTTACTATAGATGTATTTACGATGTCATATTTCATATATAATATACTGTAGTTATAACCTTGACCTTGTATTGAGAAAAGCACTCCTTTTATAAAGACATCCTTTTTAGCTAATGTTAAATATAACAGCTAAAGTTATCTCTCTTTCTGTGTTTTACTCAAAAACAATGATCAGCCCATTACTTACATTGTGTCTGTTGCAAGTATTTTTCTGTTTTTGTTTTGGTTTGTTTTTAAGTAAAACCATCACTTTGAAGCTAATATGGCAGCTTTTCAGCTTTACTGTTGGAGAAATACCTCAGATGCCCTTCGGTAGATTATTTCAGGCAGGAGTGGGCACCTGAGTAGAACCACCAATGTTCAATAAGCTAGCTAGATAGTTTTCTCTAATATAAGAATCAAAAGTCCATAAACAGATTAAGTCCTTATCAGTGAGGGGAAAGTGATTCACAACCTTAAACACTTAACATCAGCCAGGTACACCATCAGTTATCATCAGTGACAGGTGTCATAAAAACACATTTTCTTTAAGTTACATACAGTCTGTTGCTTGAGTAATAATTCCACTTTACTTAAATGCTGTATATATAAGTGGCGGCATGGTTCAGTGGTTAACGCATCAGACTAGTAATCTAATGATAGCTAGCCGCATTGTTGCAGACCCCATCAGGGACAAGCTGTTGTTCCTGCAGCAAGAAACTTTACACTCACTGCTCAGTACTGGTTAGTTCCAAGAACCGATTCAAATGTGTGTCTATAAGCTTATAGCTTCCTTCACAATCGAATTAAAATCAATTCTGTATAAACCAAATGTCGTATATACTGGCATTGTTGTTTTTTATTTAATTCTAAAATTATAACAACTCACACACATGCTCCTTTATCACAATAACCATGGCCTGAACACAACCATGGACAACCATCTCCTAGATACACATTGTCAAGAGCCCAAACATTCCCACGGTTACTTTGACTATGTTGTTGCCATCTAAATCGTGTGGCTGGAGAACTAAAAAGACATCAAGACTTTTGTGTGTTTTCATGTTATATATTTGTTCATATTATGAATGATGATACACCTTATATATGTGATTGTACTAGTATCTTTATAACTTGCTCACCACCATTAAACTTTCATAAGATTTAAATCAATTGTAGATGCAGAACATGGAGCTGAATGCTGGAGCAACATCTAAGGTGTTTATTTACTCTTAGATATTTACGTAAGATTCCATGAAAAATGATATATTTCATTTCCTAGTAGGCCAGTACATACCAAACTCAGGCAGCACATGTTTGCTTTTCAGTCAGTACATATTTTAAAATTCTCCCAATTAATGATGAAGATTTTTGTCCTAACTGAAAAAATGAACAAATATATTTAAGACATTACGCTTAATAAAGGTTAACAAGCTAAAAAAAATGACTCATTTTGTCCAAATTGAAAAATGGACAAATCCAATTTAAAATATCTAGCTTGATAAATGTTAACATATATTAATATAATACAACAATGAAAATACATACACAGCACCGTTAGGAAGGTACGCTGAAATTCGTGTCCAATTTCTATGTTGATCAGACATAAAGTCACTCTGTAAGTGGTACCCAGTGCACTCAAATTTCGGTGGTGTACATTCCTGGACAACTGGGTTCCAGTTTTTACCCATATCTGTAGAATACTCAAGCAGAACTCCATACAGGCTACTGGAAAGAGAGTCACATCCCATAGCAATGTCAAACTGCAGGAAGGTGGATGGTTTTATATGATAGTCCCAAGTTTCTGCAAATCTCTTTTCTGTGAAAAAAGGGGGCATTAAAATGAGCACACTGAGAAAAATTTTCTGTGAATCCCTTTGTAGAAATTTTATAAAAGAAATGAACATGACACTAAAAAGACAAATCATGTATATGACAGTACTTGTTTTATAACATAGAAAAGATATATTGTTAAGTAAAAATAACATATAATAGTATCTAGGGAACAACTTTTTATTAAGACTGTATCATTTTGTTCTGTGAAGATGCTTTTTTACACACCTAAGTTTTTGCTGTTACATTACCTGTTCATTTTCCTTACTTTAAAAATAAGATATTAATCTATGAAAGTATGCCATTACCAATTCAAATTTCTTGTATTCTAAAATATAAGTATTTAACCACCATTATAATTATGTTTATATCTAGGCTAAACTTTTATCTCTTAACTTACTGAAACCAGTGTAGAGCCAGACAAGCCTATTCATCTGTGCAGACTGACTAGACTCTATACTGTTTGTAGCTGAATTTTAGATATCATTTTAATTCTGAATGAACTGTTTCAAATTGAAAGCTGAGCAAATCCATTACACAAAGTCGGGAGGTTAAGTGGAAAAAATGGAAATAATGTACCTCCATTTCTGCTGAATTCTAAGGCATTTCCTTTAGAGTTGCATGTGATTCTTGGAACAGCACTTTCCGTCTGATACCATGTAAACATATCCGGCATCATTCCTGAAAAGTTGTCTTGAAATCCCTCCATGTTTGTCTCATTCACTCCTATTGTAACTCTATCAAGTCCCCATTCTGCTCGAGTCATCCCTTTAGAGTAAGTATAGAGTAATAGAAAACATTTTCCATTATTCACATCTCTTTTCCCAAGATATGGTCAATAAAACTTTCCTTTCAGTGTTTGAGAAATTTGAAATCAAAATTGAGTGTTATATTTTTGAAGGACAAAAGTTATGAGTTTGTAAAACATTACCACAATATAACTGTTAAAGGCATACATTAAGTTAAGAAAATTTATAGTATGTTGATACAATTATGACAAATCAGACAGATTCAGTCTTCAGAAAAAACTTATAAGTTATTCAAATTAATGTTATCTTATGGTATTCAAACATGTTAAATGTTAACAGTAGTTGGTCACCAAATTTTCTTATAATTTTTTTTTAGAGTTTTATATGTAGCACCATATCTAGCATTTCTGAATTAACATTATCAAAATTTAATTTCCTTAGCCATAATACACTCATGATAGAAATATTCAACTCGTATTTTTCATTTACTTTATAAAGAAATTGATTCTTACCACCATAACCTAATGGTTGTCTCCATCTGAATATAGTTCTTTCTGTTTTAGCTTCTGCTGGCAGCTCTAGAACCACTCGCTCTCGTGTTCCATTGTACAATATTGGTTCAATATCCTGTCAATTATGTAATAGCTTAATTAATTATATAACTAACTTAAAGATATACTATGCTCAAATATGATGTTAGAAAATATTGATGATTGTTACACAGTCTCTTTATAAATATAAAATAAACATGTCTGACTTCACATGAAGTAGATATGTTAATATTTTAAACTCTACGCACTACAGGTGGTCACAATATATAGTGTCATTAAAAAACTAATTGAACTTACTTAATAAACTCATTTTTAGAGTTCATGCAGCCGTCTATAAGAATCTAATGCAGACATTTATACTTTATTGTTAAAGCAATCATCAAATATGAATAAACTGAATATCAAACTTATTGGAATTGCATTTGAAAGCCATTTTATTTTTTTTTTAAATTGGAGTCATTCTTATAATTACCATAGCGGCCCTTGACATAGTTATTGCCACAAGGTAATTTTTTACACAAAAAGATCAAAATGTGAACAACTGAGACATTTTAGGTTTCAAATGCCATGATGCAAACTTGATATCTAATCAAAATAATATATATTTTTTTTAAGGAAGTTGATATCAACAGTTAATGTTGCTTCCTGTTTGGCAAAGTCTGACACTTGGTCATGATTTGAACAAATTCGGTAAAAATCTTGAACATTAAACTACTCACAATCTAAATTCTAAGCCAAGCAGGTTTGGAGAATTTATATATTTGACCTCCTTGCATATAAAACACACACATAGTGACTCTATCTCTAAAACCATGTTGATAAAATTTCTTTTAAAGTTTGATCAAAATGAAATGAAAAATGAAAATAACATTATGGGAATCAACTACACATTTAAAGATGGATGTCAGATCATCACCTATGACTGATTATTATAATAATTTGAAAATTTGGTAATTTGTACATTGGAAGTAAAAAAATGGAACTATTCAATGTATTTCCAAGAACTGGAAAGGTAACTACCAGTTTGATCAATCTATTTTATATTTTATGAAAGAAAAAAAAACAACATTATATGAAAGACCTTTTCTGGATGTTGAATACCAAGTTTGGTGAGACAGCAATTATAGGTCCATACTTGTCATGATCATTTCATTTTGAAATTAAAAGTTTATTCATTTTCCTTGATTACAAACTATAAAGTATCATTCAACAGAGACATCTGAAAGAATACTTGCCTTTAGTAGTTGCCAGGTAATTTCGTTATCTGTTGAGAAGTCTAAAATAATTCCTTCATTTGGAGATGATGGCTGAATGCACTGATACTTCTTATCTGTACTACCTATCTTCACTACAAACTCTAGAATCCTGTAGATAATAGCAATAGAACATTGATAATGCATGTTTATACACATGTACAGAAGAAAGCGGCCGACTTAATGGTAAAATATGAATATGAAAATATATTCATATTGTGCAATAAGCCATGTGTGACTGTCTTTGCAATCGTAAACAAAAAATTCAACAAGGACCGTAACGCTGCAAACATCATTTAGAAATTGCCCACATGCTACAGACTGATGATGTACTTAAACAATCATCATCTATATCTAAGTCTATGACTCTTTAACTTGTAAACATGCCCTTAATGACTATACTTTTTCTCATAGTAGTCCATTTTGATTTTAAAAAAATTACAATTGATTTTGCTAAATTTAGACATTTCTCCAATAAAAGTCCAATTATTTTTCGCATTTGACATTAGAGAAATTTTCGTTATTTAAGTTTGAGTGTTTTTTGTAACTTGAATGATTTTACCTTAGATATGTGGTATTCAGTGCAACCGTCACAGCTTCCCTTGTACCATCACCGTCAAAAATTAAGGCATTTCCTGAATCAACAATTCCACAACTAACCCCTAGATGGCCTCCCCAGATACGTTTCCAGAAATCTGATGGACGATGTAATTGTTCAAATCTATCTAACATTCCATATGGAGTTGGATCATCAGATTGGCATGTGGGATCTGAGAATAACAAATTTAAAATACAAAACACCTAGTTTACATATATATTCTTATTATCAAAATGGGCGAGTGTTTAAAAAAAGTGCTTATTTACCTGTAATAAAAATGAGTATTATAAGAAAATGTCCCCTAACAAAATATTTAACTGCTAACAAAATATTTAACTCATTTTTGTTGATATTTGACACTTACACTTAAAGAAATAAAAACAATGAGTTTTACTTATATATTTGTGGGATTACCTGAAAAGTCAGAAACTTTCACAAATATCAGTAATAGTACCTTCTGATTGTGTATCACAAACACAAGCACCTTTTTTACAGACACCATTTCTATGACAGTTATCAGGACATGGAGGACCAATATATACATCATCTAGGGCAAAATTGTATGGATACCCTCCTGGCTGCCACCATCTCAAAATTATAGGACTGGAAAAAAATAACATCATTAATTTCTTTTACTCAGAAAGCTTTTCGTATCAATATTTTTACACAGAATAAGTAAATGCAAATAAATGAAGGCCCAAACTGTATCAGAAATTTTTTGTCTGAAGCCATTTGTTTATCTCTGTAAATGTGTTTCTTTTTTGTCTGTTTTGTGATGTGCTCATATAATTTATGCTTTATATGGATTGTGAATAAATGTACTACAGTATTAATGTATGCATGCTAATTTTGCATTAGCCATATTTATCGCTTTATTTCTTAAATTTGCCAAAGGTATTTTATACACCTTCTTGTTGAATACACACTGATACAATTTTAGATATTTTTCTAGTTATGTTGTACATGATGAGTTTGCAAAAAGGGAGTTACTAGTATGTGTATCTACATTTTAAGTCTTGAATACTTTTAAAGTTCTGATTCTTACAAAAAATTGTATAAAGGGAAATAATTAGAACAGTTCAAGATCTGGTTCATTTACACTTACCATATATTCATATTCAAGTTTCATGGCAACCCTTTGAATAATTTTGGAGAGACCCAATGCAAACAGAAAATATGAAAAAAGGAACAGTGAGAGTTATGGTTATTTCACTATTTACATCCTTCAAATCACCTAATATCTATATTTCAAGTTTCAAGACTATTCTCAAACTGTTTTGAAGGTATAGATGTGCCTGACTCTATACTGGAGGTAAATGCTAATCACTTTCAGTTTCAGCTGGTTCATGGTTAAAACATTATTAATGACAGTATTTTTAATCTTACTATTTAGCAAGTTGTTCTGTGACAGGTATGACAACAAGTTGCCAATGACCTTGAGGGCCAGCATAATACACACTGCCTTCTGTGTTTCTACCATCACAAGCCATCTCTTGATAACACGCCTCTTGAACTAGACGAAATCCATTACCACCCCTTGGCCAATATTGAAAAAACACTGGATGGTTCCATCTAAACTGGTTACTACATCCCACATTAATCTTAAAAATATAAAACTCAAATATTGATCAAAATGAAAAACCTTATTGTCCAAGAAGTAAGCAATAAAGTCATTATTATTAAAATTAATTTTGCACAACTTGTTTTGATATACTGTCATAAGCTAGCCCACTAAGACTAAATAAACAGACATCACTATTGTTGATGCATACACATTACCATAAAGAAACACATGGATTAATGCATACAATTTCTATAATCAAGCATGCTATGAAAAACACACGGTTTTGGCCTAATGTTTTACCTTATTTTATAGATCAAATAATGCAACATAAAAATCATGAGTTCAAAAGTTCTCAAATTCATGGAAAAAAAAATCATTTCACTGCAAGAAATCAATTTTTAACAAAAAGTTATTTGTTTTCCAAGCAACATAAAAAATGGCAAACCTTGAATTGAATGACATCCCCGACTTGCAAATTAAGGTCTTTGGTGATGACTTTTTTGTCTGAATCGCGGTTAGCCAAGATAAGGACTGGGTTCTGTGAGTTACAATACTTGCCAATCACACCACCAGCTACTGTCATCCACATATTAGAATCTAGCGGCTCTGTAGAACCCTGAAGTTTAAACATAAAGAAAATTAAAATGAGATTTAAATGGATGTAAAGATTCCTAGAGAAAGCTGTATGTTATAGTTTTTATATATTTCAACTTTTAATAACATCTTGTGTGCAATGAGTATTCCTGGCAATATACAATTTTGCCATAGAGTGTTAGAAAAGTAAATTACTGACAATGAATGATATATCCAATTATACTCAAGGATACAATTTTGTAAGAAGTGATTTTTGCAAACTTTACATCTAGATTAATAAGACATCATAATCTGCATACATTTTCACAAAAAATCTTATGATTTATCTTTTTACTTACGATAATTGTAAGTGAAATCTTAAGTCATTTTCACAAAGCCACTCGTAAGTTAACAATAAATCTTATGATAAAAACCATCCCTAGCAATGTTCATTTGATATTGATGCGCATGCTCTATATTTGTTTCCAGTTGTAAAACTTAGTTTTGTCCTTCCATTTTTTTTATTGTTTTTATTCTGTTTAGATAAAACATACATGGTATTTAAAAAAGACACTTATGAATGGGGAACACCTATCGTAAAGTAACGATAATTTTGCACTTACTATTTTCCTAATATTTTGTGAAAAGGAGATTTATAGTAAGGTTTCTCTTGTGATAAATATTTGTCGTAAGTTTTTTTTCGAAAATGTCTGCTGCAATAATATGGAACAGTGTGAATAACAGTGTGTTGGACTAAATAAATAACAACCACAAATTCAAACATAAATATGTAAAAGCAGTTATATTTTAAACATACGTTAAAATCATCTTCCAGTGACGGGAGGTTTTCGTATTGTCCGAGTTGCATTTCATCCACAGCCCATTGATTGTATCCTTTTCCAGAGTGTTTAGGCTGCCACAAGCGAAATCGTGTACTGGGTGATTTTGCATCTTTAGGCAAGTCATTTGAAACTAGCCTAAAATTACATTTATGATAAAGATAATTTCATAAATATTCATTTTAAAATACCTTTACAAACAAGAGGGTCTTCAGTACATCTTGTATAAACTTTATACATGCTATTCAAGTTTCATTATAAGCTAAAAAATAAAAATATACCATTTTATTATTATCAACTGCGGTAAAATATACCAGTTTATTATTATTAACTGCGGTAAAATATACCAGTTTATTATTATTAACTGTGGTAAGACAACTTTATATAGGTAATATATTGAGATAAATTCCGGTAAGATAAACCTCAGACTGTAAAAATGTAAATTAATTTACAGAATAATGCATATCCTATTTTGCACCTAAAATCAAGATATAATGTTAATGTTTGTAGTATATTATCAATTTATTTTGACTTAATAACATTTTGATTATAAATTTAAAAATCATACTTAGGTGTTAAATACAAAGTGCCTTCAAGCTCATCAAGAAGGTTCCATGTGACGCCACCATTGTTTGAATATTGTAGAATAACACCTTCCGATCTATGATCTCCACCATTACAATATTGACCACCACCACCAATACGTATGTAGAATTGTATATAATCTGCATTACGTGTATCCATGTCTTTACTTACTAGTTCCCTCACGCCATTCTAGTCATAAATCAAAGTACTATAGTACAGATGGGCAGATTGAGATGAAATTGACATTTAGTCAAACAATAATTTATTGAGTATAACGAGGTAAAGGAGTTTATATTTGCCAGGTATATAACTGTTGTATTGATGAACTTCAGTAGATAATGCGGGTGTTTTCCACTTTCTGGTACTTAATCGGCGTTGAGGCGATTTTATTTTAGGGAAGTAGTGGTTTATCAACTGCAATGTTCTTTAAATGCAGTCTTCAAAAAATTTAGTCCAAATCAAATGAATTATCTGCTGCAAATTATGTCATGTCTAACAGTTTGAATGTGCCATTTTTACGATCAATATACAGTGATAGATTTACTCTGCATGGCTAATACTCAACAGTTTTTGCCGTAAAATTCGATTTTGTAACTATGATAAAGTGGTTACAGAGAAGAAATCACTTTGAATAATGGATGATATATGGACAACAGACAATAAACAAAATCTAAAATGAGCACTACATACTAGGGTGAGCTAAAAAATAGATATACCTACATCAAAGAAATAAAGTGATTCATCTGAGTGAATATTGCCACATCCCCGATTATTGCTGACAACTTTTCCTCCTCGTATACTCTCAAAGTCAGTGTCAGGGTGATAGCGTATACCAAAATCTGCCTGCATTTTATCATTGAGGTGTGTAGCAGGGTGACAATCATCTCCTTCATATCCTTCATCACATCTTCAAAATGAAAGCTTGGTTATAAAATCTTAACTATTATAACAAATTTCAAAGTATTATTTTAAACACCTATCTGTGCTCTTCAAAGAAACAATGCTATGCCGGGAAAGCTATAAAAAATCATTTTTAAGTGTTTTTAAAAAGTATCAAATGTAAGTGGTGGTTAATTATGTTTATAAAATATTATTTTTTTGTTTTAAAAGGTGATCCCTTGGAACAGTGTCTATTCTAAGACGCGCGATTGCGCGATTCACGCTAGTATTTCACAGATCGCGCACAATTCAAAATCATGTGCGTGAAAATCGCGCATCTATAAAAAAAGTTTATAAAATCGTTAAACTTCCATCCTGCATTATATTTGGTTGTTTTGTTTACATTTACACCGGAAACCGAAGGGAAGTAACTGTAAGCTAATTATAATAATTTAGTACCATATGGTACGGGTTACGTGAGTTGACGGAAATTAACGGAATGTTCCGTACCGACCGGAACTAGTGTGCTAGGTCTGACAGTTGGGCGCCATTTTAGTGTAGTAAATAATCAAGAAAAATAAGGCAATTCCTAGCTTGGCTACGATCTAGACGTGAAAGATAGGTCTATTGTTTGTACTGTCAATCCCTTAATAATCAATCGAACAGTTCTATAATGATTTGTGTTCGTAAAAAAATAAAGAGGGGACAACTTCTGCTGCCTTAGTTTTAATTATTTCATCGGTTGAACGCCTCAGTTTAAACTTAATGCAGACGATTTAACATTGGCAGTTTATATTGGCACCCCTTGATTTTGAAAATCGCCCCCTTTTTTGAAATAGAGGGGGAAAATCACCCCTATTGTTGAAATCCTAGAATAGACACTGCTTGGAAGCAATTTAATCACAACAAAATAACATGAAAATGGCAAACTCTGTCTGTGATTGAGTCTGTACACGAGGGATAATGAAAATGTGCAACCCTCACAACTCCTAGCACTATCTTGAGCCATACTCAATTTTCAACACTAAACATGCTGCAATCAATGACCCTTAAGGACCAGAAAAATATGGAAAACACTGAAGTTAAGTATGGGGCAACTTTTTACAGTGACACCTGCTGTTGTGAAGTATAAAAATCAAGTCAATAAGGTCAATTACTGCATTTCTTACAGAGATATAAAGAAGTTGTAACAAATATACTCACATGCATATTCCTTCGTTACAATCTCCATGTCCATGACACATATTATGACATTGCTGACCAATATAAAGTCTAGCCACACCCCAAGTATCTGTGTTTGTCCAATCCGATTGTCTCAGACGAAATCTAGTTGATGGTCCCCTTTCAGAAACAAAATACACTGAATGTGTCTAATTGTTCAAACTAAAAAATGTCAAACTTGAAAAAATGCAATTTATGAACAAGAGGACTACGCTGATTTGTAAAAGTACTCATATGATAATTAAATAGTATACTGGGTGGTGTTGGTCAGGGAACAAGAGGGCCATGATGGCCCTGAGGTCGCTCACCTGTATATAGGCATCCCCCCTCCCCCCCTGGCAGGGCCAATTTTAACCCAAGGGCTTTTATTTGAACAAACTTGGTAGACACCCATAAGAAGATGTTTCATGCTAAACATCTAAGCTCTAGCTCATTGGGTTTTTTCAAAGAAGATTTTTTAAGTTTTTACTATACACATATAGTTAAAAACAATGACACCCCTGGAGCGGGGCCAGTTTTGACCCCAGGGCTTTTATTTGAACAAACTTTGTAGACACTTACTAGAAGATGTTTCATGCTTAATATCTTAACTCCAGTTATTTGGGTTTTTTCAAAGAAGATTTTTAAGTTTTTGCTATACACATATAAGGAAAATCAATGACCCCCGGGGCGGACCCAATTTTGACCCCAGAGCTTTTATTTGAACAAACTTTGTAGACACTCACTAGAAGATGTTTCATGCTTAATATCTAAACTCTAGCTATTTGGGTTTTTTCAAAGAATATTTTTTAAGTTTTTGCTATACACATATAAGGAAAATCAATGACCCCCGGGGCAGGGCCAATTTTGACCCCAGGGCTATTATTTGAACAATCTTGGTAGACACCCATTAGAACATGTTTCTTGCTAAATATCTTAGCTCTAGCTCTTTGAATTCTTTAAAAGAAGATTTTTTAAGTTTTTACTATATGCATATAGGGAAAATCAATGATCCCCTGGGGTGGGGCCAATTTTGACCCAAGGGCTTTTCTTTGAACAAACTTGGTAGACACTCACTAGAAGATGTTTCATCTGAAATATCTAAGCTCTAGCTCGTAGGGTTTTTTAGAAGAAGATATTTAAAGTTTTTTCTTTCGGTTGCCATGGCAACCAGAGTTCTGCATGGAATTAAATTCTTTGAACAATTTTTAAAGGTGACCACCAAAGGAACATTCCTGTGAAGTTTGGATGAAATTGGCTTAGTGGTTTATGAGGAGATGTCATTTAAAGTAAAAGTTTACGGCCGGACGCCGGACGAAAAGCTATCACAAAAGCCCTGTCACTTTGTGACAGGTGAGCTAAAAACATGGTCAAATTTTAATTTTACACACAGAAATGTCTCAATTGTCATATTTTGACACAATTAGTTTAAAATATCAAAAGCATGTATTGTTTTCATCATAAATCAAAACTAAAATGTACTTTGAATGTCCCAATTATTTAACACACATGAATATTGTAAGTAAATAGAATAAATTGTTCTGGAACAAAATATTCTATTATTCTTAGTTTAGCAATGGTTTTGTGCATAGGCCATTAACAAGATTATTTAATCATTATTGTACTGTCATTTTCTCTAAGAACCCATATGAAATTTTTTTTAAGATAAACAAAGGTCTATGTTTATTGTTATATAATGTTACTTAGATCCTATTAATCAGCCGAACACACATATGTTATTTTGGCTTACCAAGAAGTTTCTGGTAAAGGTATTGTTACACGTGTCCACTCCTTATATCGTGTCCAGTCATATATTGTCCCTTCATGTATAGGATCACATGGCTCGGGCGGCAGACACGGTTCTATTACAAGGTCCCAATGTATGCCGTGATCAGTTGAATATTCAAGATACACATGGTTGTCCTTTATTTCAGAATATGGCAGACCACATCCCATTACAAGTTCAAATTGTAATATATAACCTGGTCCAACATGCATCGACTCTGTTGTCAATATTCGAGAAAAGTTTCCTTCCGGTTTCCCAATAAAGCTGTAACATAATATACAAGTCATATATTTAAACAATTTGCCAATGTTAACCAAATAGAAAAATTAATAATCAAAACTATAAGCCTCACAATATTTGAATACAAAATTATTGCATACCGTAGGTGATTATAGAATGTGCAATCCTCATATTTTTTTCTTTTTGTAACAACTGCTTTACATTGACAGGGTGAATTTGCTAGCATATTATTTCTATATGAAGTAGATTATAGAAATATACAAATACCTTATACTTTTCATCCTATTACAATAATGATCAGAGAGTTTGCCATTTGTGACAGTTAGTTTTTCATCAAAATCATCAAGGCTTGTCATATGAACATGTATTGTGTTGAAAAGATGGTCATTCAAATTTATGTCATCCAAAGCCCATACATCATTATGAAAGCCTGAATGTTCCGGTTGAAACCATCGAAACTTACAATTACTACCTCTTGCAATATCTGGTAACTTCACCGAATCAGACCTGAAAGTGATCAACACAGACACTATGTTTACAAACACAATCAGCCTAATATTTAGCATACAGTAATGTTGCACTTTAATCAACAAAAACATGATATAATGTTACATTAGTTGATGAAAGTTAATGTAACATATACAGGATGCAATTGTAAAAAAAGATGAAAACTTACAAGATATTCTTGATGAAATAAAAAGAGAAAAAACTGAAAACCTCAAGGCTAGTAATAAGCATGCATGCTGGTGTATATGCTTGGTGTATATGGTTTTTCAGAAAATGATCTGATCTAATTAGAACAATTTAGAAAGTAATTGTTACATTAAATCTCAAATGGTACTTGTTAATCAGCATTCTTTTTTTCAAAATGTTTAAGAAATACCAGGACGATCCCTCACTTACTACTTTGAACTAGTTTATGCCTGCAAAGACAGTTTTGCAAAGAGAGGCCATGCAATACACAGATTTATTTAATTATTGTTAGCATGAAGTCAATCTTAGAAGTTGTTTCTTAAATATTTTATTAGCTTTGATCAATCCTTTACTAAATAGTTATCGATCAAGAATTGGTATAACACTCTTTTGTACATGTATGAACGATGAATGAATTAAGCTATCAGGCATGCAAAGTTAAATGATGGAAAAGCTGAGGAAAAAAAGATATCATGGAAAAGAAAAAGATATTGACATACATTGGCTTCCGATAGTCGAAAATATTGAATGTTTTCAGAAGATTCCATGTTACACCACCATCACAGGAAACATCAAGAATTACAAGCTCCTTAGTATCTTCCGGTGCAGGACAGTCAGACACCGATGAGTAGCTTCCTACACGTATATTAAACTGTATATACCTGAAACATTGATCAACAAGCAATTATCATAGTATTGCAAGCAATCCATAAGTCCCCTACCGGTTAGAACCCCATCAACATTCTGAAGGGCCATTGGCCATTCACTTATGTTTCAATTTTTCTCTATTTTAAGTAAACTTGTTGGAAAAGTTCTTTAAAAGTGATCACAGGAAACTGTTTTTATGAACAGACAGACAGACGGACTGAAGGACACTCTAAAGTTAATATTTGAAACATCCCTGTGACCAAAATATAACATTTTAAAAGCAAAATTCTTAAATAGGAGATAACTCTTGACTTAAAGATGCAATTTCATAAAAAATTTCAGCTCTTTTTGACTTATCACAAATATTGTTATATTTGCCATGTTTTAAGCCTATTTGTTGCCAAGGCAACTGATATTTTTTCAAAATAGGAAGAACAGATAAGACATGCATAATATCAAGACTGCTATCTACCCATATGTCAAGTTTCATAAAAATATTTCCAGTACTTTTTGAGTTATCACTGGATTCAGTTTATGTGTAAAATTTGCCATATTTTCAGTATATGTGTTGCCATAGCAACCAGAATTTTCAACATAGGAAGAAAATAAAAAGACGTGCATAATCTCAAGACTGCCATCTACCCATATGTCAAGTTTCATAAAAATATTTCCAGTACTTTTTGCTTTATCACTGGATCCAGTTTATGTGTAAAATTTGCCATATTTTCAGCCTATTTGTTGCCATAGCAACCAGAATTTTCAACAAAGGAAGAAAAGAAAAAGACGTGCATAATTCCAAGACTGCCATCTACCCATATGTCAAGTTTCATAAAAATATTTCCAGTACTTTTTGCGTTATCACTGGATCCAGTTATGTGTAAAATTTGCCATATTTTTAGCCTATTTGTTGCCATAGCAACCAGAATTTTCAACATAGAAAGAAAAGAAAAAGACGTGCATAATTCCAAGACTGCCATCTACCCATATGTCAAGTTTCATAAAAATATTTCCAGTACTTTTTGCGTTATCACTGGATCCAGTTTATGTGTAAAATTTGCCATATTTTTAGCCTATTTGTTGCCATAGCAACCAGAATTTTCAACATAGGAAGAAAAGAAAAAGACGTGCATAATCTCCATACTGCCATCTATCCATATACCAAGTTTCATAAAAATATTTTCAGTACTTTTCAAGTTATCGCTGGATCCAGTTTTGTGGACGGACGGACTGACGCACAGACGGACAGACGGACGGAGGGTAAACCTAAAGTCCCCTCCGGTAAACCGGTAGGGGACTAATAACATATATTTGTTCTGATTTCTTCAGTTAGGGATAACATTTTCATAGAAATTTACCTCAAAATATTCAAGATTAAGATTCATAAAATAAAATAAATTTGATGAAAAAGGCCAGAAAAGTGCTGTCATTCAAGTTTAACTGATTAGTTTAATCAAGCCAAGTTTGTTTAATTAAGCCAAGATTTATTTAATTAAGCTAATATTAGTTTATTTAAGCCAAGATTTGTTTAACTAGTCATTTTTATAACATTAAATTTTCTTACATGCCGTCACTTGTGTTCAACTCTCTGGTTACAAGCTCCCTAATACCGTCTTGGTTGAACACAACAGCTTTTCCACTTGACAAAACATCACATTGAAAACCAAGAATGCCTCCTTTAACTTCTTCTATTATTGCACTAGTAAACAGATTGGTTCCTTCAAAGTTCTCGACAATAGTTGTTGGATTAGGAACAACAGATTCTGAACAAGTTGAACCAGTGTATCCAAAATCACATCTGAAAATAGGTGAAATTTTCATCTTTATAATATATGTTATCATCATTCAATAATTATAGCAAGCAAACTTTGTCATCAAATGCAATCTGATATGGAAATTTTCAAAATGAGATAACATTAACTTTAAAATCCTTCATTTAAAATTTAAGCTAAAATATATTTGTGCTCTTCAAAATCTTATATCTCCTTTTAACATATACAATTGTATCAAATTCAGTAAATATCTGATATATGAATTAGAAGACAGTAAATTGTTGGTTGATATGGCAATGCCCAGATAAACACTGTGGTATTGCAAATATACCCATGACAAACAAGTCTATTATGTAGCTGAATGGAGCAGTTATTGATGCCTCAACTAAATGTTATTGTAATGACTTAATATCAATATGTACAGAGCAACCTCGTGCAGGACTTACATGCAAGCATTGTCCATACATCTACCATGTCCATTACATCCAGAAGGACAAGAACCAATAAATACTGAAAAATAAATAAAACTAAAAATAATGCTTTTTGTCTGACAAATATATCAGAAGGATTCTGTATAAACTTCTCTCACAAATGGGCACAGTCTTATCCTAAATACTTTTTGCTTTGCATGTTAAAGGAACTCCACTGAGGTTTATAAGCCTAAAAACATTAAATTTTAATTTTTCATATAGATAAACAGGAACACTTAAAACAGAAATATAAGTAAAATATAATCAAAACATATACAAGAAATACATTGAAAATCATATGGTCTGAAATTTTGCACATAAGTTATTAGTATAGATCTACATCAAATGAAGTAATAATTTCAAAAAAATATTTCCAGTTCCGTCATGTCAAAAAACCTCAGTGGAGTCCCTTTAAGAATTTGAAGTTGGTGACATGAGTTTCGTACCTGTCCTGGAAGGCAAGAGTAAGGGACCAGAAAGGCATGATGTCCACAAAGTATGCTAATGCATTTTCATGATAGTATATTTGTGTTTTCATCAACATACATTGAATACAACATTCATAATCTTAGTTTGCATTTTCATCATTACATATATTTTTTTTTAATTCATGATTTTGTATTTCATGTGTTTTTAGATGCAATTATGCTCATGACTCTATAGGAATTCTGTAGCACTTTCTTGTGTTAGTTTTATATGTTTTTTTTGCAAAAAAAATGAAAGCGACTGACCAAGAAGGTAAAGATAGTGTAAACTGCTTACTATTATCAAGAGCCCAGTTGGGGTCATCACTGGAGATCTTCTTCCATTTAAATCTCACACTAGGAACTTGTGCAGCATATGGCACATGGGTGGTGAAACGTTTCCAACTATATCATATAAAATAAAAACATTCTTCTTTATTGTTTGATACAAAATGCAGTTGTTGTTTTTTGTTTAAAGGGCTATTATGTTGTCAGAAGTTGTTGCTTTATACAAATAATACTTGAAGCAACTGATTTTATACAAGGTAGATGGTATTTGAAGGTTTAAAGGTAACACCATGACAGCTGTATCTTCCTGCCTAGAAATTGGGATGGATAGTCCTGAGTTATTTATTATGAGTTATTATTTTTTCAAAGGATGTTGTAAAACAGTTTGTGGGTTCAACTTATTAAATATTTTAGTTAACAATAGGGGTATCATTTTGTCAAAATCCTTAACAGAGCTATATACTTAAGGAAGAATGAAAGGACGTTGATAAAATATTTTTAAAGTTTCAAAGCAATACTTAAAGAGTAAATTAAGAATATGGATAAGACAAAAAACTTAACCTTGTCAAAAAGAAGACATAACTATGTCAAATTCCATGGCAGAGTTGTGGTCCCTTGGTTAGACATGTATTATATAGATATTTAAATAAAGCTATAATTTTTTCTGATACATTTGAAATACTTACTTTTCAAACTGACTTGTTTGAAATGTTGATGGTGTTGGATTGTATTTTCTATTACACTGTCCTGGTAAACAATTTTCTACAAGTGGGTGCCATTTTTCACCATAATCTGTTGAAAATTCAAGTTCCACCCTGAATTAGATATAGCTGTCATATATAATCATGAATGTGAAACAAAATTATCAGTGAATAACCATCATGTATGTTTGCTGCTGTTGTTTGGTACGGTACATCAACACAATTTAGGTCATATGGCGCCAATACAGGAAAGATGATTTTGGCTAACCTTGGGTGTTAGAAACTTAAAGTTACACCAGGGCTCAAAACAGCCCCACCAGCTGGAGTTAAGAGATGCATATTTAGTTGCCTCTTACGATCACACAGAGATCAACAGTGGCTGCAATTCTGATGCCTCAACCCGTACAGGCAACCATTCAGTCACAAATATAAACATACAATTAATATAATCATCAGATATTTATAAATCATATGAAATGTATTTTCATAGAGTTAGTCTGTAGATATTTTCCATTGTAACCTCAACTTATTTTGAGGCACACATACTTTTAAGCAAATCATATAAAATAAAGGCAACAGCAATGTTTTTCATAATTAAAAATACACATACTGATTTTTCTCTGGATTGTTTCCACATCTTAAATTCATTGAAAACTGTAGCATTTTATCACTATCAATGTCTGATTTCTGTGGAAAGTCTGGTAAAACTTGAATGTTGTCTATAGCCCACACATACTGATCAAGACCTCCAGTATACTTCTGAAGCCAACAGATCCGTCCACTTTCATATTTATCTACTTGCTTCAATGGAATTGATACAAGGCGAGCTTGCTGAAATACATCAAATGTAATGGAGAGAGATATTATGTTTATTGAATAGAGGATAATATTCTGACCAAGTTCAGTCAATGGTGAAACATTAGTGTGTTAGCAAAAACTTCCCTTTATCACAAAACTTTCCTACTTGAAAGCAATTTTATGACTTTCAATAACTCCCTTTGTCAGTTAACTGGCATTTCATTAACCGTTCACCTGCTGGAACTAAAAAATTGAGCAACAATCAGAATAAAGCCTGGCAAGGGCTAGTCATGTTTGGTTCCAGCTGGTAAAGTGTTAATAATGATTGCAATTCATCAGATAGTACATTTGTTATGTGAACACATTTTTGTAAAATATGCATTAAGATTTAGTCAGTATTTTACTCCAGCATTTAAATTTCTTACAAATAAAATATAAAACAGAAATATAAAACACTGGTGTAGATTGCAATACATGTTCCACATACCATCCAGATATGGTTATATTGTATAACATGAACTACCAACTTCTGCTTCTAAAATTTGAGGTTTAAGGTGCTTTACTGTAGAGAATGCAACATTTTAACATTCCAATTAACCTTTGACATAGGTGCAAAGAGAAATAATATTCAAAAGTTCAACATTGCTGATTTGAGCAATCATGGATACAGTTTTTTCATCATTCATCACCAAAACCAAAATCTTGATTAAATTTGTGAGAACAAGCTTAAGGAAAGTATAGGTCACTATTCCCTTTTAGTGAACATTCTGAACTGGAAAGATTTATATATGATTTTTGGATATGATAAAGAGAATGTAGGTTTTGCTTACCTTATAAGATTGAACATAAAGTTTTTTTATGATATACAAGGTTTGGGCATTATCATCTTCCATATACACTAAAACTTCTGATTTCTTTTCTTCACTAAAATGACAACCGCCAGATCCTAAAACAAGAAATGGGTAAATGTAGTTTCTGGATAGTGTTATATTTTTTCCTAGTTATTTAATAAGTGACTCTGTTAACTAAAAAAAATCAAAGTTCAAATGGGAGGTTACTCTTGAAAATAGTGATGCTAGAGTGACACATACAGTTGACTCTCGGTAACTCGAAATCCAAGGGACTGGGCATTTTACTTCGAGAGAAACGGAATTCGAGTAACGTGGAAGTACCGCCATTACGTTGACATTCGTTCAAGTATATACATGTGCCTGATTGAATGTGCAAAGAAGTAGGTTTGTTATTATTGCACGAGTTAACTTTCTTTAAGAAATGTAATTAAATTTCAATTTAGTTATCTACCTGTTAAAACCAATTAAGTCCTCAAACGGATTAAAGCCACTTTTACGACGTGTTAATAATACATGATGACCGGCAATTAAAAATTACTATGAACGTGTAAATCACGAGTGACAACATCCTACCTTGATGTCGCCGACCTTTGATCAGTCGGCTGTTTCACACTTCGACTAATTGAGATGAAAATATGTTGGACTTGAATTGACGGGACCAAATTTTCTTTTCGACTAAACAGGAGTCTCGGTAAGTCAAAATTTGACCTAAGCGGAGTTAATATACAAAGATAAAGAAGGAAATTTGACGGGACTTTAGAAATTTTTCGACTAACGCGGAATTTTGAGTAAAGCGATTTTGACTTATTGAGAGTCAACTGTATTATCATGTGGATTAGTGGAAACAAGTAAAATATATGTGAAGTAAGAAGTAAATTTCTAAAGTGATAAAGAAGCTATAAACATACTGTTCATGCATAAAACTTTAATAATTCAGAAATCTGGATGCAGACACAGACAGTGGTGAGGATAGCTCTTGTAGTAGAGCTATCTAATACTTCATAGCTTTATGACTAAAGAAAGTAGCTAAAGTGATAAAAATGTACATCACAGATGTGTGTTCATTATGAATTAATTGTAAGGAAAAAATAAGATAAGAAAATTGATACATGTATAAGATAACAAAATACATTTTAAAATTAACAAACCCATGCCAAAGTGGAATCTGAGTGCTCCTGCCTTCTTTATATCAATCAACGGTGTGCAAATCTTCCTACTTTTGACAGCAGCATTAAATACCATGGAATTAGAGGAGTATATCTCACCACAGCTAACATCTACATGGCCACCTGTCACTTCCCAGCTGTAAAATTAACACAGTGATACAGGGTAATTAAAAATTATTTAAAAAAAAATCTACTATCAATAAAAAGCTCAAGCTCATAACATGCAAATAATATTGGTTTATACAGAATTTATTTTAATGAGATTGTGTAGGAAGATATATAAGCTTATAGACACACTTTCAAATCCGTTCCTGGAACCAACCAGTACTGAGCAAGGAGTGTAAAGTTTCTTGCTCAAGGAAACAATGGCTGGCCCCTGACAGGGTTTGAACCCATGCGGCTAGCGATCATTCGATTACTAGTCCGACGCATTAACCACACGGCCATGCCGCCACCTTACAATAATATTAATATAATATCAACATGTTTCTAAGTTGTAATGGGTAAGATTAGGTAAAAATATGAAACAATACATGTACATGTAAATTTATAGGAGGGATAATTCTGGAATATACAGACAATAGTTATGAATCTGGTCATAAAATAACCTTTACCATGATAAATAATTTGAATATCTTAAATAGACTTGTAGGAAAGTTCCCCATATACTTTGTATAGTCAAAGAAAACAATATTTGGAAATGAACTTTAAAGTAAAAACCAGTCATATTCTGCAAACAAGTATCATGAAAATCAAAAATTTAGAGCATCAAATTATCTGCAGTACCATTAAGTCCTGAACTTACCCAGGTTGTGACTTTGATTCAAATTGTTCCTCAAGAATGATATCAGCGGAGGAATTACTTGGTGACAGATTAATGTCTCGAGTAGAGACTCCTGATACACCTGTTTGTTGATTAAATACCATAGCTGTGTCTTCTGAATGACATTGATGCTACAATAGACATTAATACTACAATATATAACATTTGTAATGTTAATTACATTGGCCAAACATTTAAAGTATGATTAATCTAGAACATGTTTTCTGGAAACAACACCGAGTTATCTGATTTTAGAAATTATACATGTTTAAGTCATATATTTTTGTCCCTATATGCATGTTCTGTTGTTTTTTTTGTTTCAGGAGGTCACATTGGAAAAAAGATATATATATATAATTGCTGTTGTATATTCTTAGCGTGTTACCTTCTCCAAATAAAAATATTATTAGTATCATTATTATTAATTTAAATATACTGTGAAAAATAATCTGATCAATAGCTGACATCTTTTTCTATCAATCTGGAAGAACGCATTGGTTTTTCTTTGGTGATATTTCATCAAAATTGTCCCCAGTTTTTGGTACTGTTCACAAGTTTGCAATTACAATTCTGGAGGAAGAGTTTAAAATATTCTTTACAGTGAATTTTTTGTTATTAACAGGAAGGTATTGTTCAACAGAGAACAAGACAGCCATGTGTTCTTTTACATTAAACTGCAACATATTTGCAAAGTCATAGATCATCAATATAAAAATGTCTTGAAGATCATAAGGCATTAATGCAACATTATAATTATCTATGAAATGAGAAGCAGTAAAATGATAAAACTAGATAACAATACCTTAAAATAAGCACCTGGGAAAGATAACCAATTACTTGGGTCTACAGGTTGAAATGAATCTTGTAGTGTTGATGGAGCATGAGCTGTGTTGACAATCACTACCTGGTCTATTGCCCAGCAACCACTGTACATAGTGGCTGAATCTCCTGGTTGACTGTTTCCACCAACTGTTTTAGTACCCACTTTGTACACTATTTTTCTATGTCCTGAACTACTTTTAGTCTTATGGCCATGTTTTATTTTGGACGTTTCATCATTTAAAGGCTGATCTTGAACTTCTACATCATGAATAGAGTGGTAAGTAGTTTGTGCAGTGTGTAAGGGGACATTGTGTAATGTAGTTGTAGGCGTATCAGTTGTTGACATATATCCATAGCTTTCCATGGTGCTGCCAGTAACAACTTCTGTTGTGCTACCCTCATCACTTATTATTATTGGTATCGTATGTCCGAGGGGAGGTTCTGTTGCTCCCAAAGTAGTAGATTGTGTTGTTTGAAGAAGGATGTCTGCTTGACTTTCTTTCCATGAAAAACAAATGCCTTCACCTCTAGCTTTGATTGGTAGATAAACAAGAACCGTTTCTGTTACTTCACTTTTTGAAGCCCTGAATAATCAAAATATATATTGTAAATAATAAAAAAAAGTAATGCCTTAGAACATTTCTTATGAAAGTTAGTGAAAACAGATCATCTTGCAAAGCTCATATATGAACAAATGCTGTAAAAGGAGACAGATAATAAATAAAGACATAACTTCAAACAACAAATGTGTCTGAAAGACAAGTTTGCCCCAGCTATATTTGTCAGGGCATTGAATAATAAGAATGAAATACTTTAATTGGTATTTCATAAACTTTTTTGCTGAAAAAGACTTTTTAAAGTAAGAGAACAGATGTCTGTTGATAATAACTGATTTTACAATCCTTTAATGCATGACAGAGTGATCGACCAGACATGATTTTCTTACTGCTAACCTTTGACCTCTAAGTGTGACCTCTAGTTTTTGCACATGACAGACTGTCTCATCATTCTAACATATGTGCCATCTACATCAAATAAAATGATTGCAACTAATATTTGAAATTTAAGTAAAACACTTTCCCTTTGATGAAGAACAATACTACATTAAAGTTACCCAAAGATTTAAACTGTTTAACATTAAAACACTGAAAGAAAATATGATACACCCCCACGTTTTCAAGTGTTAAGCAAAATATCTTAAAAAAGCACCTTAAAGAAAAATAAATCAAATCATACCTGAATGTATCCAATATATGCCAATCACGACAATTATTCAGTCCATACGAGACATCAATACTTACAACTTCATCATTTACTGAACAATTACCAGTACCTACATTGCAAAACAAATATACATTTTAATATACATTCAGAAAATTTGCATGCAACAGGAATAAGCAGGAAAGGTTTGGAAATCACAAAATTCTGTGTATTACATCATGACAAAATCATTTTTATGTAAGAATTGGTCACAGAATGCAGGCTTTGTGAAGCAAAATAACAAAAAACAGTTACTTTATACATGTACATTAATGCAAAACATTGTCACACTATAATGTGGAAAATTAACTTACAGTATACTACATGTATAGTATAAGGGAAACTTAATTAGTTATTACAGTCTATGTAATATATTGTCAAGTTATAGAGTGTCACCAAGTAGCTGTCTAAAATAAGTAACTGATTAAGAAATTGACATAGAAAATAGTATGTGTTATGCCATTGTTTATCCAAATACTCGAAATAAAATGAAATAACTAACTGTGCAATTATACTTCAATTGTATTTATTTCATACATATGTATTGCAATTCATTATACATGTATAACGATTGAGCTTTCAATACCTTACTCCAAAAAATTTGATAAAAAATGATTCTATTTAAAATATTATGGAATAATTTGGCCGCTCAGAATTGTGTTCGAGCCGAAGGGCAAAGCAGGCGTGGTACATGCACCATTGGTTTAATACGCTTAAAGCTTATAGCAACGAAACAAAAAATTATCATACAGTTGTCCGCCAAAATTAGGCCATCACAATCGGTCCAAGATTACCGTAAAATGATCCCGACTTAGAAGATCTGATTCACCGTCTGGAATAAACATGACGCATGTGAATCAAACCAAAAACCTGCCCAATCATTGTACGACAAAGCCAAAAATAAATGTAAGCCTTCCATAGATTAAACTGCCAGAGACCGGAAGAAATGTTAGTTTGTTTCAATGCCTGGAAAAATCATAACACTTGAACCAAACCAACTATTCAACTACTATATACCGAAACACAATATAGTACTGTTACCAAACACTTTGGTATAAAACATAGCGTAGCTTTACATATAGCCAAGAACAACATAGCATAGCAGCGAACCAAGACGCAGGGATCACTTTCAACAGTCCGTACACTGTCTGCCGTAATGATCAGGGGGTTGATAATGTTCAAATCATCGCCTGGGATAACATGACGCATGAATAAAACTGACAACCACCAAACAACAAACGGTAAGCCAAACTCAGTTCCAAGCAAGCAGGATTCGCCCAAGTTACTGCATAGTACATTTTGCACGAGCAAAATCCTTTAAGTACGCTAGCGCTGAGTAACACTTACTACATATACAGCTCTTCAACTTGTATTTTTAGACTAGCAGCATAGCAACTGTATGTATGGTTGACCATAATTATACTAGTATTTTGCGTGAACATAAAATTACGTAGTATATGATTTTATAATTTACGCTAGGCAAAAAAATACCAAAGTTAAAACCACCGTTACAGATCGCCCTCGGTCAAAACGATCTTAAAGAGCGACGAGTTCATTAAGTAACCCATGAAATTCTGTTGGCACAAAATTAACAGACATGCTTGAAATAAATCATATTTAAAATAAAACAGGTTCATATATTACCAATTGTTTAAAGTCATAACTTTTGAAATAAACAAAACACTGAAAAAACACAAAAAAAATGGGTTTAAAAACCAATCTCCACAATGAATTAAAATGTGCGTAAAAACAAGCTTTTTCGGCACCAGTCACTTCACACTATAAACTATGTTGACGCTGACCACATTATGAACACAAGTTACTGGTCCTTATTTGGCGATTGATCTTGTGCGCTCAATCTGTTTACGCTAATTTGAGAACATCTTGTGGAGGTTCCAGGTTAACATCACATCCAACATAAGCAACTGAATTTATCAAATGTCTTGCAATATACAAATAACAAAGCGGCCAGTATTTTTTGATCATAAAAAACATTTTTGAACAAACAATTAATGATGGTTCAAGTCTTAAACTTTTTTATTATTATAATGAACAGGAAACTTCATTAAGTACAGAAATAGGCTGTGGCGGGCGGGTTTATTTTACTTTGTATATAGTGAACCCGTGTGTAAAGGCGAAAGAGGAAATTGCACGGGGCATTTTCGTGCTTTTATAAGCCAATTATCTGGTACCTGTTTTACGCTATAATAAAATTTAACTTGACAACGGTAACCAGTAGTATTCTACACCTAACACAATAAGGTTTAGAATTAACCGATTGTATAAGCAACCGCTAATGGTAAACAAATCTGATTTCTTGAAGGATAAATTGAATTATTTAATTCACCAAAATAATTTTCATTATCCAAATACTCGAAATAAAATGAAAATTAACTAACTGTGCAATTATACTTCAATTGTATTTTTTCATACATATGTATTGCAATATCATATACATGTATAACGATTGAGCTTTCAATACCTTACTCCAATATTGATAAAAAATGATTCTATAAAATATTATGGAATAATTTTGGCCGCTCAGAATTGTGTTCGACCGAAGGGCAAGCAGGCGTGTGTACATTGCACCATTTTTTTAATACGCTTAAAGTAGGAGCAACGAACAAAAATTATCAACAGTTGTCCGCCAATTAGGCCATCACAACTCGGTCCAAGATTACCGTAAATGATCCCGACTTGAAGATCTGATTCACCGTCTGGAATAAACATGACGCGTGAATCAAACCAAACCTGCCCCATTAAGACGAGCACGCCTGCCTGCCCAACAGTCGATAGAATTTTCAGGCCACAAATAAATTTTAGAAAATTTATCCCCCAACTTCTATCGACACAAGATATTATTTCTAATTAAAGCAATCCCTGAGGTAATCAAGATAAAATTCAAGGCCAACGTCATTTAAATGAACTCCATCCGGTCGGAAAAAAAACCAGTTTAGCAGTCAATATCAGTTTTTTAATTACGTCACTTTTACCAGATGAACCGACAAAATAACGGCCAATCCCATTTATACGCTTACGTTTTTTCTCCATGGCAACCACCCAGAAGTTGCACCCGACCAAGTTTGCCTTTGAATAATGTCAAACCATATAATAATAGCATCAGGTAAAGCTTCACGAAGGTAGTTTATCTCCGATTTGATTAACTCTTTTAAAGTAACAAGGGGTAAGCTCACAAGATCATTTCCGCCTAAGTTGATAATAATAACTGATGGAGGTGTCGATAATAGAACTTGAGCTTCAACTGACCTCCGGAAACGAGTCCAACGCCAGGCCTCGTTCACCCCACCAAGCAATGTTGCACCTCAACCGCAGATTCTCCTTGCCAGTATCTTGTCTCTCTTTCCAGCCCAAAACGGATTGAATCTCCCAAACCCACACATCTAAATGTAAATGCATTTAAACTTAATTATGAAACGAAAGTTATTTCGAACCGAAAAATTGATTTACACGGGACCTTTACTGGCGAATATATAATCTATAAAGCACCAGAATTCCATCTACCCAATTTCATGATAACTGACGAGCTGTAACCTTGAGATGCTAAATCAGTAGCCCTTCCTATCCGAAAACTATGTGACTTAAAACATAAATCCGTACAAACTGTCTTGCTAATACATTTAGACAAAACTGCCGAAAATTGAGATCTAGTAACCGGTGTTAAAATTGCTATGACAGAAAAGAGGACCTGGTGAACGAGGCCTTAAAACTTAAATATTCAGACATGGACCGGACCGGGCACAATATTCCGTGCTCACAAGGAATCTTCAAATATGTTGGGATACCCCTCTGATTTGTCTTGTATCGACGTAACTGAATGATGATATAATTTTTATTATCGACAAAAGATAAATCCGAAAGGCTAAGCATGTCGTCACTGAGTGAGCTCACCAATTCGCTTACACGAAAAAGTCCGAAGTAAGCCAAAACAAAAAGAGCTGAAAAATAGTTTGCACTCATAGTTGTTATAAACATACTCCTGGTAGAGTATTATATACGGAAATTAAGATCTGCATTTGTTAGTGGAGCCCGGATATCACGACAAGGACGACCTCTTCTACACCCTTCTAACAATTTTCTGAATTACAAAGATATTGGTAAATGTCGTAAAATCCGTTAAGTTTATGAAAATAATTTATCCTGCAATATAGGTAGAAATTGTGTTCGGTTGAATGGCCTTTTCGAAGCAAAACGCCATAAATAAAGAAATATGATGAATTGGAAATGGCCATTGATTTGGCAAATTATAATTTTGTCTGAATGTATTAAAGACATTTATGCTAGTGTTATAAAGTTAACATAGAATTTGAAGCTATTCCCGATTGTACCAGTCGTCTAGCTCTGTACTGAAGACATTCCATAGGAATTCTGGGAACGGGCAAGGATGTAAGTCTGCGTCTGGAGCCAACTTCCGGAATCTGGTTAACTGAAACCGAGATAAAGCATCGCAGATATCATTTGAAGTACCGGCACATGATTTGCTCGGATTAAGAACATTAAGACTCAGGGATCTTAAAGTAATTGCCCTCATCAAGCTCATTACTCTATCTGACTTTGAAGTTGCCTTATTTAAGATGTGAACTACTGCAATATTATCACAGTTAAATCTTATTTTCTTATTCGCTAAATGATTGCCCCAAATGAATAACGAAACAAAAGATCGGGGAAAAAGTTCTAAAACGGTTTATGTCAGCAGTAAATACCAGATTTATGCCAAAAATTCCGGCCATTTTGCCTGACACCAATGACCTTGTAAATAGATACCGAACCCTAGATTGTCACCGCCAGCACTGTCTGAAAATAGCTGTTACATCGTCATTAGACACCCAAATTTTGTCATGAAAAAACTGAAATACCATTATATTTTTTAAGGAAAAAGCTAGCCACATAAGTAAAATCCTGTTTTGTATCTTTTTTAATACGAACACGTAAAAAGGCTTACTAAGCCCGCATATTGAATTAAATAAGCCGGCGTAGGAATGGTCTACCTGCAATAATTGCCGGCAACAAAAATTAAGAGAACCTATTAGTGACTGGATTTCCTTCACAGTGCACTTTTTCCGACTCAAAATGTACAAAATTTTATCAATTATTTCCTGAATTTTTGGCATGGTATCCGAACTTGCATTTTGTCCGAATCTAAATTCTAGGCCTAAAAATATCAGACATTCAGTCGGGCCCTCAGTTTTATCCATGGCTAAAGGAACACCCAATTCAGTCATGGTATCCTTGAATATTTCTAAAGCCTTGTTACAAGAATTTGTTGTTTTTTTTATCTCCGCCCAAAAAATCGTCAAGATAATGTATTAAATTACCGGATTTAAATTTAGATTTTACACAAAATTCTAAAAACCTAGCAAACCGTTCAAAAAGTTTACACAGCTAATTGAGGCCCCAAAAGGCAATGCTTTATCAAAATAATATTTATTTTTTTAAACAAAAACCTAAAAAAGCTCAAAAATCGGAGGGATTTATTGGAATTAAGCGATAAGCGCTCATAATATCCGACTTAAAAAAGTTTACAATGGGGACCTAACTCTTGTACCATCTTAACGGCCTCGTCAAAACTTGTATATCGAACCGTGCATAAAAGCTGGATCCATATAGTCGTTTACAGATTCCCCTGGAGGAAAAGACAAATGATGTATCACTCTATATTCGCCAGGAGTTTTCTTTTTCAACAAGACCAATAGGTGAAACAATTAACTTTGGAAGCGGGGGAGAAACGAACGGGCCGGCGACCCTTCCTGCTTGAATTTTCCTTAGAAATTTGACTTTCAATTACCTCCGGCTTTAACCTTGCGGAACGTAAATTGCTACAACCCCGACGAATAGGGGGACCTTCATACTGGAGCGGAAAGCCAAATTTAAAACCATTATATAAAAAATTGAGCTTCATTTCTTTCGTAAAATTGTAAATAATGCATTAACATAGTAATATTTATGGGAGAATAAGCTAAACTAGAAATATCGGTATTTGCCATTTCATTTTGTGTCGGTAACCTTTTTAACCTTATTTACCGTATTTGTCGAAAGAAGAGCCCCGGCCTTTAGCAAAACTTCGGAAACCTCTCCCTCGAAATGTCTTTTGGAAAGACGAAGACCGGTCAGACTTAAGATTAGAAGTTTCCGAAGAAGAAGAAGGGGGGCAATTTATTTCTGGGTGAGGTCCGTGACATTTTTGCAAACATGAGGATATTTGCAATTTGACCAATGGCAATTTCCTCTATTAAAATCAAAACACACCAGGTCGGGTTTGATATTTGTGGTTTTGAGGGTTGTACCACTTGGAAACAACGCCACCATAAATCATTATTTATCCGAGCCCATGATGCGTTGGCTGTTGCCTGACGAAGCCTAAACTGTTCATCATACGTTCTCCAAGCAAAACCCCCTTGACGCATAGCGCATTCTCTTATGTTAAACATGTAATGCAAGATTTCGTACATTCTATCCGAATGATTTGATAGATAAATTGAAGGAATAAATAAGGAATGCATTTGTCCATTTCTCGATACTGTTTATTTGCTCTTTACATTCCCGAGAAGATGAGACAATATTTCTTCAAAACTCACCCTAAAAAGGCCGCCCTTACAGAATTCATTTAATTCTATTGCACCTTTCAAAAGGAGTGCGAGATTTATGTACTCTCCCCTACAAATTTGTTGCTTTAAAGACGTAGGCACCGTGAGCCGCTATATCATCGTCTGCTAGACGTAACGGGGGCACGCTTGGTGCACGTGTGCCTGTATTTAAATTTGAGAAATGACTAGTACTACTAGAATCCCTCGAGGGAAAAGGTACTAAATTCAAATCTTGGTTCGATACGCCACACCCTAAAGATTCAGTATAAAATTTGACATACCAGCATCTCCTTGCAGGAGCCTGTTCTCTGCCTCACCCAGCTCGTCAATCGACCGCTTACTGCCTCTGGACTGCGCCGGCTGCCCATTTGTGCATGTCTGTTCCCCCTCGCTGACCTCCGATGGGTGGAATTTCATCCCCTCTCGAGAATTCAGCGTCGGGTTGTGCGCCCCTGGTATTTCTAGCCGCTGGACTGCGAGTTTGCCTTGCAGACTGAACATCATTGAGCTGCCTATGTCTCAAGTTATGGCTATGTTGAGACGGTACTCTTCTTCGGCATCCACGACCACGTGGCATTATCTTATTTTACTTGTATAGTGAACCGTGTGTAAAGGCGAAAGAGGAAATTGCACGGGCATTTCGTGCTTTTATAGCCAATTATCTGGTACCTGTTTACGCTATATAAAATTAACTTGTACAACGGTAACCAGTAGTATTCTACACCTAACACAATAAAGGTTAGAATTAATCCGATTGTATAGCAACCGCTAATGTAAACAAATCTGATTTCTTGAAGGATAAATTGAATTATTTTAATTCAAAAATAATTTTCATTATATGAGATTTAATATTAAAATGCTGTCTGATTAAATGCCTTAATTGTCTCAACATAAAAATGAGCATAAGAAATATTGAAAACAATATAATGTATAATTCATTGCTATAAATACTTTAAATGAAAGATTTTGTGTCTAAATATAGTACTTCCTATTGAAAGATATTGCCACACAATTAAGCCTGTGTACAATATTGTCACTTAATAAAAATGTAATATCTATTTTATAAAATGGTGATTTTAAACACACAATAAGTCACAGTGTCAATAAGTAATAATCTGTATAAGTTAAAATATATTATACATTCTGACAATAATTTGTTTAACCCTAACCCCACTAAATATCTTAAATGGATCTGTCCATCTTTCAATCTGGCCAAAACAATTCATAATTTTCAAGACAAATTAGAAAATATATACTGACTGCATAGGGAAGAGTGAAAATCATGATAATATAGTTGTGTGGTTACATTAGTGTTTAAATGAATAATTAATTTAACATTAATCTTACCAAATGCAAACTGTAAAACACTTGCAGATGTTGTGTTTAAGGGCATCGTCACCTGTAATGCAAGATAGACATTTAAACAATACAAAGCAGGATTACACAAAGTCACAAAGTTTTGTTTTACATGTTTCATGTCTTGGTTTGAGACAAATTTCCCTATCAAATTGGAATTTAAATTCTTAGCCTAAGATACTCTTACAATCAAACTACCGGTAAAAAACATAATACATATATTTTAATTGAATTAAAAAAATATATGTATATCTAATCAAACTAAAAAAATAGATATGTATGTTTAATCAAACTAAAAAAAAATATATGTATATTTGATCAAACTAAAAAAATACACTTAAGTTTAATCAAACTAAGAAAAAAAAATTTTTTTATTTTATTATATATTTTGGATTCAAATGAATATAAAGTGATATTACCAGTTCCCGAAGACCAGTTTTTTCACAGAATACAGCAGCATTTCCAAAGAATATAGATCCACATGACTGTTCAACAAAAGCACCTTCATGTCTTAACCTTTACAATAAAAAAGCAACATAATGTTTCACAATCTCATTTATTTCTGCAAAGCACCTATGCTTATTTTATTGTTTCCCTAAAGGCCCATATGTGCCCAAGAAATTCTTTCATTTCTATTTTTCAAAGGCTTATTATTTCTAGTAACCTCTTATAGTTTCCAAAAAGTTAATCATTGGCATATCACCTGAACCATCTTGAGCTTCAGTTCCCTTTTGTTAATTACTTCAGTTATTGTTCAGTTAGTATTTCATATGTAAGTCAAAATACTACTTTATTTATATTTTGCTACTTTTATGACAAATAATTTTGCATTCAGCACTACTTTCATTATGTAATGAGTAACTAGCATGCTTTAACACTATTATTCTAATATAGTAAAAGTAAAGTGCCTTTCTAAAGAATGAAAAAACAATTGTTTCTGGGGAATAATGTGCCTTTAACTTGTTAAATATCTAAGATGGATTTGTCCATCTTTCAACCTGGATAAAACCATTCTTTAATTGTATGGGAATTTTCAAAATGTTTACTGACTGAATAGCTATATAGCAAACAGTGCAGACCATGATCAGATGGCAGAACTTGGTCTTGGTAGAATCACTTGCTGCCTGCAGGATAACAGTTTAACTACTGGTGCATATATGGAAGTCCTGGAGTGCCTTTTTGATTTGTGTCTACAAAACTTGAAAACTACCAATATCATTTATATAAATACTGCACAGTTAATATTTATTTCTTTAGCAATATATGTATTGTTCAACAAACACAGTTTTATACTTTTAATACTATGATGTAAATATATAATAGTTTGTACTTTTATTCACTCATGTTAATGTCTTTAAGATATTGTACCAATGCTATTGAATTATTTTTATGCTCCCCGAAAAAATTTCGGGGGAGCATATAGTCGCCGCCTTGTCCGTCCGTCCGTCCATCAGTCCGTCCGTCTTTCCGTCCGTCCGTCCGTCCGTCCCCTTTTCTTGTCCGGGACATAACTTTGAAACAACAAGAGGTATCAACATGAAACTTTGTAGGTAGATAGATCTCATTAAGTAGGTGTGCAGTGCACAAGAACCGTAACTCTGCCTTGCCTAATTTTTGAATTATTCCCCTTTGTTTATTTTTACACTTTGAACTTTGTCCTGGACATAACTCTAAAAGTATAAGAGGTATCAACATGAAACTTTGTAGGTAGATAGATCTCATTGAGTAGAAGTGCAGTGCACAAGAACCGTAACTCTGCCTTGCCTAATTTTTGAATTATTCCCCTTTGTTTATTTTACACTTTGAACTTTGTCCGGGACATAACTCTAAAAGTATAAGAGGTATCAACATGAAACCTTGTAGGTAGATAGATCTCATTGAGTAGAAGTGCAGTGCACAAGAACCGTAACTCTGCCTTGCCTAATTTTTGAATTACCCCCCTTTGTTTATTTTACACTTTGAAATTTGTCCGGGACATAACTCTAAAAGTATAAGAGGTATTAACATGAAACTTTGTAGGTAGATAGATCTCATTGAGTAGAAGTGCAGTGCACAAGAACCGTAACTCTGCCTTGCCTAATTTTTGAATTACCCCCTTTGTTTATTTTACACTTTGAACTTTGTCCGGGACATAACTCTAAAAGTATAAGAGGTATCAACATGAAACCTTGTAGGTAGATAGATCTCATTGAGTAGGTGTGCAGTGCACAAGAACCGTAACTCTGCCTTGCCTAATTTTTGAATTATCCCCCTTTGTTTATTTTACACTTTGAAATTTGTCCGGGACATAACTCTAAAAGTATAAGAGGTATCAACATGAAACTTTGTAGGTAGATAGATCTCATTGAGTAGGTGTGCAGTGCACAAGAACCGTAACTCTGCCTTGTCTAATTTTTGAATTATCCCCCTTTGTTTATTTTACACTTTGAACTTTGTCCGGGACATAACTCTAAAAGTATAAGAGGTATCAACATGAAACTTTGTAGGTAGATAGATCTCATTGAGTAGGTGTGCAGTGAACAAGAACCTTAACTCTGCCTTGCCTAATTTTTGAATTATCCCCCTTTGTTTATTTTTACACTTTGAACTTTGTCCGGGACATATTTCTTAACCCTTTACCACATATATACGTGAAACAACGCACTTTCGACCCCCCCCCCTTTTTTGGGGCCTCAAATAGTGACAAAATGTCCTATTTGGGCCCTTAACATAAGTTTTGGTTTGAGAAATGTTGCTAAAAAAATTGAGCACTTTTTCGGCGCCGCCCCCCATCCAAAAGATACATCAGGGGGTTGCCAGAAGGGGGATGTGCCAACCAACGCTGAAAAGCTTTTGACTCTATCTCAATCCCTTGAGAAGTTGTAGCACTTTGAAATAAATATTGATGGAAAAAATCGAGGCAAAATAGTGATTTTTGGCAATTTTGAGATGTTCCCTCGTTGCCATGGTAACAGGAAATTTAAGACTGAGCATGTCGTTACAAAGGCAATGGTCCAGTCAACATTTGTGCCAAGTTTGATTAGTATTGAAGCATTTTTCATAGTTTCATAGCAGTTTGAACTTGTAACAGGAGGCTTTTCAGTGAAAACGGCCATTTTTCACAATATGCTCATGGGGGAAAGGGTTAATGTATAAGAGATATCAACATGAAACTTTGTAGGTAGATAGATCTCATTGAGTAAGTTTGCAGTGCACAAGAACTGTAACACTGTCTTGCCTACTTTTGGAGTTATTGCCCTTTGTTCATTTTGACACTTTGAACTTTGTCTGGGACATTACTCTAAAATTATAAGAGATATTAACATGAAACTTTGTAGATAGATAGGTCTCATTGGGTGGAAGTGCAGTGCTTAAGAATCATTACTCTGCCTTGCCTTATTTTGAAGTAATTGCCCTTTGTTTATTTTTACTTTTTGACTTTTGTCCTGGACATTACTTTAAAACTATTAGAGATATCAACATGAAACTTTGTAGGTAGCTAGATGTAATTGGATAGAACTGCAACGCTTCAAGAACCTAATCAAAGCCTGGTCTAATTTTGGAGTTATTGCCCTTTGTTCATTTTTTTTATACTTTCCTGTGTCCAGAACCTTCTCGGGGAGCATCACCCGGTTCAACCGGTTCTTGTTTGTACATAGAAATAAGCGTTGAATCAAATTTTCAAGTTTTAAGTTACATTTAAAATGCATAATCATATCAATTTGTATGGTAAACTTTTCATTTTTAATTAAGATAATTTCAATAAAATGTAAAAAATAAAATAAATAATATATAATGTAAATTATGAAAACTTCCACACTAAATATCTTATATGGACTTGCCAATTTTTAAATCTGAACAAAACCATTCTTTATTTTTTGGGAATTTTTCAAAATTGGTACTGAATGAATAGCAAATAGTGCAGAATGGGTATATCTGTTGATCTTGGTCTGCACTCACTTGCCGCTAGCAGGGGAAGGGTTATTGACCTGTTCTGTTTTTAAAATTCAAACCATTTTACTTTGTTAACGTAATGTTTGTCAGTTTTATACAATTGTATTCACATGTATTTTTTACTATCTGTAAAACATTTAACTAAATCATCTACAAGTTAATCAAGTTTCAATTATAATGATTTATTAGTTTGTTGTTGTTATCTATTTATTTAATTATTTATTTCAAAAATATTTATGATATGCATAATTTTGTTGGAAACAAGTGAAAAACAAGTATTCTTGGAAACATGTGTTCTTGGAAACATATGCTCCCGGTAACATGTTTTCTTGGAAACAAGTGTTCTTGGAAACATGTGTTCTTTGGAAACATGTGTTCTTTGGAAACATGTGCTCCTGGAAGCGTGTCTTTTAAAAATAGTTTTTTTTCTGATCCTAATTTGCTTTTTTTTCCAATTTTATAATGAAAATAATCCTTACCATAGATCTGGTGCAAATGTTTCATAAGAGTCAAAGTCATCTCTAAATATAACATGATCTGTATGAATATCAGCCATAACTGGTCTCAATGGTCCTTTCATATCTGAAAATAATAAACAGCCAAATCATATACATGTATGTCGTCTTTTCTCATTGTCACAGGGTGAGAAAAATGTGCAACCTAACCGGGACTTAGAATTTTAGATTTGCAGATATCATTATGTTTATACCGTGGTGACAATTTGGAACTTTCCTCACATTTCATAAAAAGCGACAGGTAGACCTTAACTTAAGTGAAGTATTTTTTTTTATGTAAAAGATTTAATGAAGGAAAAGATATCATTGAAATATGTTGATTGATGATGTCACAGGAGAAAAAAGGATGAGATTAAAAACTCTTATTGAGTGTTATGCTGATGTCTGCAAAAAACATAAAGATAACTAACCATCTGCTTCACAAAGTTGTAGCACTGTTGTATCTTTAAATAAAAGCTCTTGCCTTAGTGTTGCTGTCGCCCTGGAATTGATATGGGAAAAAAACATCAAAATCTGTTCTTAAACATGTTGTGTTATTTATTTTTATTTCATAATGAATATTTAAATGTTTAAACCTCATTAATAATACTTCCAGGATAGTTTTTGTTTTTCAAGACCATTTGTGAGAATGACCACCTGACTAGCAGCTGATGGTGAGTTTTAGTTTGATACAATAATGCATATATTATTGTTTAAGATATCTGGTATACCTGAGACATCTGCCAATCTACATTATATTTTTATTTTGTCTCATATTTGATGAATTAAAATGTTAACAGTTGCCATATTATTATACTATGTACATAACATTCTGATTGAATAAAAATTTATCAAAGTACCTAGAACATGTGCACATTATGAATATCTATGATATTGGAAGTTCACTAAACCAAAAGTTTATTTATTTGTTTTTTATAAACTGTAAATTAATAAATACTTACAGAAAGTTGACACATCCTGTTCCAGCAGGGGGAGCTATCCAGACAAATTTGAATTCATGTACAGGTGGGCTAGACATATGTGTATGAACAATAGAACACATCAGGTTCTGCCCTTGACCATGCATCCTTCCACCACCATTTTCAGAACGTGTGTACAGTCCCGTGAGAAGAAAACCATCAAAATTCATGCTTGATAATACAGTCACTGCAACATAAACATTATAACGTATTCAGTGATATTAGAATGTGTATTCAAACTTAAAATACTATTTAATAATTTGCACAGTCATAATTAAGTTATATGCCATTGCATTAATATTTTAATTTTATGATAACTTTACATTATTGTAATCTGATAATCTCTAGGCAACAAAATTATACTGGATAACAACAGGTTCAGTAAAATGTTTTCCAAGTTGTACAATAGCAGACATTTGTTGGCGGTTTATTTGGCTCAAATAAAGAAAGCCACTATTCTCAGTCTCTGTAGAAAATTCACTGGCTTTTTTGTTTCTGAGTTAATACATCATCTTAACCTATACCTTTAACAACGTATCCTTAGAATGGCTGAAACTTTTGCAAGCATTTTCACACTGGCTAAAATTGTAGTCTATAAATTTGAATAGGCACTAGACAGGGACCCTTCAACTTCATGAAAACATGACTTAGTAGAGTGGCACATACATATGTGTGAGGAAGAGCACTGAGTACAAAGGGTACTTCATGCACAGAGTCATGGTATTAAGAACACTACTTATACTTAAAAAGAAAAAAAATGAAAGTTTTAGTCCTTAGCATTGCATAACTTTGCCTCTGTATGTTACTTTTTGCAAAAAGAAACAAACATAACATTTTGGCAGAAACAGTCAAGTGACAATTACCAGTTTAGAAAAAAAGTTGTTGGTGGTTGAACTCCAATTGTTCAACACATGTTTTACAATGGGCATAGCTCATGTAAGCTAGCTGTGTAAAAAACAGATGCCACAGCTTGTATTATGCCATGAAATATGAGAACACAACTTTACTAACTTGGCAGGAGATAGGTGATAATTGCTATGTTGTGTACATAATTGCTTACATGCAAACATTAAACGGAATAAACAATGGTGTAATTGACATGTCTTGGCTACACTATTCAACGTATTTTCCGAATTCTATTCTTCTAACTTTTGTTGTCTGTGTTGAACAGTTAGGTACCACAGAAATATGAGGCACTGGAATACTGGTTCCTCATATTTCCGTGTTACCAATATGCATAAACTGCCTCAAGTGCCTTCTAGGCTTCATGCACATGCCAGGAGGTTTACTTTCACTTAATAATTGTATTTTTTATCAAATTTTACAAATACCACTGAGAAAATTTATTGTTTTATTCACATGAAGAGCAAAATAAATTATTTCACAATCTTACTTAGTTTTCATACATTATAGACAACTGTCTTTGTTAAACAACCATTGAACTATTTGATGTAGGCCACAAAGAAAATCCCCACTTGCAGATGAGGCTCGGTATATATGTACTAAATAATAATGGTTACTCTTGTTTTTGCTTTTGAAACGTTAAAATGAAGCCTAAATTGTGTTGGAAATATGAGTCAACAACTTTTACTCACTAGGTATTCTCAAATTTCGACTGCAAGACCGACTGATTTTACAATCTGATATTACATAGATGTCGGTTAACCATCGTCTATATAATTAAAAGCCCCGCTGCCCGAAAGGACACAATTTGTTGGACTACTCAGTAGGCAGCAGATGGAATCATTCATGGATGTTAATCGCCATGTTGTGTATCATTGCTTAATGCAAACATAAAATGGAATAAACTATGATGTATTTGACATGTCTTTCCTGCAATATTCAAGGTATTTTCCATAATTCTATTTTTCTAACTTTTGTTGTCTACCACGCAAATATGAGGTTGTTTTCATTTCAAAAGACGCCGCCATTGACTTAATGACGTCATTTTTACCTCCAGCGCTAAAGAGTACCGACTATGGCACGCAACTACCGTCATAGAAAAACATTTAATTACAGTTTTTTTAATCTTTGCAAATCATGACGTGTACAATGTGCAACTTTATAGTACCAGACAATTAGACAATTTACTTTTGTGTGGTATAAGTAAAGATTTTGTTGCAATTGGTCAGAGTGGATGTTTTTCGTTTTTCTAAAAACGTCATAAATTTGATTGGAAGTCCTAGATTCTAATGATTTTTTAACAAAGATGTCTCGATTCTGAAAACGTCATTTAAAAAGTAACATTGGAAAATGATTTTTTTAGAATCGAGAAATCTACGTTAAAAAAAATTGAGTTATCAAATTTGAGTTCTACAAAACTCTCAAAAGGAATATCCCGAAACCAAGTGTTTACTTGGGCAAACATGCCGGTTCAAGAACACAATCTATGAAAACCTATTCCCGATTATATTCAACGATATTAGCATCCGCTTACCCTCGTATAATTGTTCTGGAGTGTACACATCAGGGTTTCCCTGTATTGACACACTAATTTTCACCTCACCAGTGCGTTGTCCCAGTTCTTGGACGTTGCCATGGTAATTGCAAAGAAAGAAGAAAGGTGATACATGAGTTAGTGCAGACTGTGCAGCTACAGAACTGAGGAGAGCAATTAAAACCAGCAGAGACATGTTTTCTCCTGCAGTCATCACAGCTTACTTGTTTCTGAAATGAACGTTCATAAACTTTACACGAATTTAAAGCAAAAAGTTGTATAAAATATTTAAATGTTGTAATTAGAATATGACTTCAGTTGAATTTGATTTACATGTGCTTCTGTCATTTGTGCACTGAATATTTCCCGTGTGGTGCTAATACGAATAAATTCATCGCTTGAAGATAAAAACGCAATTTAGAATTCCTTGAGCAGAAATTCAAAGCACGTGCCATCTGGGACTAAAAGCGTATCTCTCTGTTCCAGGTGTCAAAGTGATTTTTTAATGTTAGAAGATGAATTCACTGAATATTTGAAATATCAAAAAAATATATAATATTATTCAATTCAAAAATTTCTACAACAATTAAACTGAATATGAATTCGGTAAAACTCTGCCATTTCCAAATGTCAAACGATAAACAAAGCACTTAATAGTTTTAAGCCCACTTGAATCAAACCAGGATGTAATGAACAAAAAAGAATAAAAAAATGAATTAAAAAACTTGATAGACAATTAAGAATTGAGCATGTCTTAGAATTGATAAGATGAAAATAGAGGCCTATATTGCAAGCAATATAAACTTTTTTTGTGAATATATGATCCTAATATGGTTATAAGAGTGATTTTCTTAACGTAAACAAGAATTTGACAAACATTCATTTATTTCAAAAACAAAAATGTTTAATTATAAATTGTAAATGAAAAATGTACGAAGTCTAAAGCCAAATAAAATTAAATTAAACCTGACCTCAATGTGATTAGCATTTGCGACCAGTATAGAGCCATTTCAGTCCATTTTTTTCTGATTGATCTTTATTTATTTATTTATTTATTCATTCATTCATTTGTATTTCAATATTAAAATCCATTGACATTTCCAAATTCAAAAGTTGGACAGATCTGTTCCGTTTCGCTCACTCTGTGGGTTTAGTGGTAAGAAAGGTCAATGACCATATGTATATATTGTGACAAATTTATAGCATAGGGATTTTTTTTATATCAAGGACGTCTTTTTATAAATAGTTTTATTTTTTTTTTAAAAATGCGCATTCTGTTCTTGAACTCTAACTTACTTAACAAAGTTGTTTATTTTTTTAATCTGTAAAGAATTCCCTTATACTAACTGAGCAGCACGCCGAAAACTTAACAATTGTTCTAATAAGTTAAATTATTCTTTAGTTTTAGAGGATTTCTTATGCCTATATATAGTGGTGCCGCTTTAAAAGGAGATTTTTAACAAGTGTCAAAAATTGTGTATATATTTTTTTTCTCTGTTTAAACAATACATAAAACACATATATTCCATAATTCATCAATACGTACCTTGATTCCCGTGAACAATTTTAACCAAGATAAGAATTTCTGCAATACTAAAATTGTTTTAAAAACACTAGTTTGAGCCAAACTCAACGCAACATGTTATTATATACATTTTCCTTTCCCCTTATTCATAGAACACACACATATAATTAAAACTAACAGCTTGAAACTTAAAATTGTAACTGATAAATATCCGGTAAATCCGTGTATGAAAACTGAAATATAACATAAACAATAATCACATGCGCGCTACTTCTAAAAAAAATGTTTGTGAGAAAAATACGTTTTTTTTCTTAGATTGGAAGGATCAAGTGTTTTTCATGCAATGTCAAAGTGTGGTTTTCTCTTGTCAAACTTTATCAGAATGTCAATCACCTCATTTCCATAAAAAATAAATCACGATACACAATCTACTTCAATTACAAATACATTTTGTTTTTATCAAATTCCCTCAATTAGAAATGGTACCCATTACTTGTTTAAATATGAACGTTTTAAGTTAATAACACATACTAGTTGAAAATGTTCAGGAAATATAAATATTCTAATTTTCCAGTATTACAAGTTATGTAAATTCATTTTTTGAAGAATTTGAAACATTTTGTCCATTGACGGCAACATCAGGCACCACGTCTGCGCCGTTGTATTTTTTAAAATTACGGAAGCTATTTCGGACTCTCGTCTATTTTTAAATCAATACTGATATATAAATACACGTGATAATAATAATAATAATAATAATAAGATTAATAATTATAATCTAAAATCATACATATATGGGAAAGAGTTACCATGTGTTTGACCAGAAACTTTAAAATACATATTTTTATGTCTCTGTTTTGCCGAACCGAAATATTGGTAGATGATTACCGGGACACCCATTCTATAAAATAATTACGCCCTCGTGATATAATTCCTAACATCCATACTCCAAACGTTTTAAGTTAGTAACACATACTTGTTAAACATGTTAGGAAAATACTCCCATATTTCTTAAATCGAAGTAAAAGTTTTTAAAAAGAATTTTCAGTTTTCCAAAACTAAATATGGAGAAAATAGACAACAATCTTTAACGAATCGAATTAATCATATTACAGCGTTCCGACTGAGAAACGTTTTAGTATGACAAACCCTGACTAAGATACATTTTGTCAGAAAAAAACACCAACAACAACAAAATATCACAGTCTGTAGGCGTATGGAACCGTCCCTTTGTTCAAAGTGAGTGGCAGCTATGACCATGAGGACAAAAATGTATTTATTTGGCCTGGCTTTTTGTCACTTTGTGGTTTATTTGTCACATTACGTTCACATGAGTCAGAGCTGGTTTAAGAGTAGGAAAGTTCTGAACACTTGAATGCTGTAAAGCAGTTTTGTTTTGTACTTTTAGATATATTTATATTACGTCCTCATTTATTATTATTTAGTTTACACAGAATTTTTTTAGTTCGATTGCACAGGAAGCTTAAAGCCCACAGACACTCAATCCGTTCCTGGAACCAACCAGTACTGAACAATGAGTGTAAAGATTTTGTATTTTCTGATCGCAGATCAGAAAATTCAATGCTGACATTCAATCTCTGACACAGAATTTTCACGACAAACCTAACAACAAGTAGTTCTCAAAACAGCTTACCTAGCGATGTAAAAGAAAGAAATATTTTCATTTTGTTACAAGTATCTTTCTTTTTTAAGGAAGTAGCCACGATATGCAAGGATAAAGTGTGGCTGTCATAAAAAATGAACATAAATGATTTTTTTATGCAAATCTAGTCATGCAAAATTCCATATGTATCAATCTCAAACTATTAAAGTAAAAAATCTAAACGCAGTCGCTGCGTAAGATGAATTATAGAATCTAGTATTTAAAAAAAAAAAACTTATAACAGATAGTCAGGATGATTTAGATTGCAAAGATCAGAAAATACCACAGAGCTTGCAGCCCTTTGATTTGTTCAAGGAAACAACGGCTTGCCACTGACGGTGTTTGAACTCACGCAGAAAGCTATAATTAGATTACCAATCCAGCGCATTCATGAACCACTCGACCATACCGCCATATTATTATTTCTTTCTCCTTAAATGTTCGAATTTATGTCAGTGAAAACAATAGTATGTAAGCGGCTCTGAAACTGTTTGAATGTGTTATCGATGCCAATTTGTCCCTCGTAAGTTTGATATCTGTCATTTTATTCTTTAATGACAAACTTTTTCTTTCTTTTCAACATCAAGCTCTCAGTTAAAGCTTTCAAATTAATTTTTTATAAGTGATTTCTTAATTTCAATTTGAATAGATTAGATATCTTATTCAAGTTATTGTTAATAAAATTAAAATCACAGGATAAAAAAAAACATCTTATGTAATTAAGTTACTGTGTAAATGTATCAAAAAGTCCTTTACAATTTCTTATAAATGCACCAATTCAATAATCTACAAGCTCGAAGTAACAATAAATTAAGCGTTTAATACGCAGTAGTTATTTCAAAGAATCGGAACTATTTACACTAACAGTATCATAATTTGATTAATTTTCCCATGTCCCCTCTGTGCTTCCGTACGAAGCAGTTATGGTAATCTTTACATATTCCAGACTTGATTTCTCTCATTGATAAAAATTAAAAAAAAAGATAAGTCTATATCAAATTTTCATCAACAAACATATTCAAGCAGATTATTTATTGATAAGATAGGCATCAAACGGGGATGTTTATCTGCTAAGAATTTTCTTTCGTCAATGGAAAATTTGTGCCTTCCGAACGATATTATTTGTTGCCGTTCGTCCCTTCTTTTTTTTTGCGCGTTGGTTTTTAATGTATAGTTATCAGGACAAGTCAACATTGATAACTTTATATATAGCTTGAGTGTCTCCCAAAAGTGTTGATGACTTGGAGTCATGCTTTATTTTACATTTGTAAAAGAAATAAAATAAATTAAAATTGTTCGTTAATAACCTGAAATTTCTTGTTTGTACGTTTAATTTTTGTAGCCGACTGTACCAATACTGAATACGTTTTTTGTATGACACAAACAAGCATGGTAAGAGACGAATGTAAAAGGTCTCGCACAGCAATAGTGGTTCGAATTCTGTACATAAGTATCACTGTTAAAATAACTTGCTCGATTTTACATGGTAATTAAATATCTTTGCTAACCCACGGTAACATGTTTTGATTTTAGTGTAACATTCAACTGCACTGCGAGGCAATTTCTCACAAGTGTTCTACCAAATACTTGACCGACTTATATTTGGTATATTGCACCTTGCAAAATTTGCAAGTTAATGCGTCTATAACTGGATTTTAAATGATTAAATTAATTCATTTAAAGTTTTTCTCCAAAATGTACCGAGTAGATTGAAAGATATTAAAAAAAAAAAACTGTTGCGACCTAACAAACACAATACAATGTATTCATGTATAAGAAAAAGCAAATGCTTGAAGAAAAGAAGTTGAATTAATTTGCATGTACGCTGTAAAATGCAGATTAAATTGTGAATAGAACTAATGTGTGATCTTACATCATATTTCACATTGCTCAAAAACAACAATGAGTGCAAATACTATTAAGCACCTTCTTGAATAATTGATATCGTATTGTAACTTAATATTTTCGTAGTAATAAATTTTATTATGTCCCATGAGTGACCAAAAAACTTTTATGTACAAGAGATTTTTTGACATTACATCATATTTCACATCGTTCAAAAACCTATAAAGTTAAACAACAATGAGTGCACATACTATTAAACACCTTCTTTAATTATTGATATCATACTGTAATTAAATATTTTCATAGTGACAAATTTGATAATGTCCGTGTATGTACAAGAGATTTTTGGTTGTTCCTAAAATATATCCAGAGTGGTAAAATTTGTGATGTCCAGAATCATCAGCTTTATTTTTGTTTGCATCCTTGGATAGTCTCCTTTATTGCAGGATAGTAAAAGTGCAGTTAATTCAGAATCGTCGTTAATACTTGATTATACCATGACAAGGCAAGTTGCATACTACATCTACTGATATACTAAATCTGTTCTTGTTCACATCATGCCATTGATTATACCTATCGTGACTTTCTGTCAAACTGTGACACTTATTTCTTTCAAATATCAAACTTACTTTCCCAATATTAAAACGGAGTTCAATCTCTCGATAATTCATTATTCTACTGCATTTTAGTGATGAAGCATTTTTTAACTTTTTTAAAGCGGGCTAATGCACCAATTTTCGTTATCGTAATGGTTTAGAGTAATTTCTTTCTACTTTATATTCTACTTGATGTAACAGACTTGTTGAAACTACTTGACTCAAATTTCATAAGCCTCTTTTAACATCTTGAACCACTTGCTACATAGGGTAATATCGTGATTGTTACAGTTTAATTAGACTGAAGTACAATTGTAAATAGTTGACAACATGAATTCTGATTACAATATGTTCATAGCTCCTTCACGCAAACACACGTTCACATCCGCGCAAACACACGTTCAATTCCGCGCAAACACACGTTCACATCCGCGCAAAAACACGTTCACATCCGCGTACATAGAGAAAGAACGATTAAAGACACATTTTTGAAAAATGAAAAACCTTTTTAAAAATGAAAAAAAAACACACAAGAACACATGCACATAACAAAATTAGATCTATGTTTTTTCTAATGAGTAATTTACGTTGAATATATGGTTTTAAAACTAGCTGCCCCAAACATTCTCGTTTAAAAACAATATGTCAAATTTCTAATTGATTATCTACAACCATTTTTCTCCTTAGAAAAATGATAAAGGGGGAATTCGATTAAACTATTTAATTCAATAAAATTTAGCTTTATTAGCTTTATGCTAGAATGGTAAAATAACGTCATGTTTCAGACTCAAATGTTAAAAACCCATTATGTCCTACAGTCCTAGAGATACTTTTATTTCTCAAACACTGGTGTATTTCTATAGTTTTCAAAAAAATACTCATTTGTCAATTATCAGAACAATTCTTTCTGCTTGTGCTTTTTGGCAAGTAGTATACTTATAGTGATTTAGTATTTTGTACGGAAGTCAACATACTACTTTGTTAACAATTGACTTTTTAAATGACACATTATTTCACATGTAAATTCACTTTCTTCAGGTAACACATGTTTGACATGCTCTTAAACCATCAATCAATGTTAAAAGTTCGTGTTTGCCCTTCCTGAAATAGTACAAAGTTAATCGTTTCTGAAGCAAAATAAGCGGCGCCATGACAAAACCAACATAATGAGTTTGCGACCAGCAAGGATCCAGACCAGCCTGTGCATCCGAGCAGTCTGATCAGGATCCATGCTGTTCGCTTACAAACCCTATAACAAGTAGAGAGACTGATAGCGAACAGCATGGATCCTGATCAGACTGTGCGGATGCATAGCCTGGTGGTCGCAAACCCATTATGTTGGTTTTGTCATGGCGCGGCTCAAATGTGCCTTAAATCAAACTGGTTTGTGTGACCTCTTTCTGCGAATAGTTGAGCTAAAATAAACTGTTTTTGATAAATAAAAATGATTGCATTTCTACGGCATAATGAGTCTTTAAACCATTTTTCAAAGGTTCTCTATGAGAATTTTGTGCTTAAAAAAAAACAAAAACATCATATACAATTTCTTCATCTGTTTTGGATTCGTGAAGTGGCTAAAGGGCATAAAGGTGAAATAAAAATACTTTACTTTTTTAATTGTCTTTATTGAAAGAAATCATGATTTTTTTATTTGATTTTTTTACTATTAACAGTTCTTCACCTCCATAAATGTCTCTCATTTTCCAAAATTTATACGAGATGTCTACCTCTTTTCAGAGTAACATGAATAAAACATTACAGGTAATTATAATTGTTTTACAGACCACACTTATATGTATAGGTAGATAGTATTTCTTGCACGCTTGTAATAAAGTGCAGACATTCCATGTAGTTGTGGTGTAATCCCTGGTTACATCTTACACAAAATCATACAGGTATCGCAGCACATCAAAGTTCACTGTCCTGTAAACAAAATAAATCAATTTATTAAGTTACAATATTATAATAAGCATACTTACATATTTGCCCTAGTTTAAATGTGCTTAAATAACTGATAATTGGGAAAAGATGAAGTCATACTTTACAAAATTGTCATTTGCCAAACTAAAGGACCAAGACAGCCCTGTTTCACTCACCAGACATAACCAGTTATTCAATATATAACAAAGATGGATCGTTTTTTGTTTTTTTGTTGTTTTTTTACAAAATCAAATATTTAAACTTTTCTTTTAAAATTGATGTCTTTATCAAAATATTCTGCAAAATTTCTGACAATATAAGAACCTTAACCAGGCATGAAATACTTATTTGCCAAAATGACTCTGCATAAGTTGTACTGTATGTCATTTTAATGATTCACTGTTTGTATGATACCTAATTTTAAATTGCCTAAATCTCCATACAAATCCTTTATATAACAAAACGGCATATCATCTTCAACAAAAATATCTAGGAAAATATGAGGATTCGCCTAGATTAAGGTTGACACTGTTTATAAACATATCATTATTTGCATTCATGACCATGTATGTATCTTATCATATTTGGTTAAATATGTTGTACACCTATAACATAATAATAACATGCACAAAGCAGAGATTTTGAAGCATAGATTTGTTATTGTTACCTTGCAATAGACTTGATAAAGTCAAGAGAGACGAGACATTTATATTTTGGTTGTTCTATCTGATCTTCACCCACAGCATGTCCAAGTAAATGAAGGCTTACCAATGATGTTACCTATAAGTGAACACAACTTTATAACAAACATATAAATTAATATCTTTGGTAAAAATAAATATTTGTTTTGTTGAACCATGTGATTTAGAAGAATGCACTTCCACGGAAGATAATCATAGACAGTTACTCTTCACTAAAATGCCATTGTACAAAACATCCCTCATATCAACATATATTTCACCATTAAAGTTTACCCATCATACGAAAAAATAAGAAAATTCTTTGAAATGATTAATTTTTTCTAAAACTGCAGAAAATGTCTTTAATTTAATAGAAAAGAGAAAAAATGTTATATAAATTATCAAACACTCTTTTTATGATCAAAAACAATGGCACTACTTTATAATGAAAATGATACATAAAAGTACCTGCATAAATATATTGGCAGTTGGAGTAACTCTTGCATCAACTATAGAGTAGAAAATTGCCATTAATCTATCCAGAGGGAATGGCTTCGGCCCCAACATATGGTTGCTGGTCTGTAATGATATAATATTCACATCATTGTGAATAAATCAGAAATAAGACAATAATTGTCAATGTTCAATACTATCAAGATCCAAATTTGATTAGGCTACTTCAATATTAAGTGTCTGTATGGTTTCAGACAAGAACATTTATGAAGATTGTCAACATTTAACTGGTCATATCATTGTATGCCTTGTATTCAAGAAACTTTTAGATAACCATTTAATGACATTAACAAAACTTTTGTAAAGGACTGCCATAGATCATTCCTGTGAAGTTTGGTCAAAATCTACTATTTGCTTCAGGAGTATAAACTTGTTTAAAGAAATTGTGAAGTACAAAAGACACAAGCCATACATCATCCTATCAAAAAAATCAACGTCTGAGCAGTTTGTGCAACTTATAAAAATTTTCATATAAAGAAAATCCTTGTCAAATTTCAACAACTTTGAACAAGTATGTTTACAAGTATAGTTTAATCCAATAAAGATGACTAACAATAGGCAAAGAAGAGCTTATTTTAGAAACTTTGTACCTTAACCATTTTAATATGTGTAATGGATATCCTACCCTTTCTGATTTTTTACTTTGTTGAGATTTTCTGCTCCCTTTTCCTGAATGCTTAGCAAAGAATTTCCTATCTGACTTAGCAGGATTATACGATGCTAAATAAGCTGCAATCAGCAAGTACTTTGAATAAAATGGAAGTTCTACATGAGATTTGTTCAACAGACCTGGAACAAAGAAGTATATCATTAGAAACAACGGATGCTTACCAACAAAATAGTTTCAAAGAATTCAACTCAATGTTTGCTTAGTAATAGTCCAGACAAAGATTACTGCTGAAAAAATATTACAAGGCATAACTGCTAAAATTCACTGTTGTACACTTCTCCTTGTAAGTCTGTTAATGAATTCAAGTTACTAGTTGCAGAGAAATAAAATGAATAAAAATTATAGCCTATTTAGCCTAATAAAAATCATTAAGGGGAAATAACTTTGTAAAATCATTGAACTAGATCATGTTAGATCAATTCCAGTAAAAAAAAGTAAACACACAAAAAATAATGCTGAAATATCATGAAAGGGGTATAATTTTGTGGAAAATCATTTAACAACCCCATGTAACTAACATGCACCCTTCCTCTTGGTAGTGAAGTTTTATGTGAAATTTTGTAAAATTTTAGTTTCTGGGTGCTGAGCAATAATCTGGACAAAATTTTTGGACAGAGAAATGGATGTTCCTACAATCGGGCAATTATGAGGCTACTGTTTCTCCCTTAATTCTTTTAGACAAATAAAATATTCACTTAATAACTAGCAACCAAGAAATCTTACTATTATCTATTACTATTACCTATACCATAGTAATACAATTACTCTATTACAAGTAGGTGAAAACAGACAAGAGTAAGAAGCAGCCACTGTACAATTATTCATATTGGGGAAGATAAAATATATAAAAATTTATTTCAAAAATTTGAAAATTTTATTGAAAAAAATTTTCCCTTTTAATCAAGAGCGGGGTTTTATGAAAATTTTTTAAACCCTGAAGGTCTTTAAAAAAAGCGTAAGGGTTGTTTAGCCAACTGTTAAAAAAAGGTTTGGGCATTGAAATTTTTTCACAATCCCCAAAAGGGCACTGGGCCGGCCTGTCAATAGGATTTTGTGATTTGTGGTTGTAGGAAAAAAATTTATTCAAGGATGCCTTCAGGAGCGTTTCCCTTGTATTTGGCACAGTTTACAGTCTGCCTCTAGTACATATTATTTTGGCATATGTAACTGATTTTTTACAGTGATCTGTGAGTTGTAAGTTTACAGAGTAAAAGGTTGACTACCGATCGCATAACAGACGGACAGTTGTACATAAAATAAGAATAATTGATATTTGACAAATGTAAAGGAAACATTTATTGATGTTGTTATAATTCTTCATTTTTACCTTATAATTATAAATAGACAATTACAAGAAACTATTACACACAAGAACAGTAGTAGTAGCTTCCGTATGTTTAGTCAAACAAAAACTGCAAGGTATTTTAGAGTATTTTTTTGTCTTATTGAAAGTATAATTTTAAGCACATGTTTATTTCTGGATCAATGTTTAACATACCTTGTAATGAAGCATTTTCTGAAGTCTCTAACTGATACTGGTAGTTTTCCCATTGACAACTAGATACTTCCCTCAGGTATAACGTTGACATTGCTTTCTTTAAATGTGGCTCTATATTTTTCCATAACTTCTTTGTATCAGTAATGGAAACTATAAAGAAAAGGGAGAAAACAAATATACAGTTCAACCCCGTTTATTCGAAGTGCCTGGGACTGAATATTTACTTCGAATAATCGATGGGTTCGAATAATCGAAATCGGAATAGTGTGATAGACGAAAACTACTCCACTTGGACCAATCATAGCAAAACTACCGTTTACAACACACTTACTTCCTGTACAATATAAAACTAATTCCCCTAGCTCTTCTTTGAAAACAAGAGAGTCATGATGATCCTTCAGTGCCATTACATTTAAACAACATATTTTTATTATGATTAAATCTAAATTGGCTTGAAAATAACATTCTGTTCTTGCAATATGCTGTATGTAGTAAATTTTCTAATTAGAATTACTTCCCCTTAGTCTAATAATATTGTTTGTATAAATATGGACAGATCAACAATAAAGAGAATTCACATTAATCTTAAATAGTACAAATGTATCACTTCTGAACCTTGTATAATGTCAGTTATAGCATATACTTTCACAACAACTGATAAAACATTATGTATCAAAATGTCATTATGAAAACCAAAAAGTAATTTGTATATTTTTTGTGCAAATCTAATGATGTAAAAAGGATTTTCTTTTGACTGTCTGAAAATAAAATGTTTGATTCTTGTTTGTTTGATTGGGGTTTGCATCACACTGACACAGTATAGGTCATATGACAACGCTCCAGATTACTGGTGGAGGAAGACCTTATGTGCCCTTCTCTGCATTGTTCAAGCACAGACTGGAACCGGAATAGAACCACCGACGTTCCGTAAGCTAGCAGGATAGCTTCCTCACATGAAAGAATCTAAAGTACTTGTTGGGATTTGAACCCACAGCAGTAAGGGGCAAGTGGTTGAAACCAACAACCTTAACCACTCGGTCAAGGGCGCCCCATGTTTGGTTCTAAAAAGTTCTAAACATTGTAAAATTACCTTCTCCTTTCTTTATTGGCTGTGTATAATGTTTGAAATTGAGTAGCACCTACAGTAAGAGAACACTTCAAATAATGTTTGCATCATGGTCATAATATAAAGGGACTGTTCAATTTAATAAAATAAGTAAAGGACCATCAAACAAAAATGAAAATCTGCCTAGAGAATCAGATTTTGTTTTAAATCTTACATTTTAAGAATTTGTGGCAATCTTGTTTAGCAATTTTAACAATTTTAAAGCTTATATACATTTTCAGATCTGGTGACAACCAAAAATATCTTAGCATTTTTGTAAAAGAACAGGATATAATGATCTTTCTTGCAGTGTTTCATCAAAATTAACATATCTAGCAGAAATAATCTACATTTTCATTACATGTGAACTCTGTAAAATAAGATAATACAATCAATTATTACTAAACACTTAAAGTAATTAAATCACATTTAGTGATAATAAATTCAAACAAAATTTTTGGTTTCAACTTAAACAAGCATTTATAACCTTCAACTTATTCTACTTATAAATTAAATAAATAGAGGATATTCAAGTTTTTTCTATAAATACATGATTTATTTTCATCGAGTGGTATGAAAATAAATATTTCATGAGTGGCGGTAGCCACGAGTGAAATATAGTAATTTTCATGCCACAAGATGAAAATAAATCATGTATTTATAGAAAAAACTTGAATTTTCTGTTTATTATATACATTTTTCTCTTTCTGGACTTTAAAATTTGAAAGACTTTCCCTTAACTTTTGAGTAATGGCAGAATTTAAAATAAAGTAGTCCGGCAGGTCACCAGTGAAAATACGGAAAATATGTTTCACTGCAGTGAAAAATAAATTTTTACAGTGAAAATACGGAAAATGAAAATACGCATTTTATTTCATCAATATTTCATTAAAAAATATATAATAAATATACATACCAGATGTTTAAGTTCTTTCAAATTTGTACAGGCATAATGGAAGATACTGAGGACAAGATTCGCATACATGTTGTAGAAACCAATAGGGTACTCTTCCGGACAATCAAGGCATAAAATCTCCACAAGCTCCTCTGAAATAGATCAAATAATAATTCAAGGACTTTCATAATGGTTACAAAAAAAATACTTTAAACAGTGTTGTGATTGCCTTACGATTCAATGCTAGAAAAGGTCATATTCATCAACACAGAAGAAGGTCATTCAGTCACAATGGCTATGGCCATTTTTCTAAACTGGGATACTTTGCTGTTTGAATTGGAGGCCAACAGTATGCTATGAAAATACTTAGATATTTGTCCATTTTCCTCTTTCTAATCTTTCTGAGTAAATTTAAACAACAAATGCTCTATAAAATATTTTACAAAGGATTACCTAGAATACCATATTCAGAGAAAGAGACCAAAGTCTTCTGTGGTAATTAAATAGAGACATATTCAGTTGTTGAGTTGCTATGAACTAAATCTTTAACATTAATGTCTTTCAAAGTTTGAGGTTTGTAAATGAAATAGTTCTTCATTTATCATGATTATAAATATCACTGATCTGATAAGCAGTCACATTTTCTTGTACCGAGGCAAGCATAAATGATTAACTAAGTTGTTACAAACCTTTACTATAATCAGGGAAGTTTATCACAAATGGCTCACAAAATCCAGTACCAAATCTGTACTTTTCCCAAACAATATCTGATACCATTATCACAAATACATTCAAGTCAGTCTGAAAAGAGTAAGAATATCTATTTATAGTAGCGACTTGTAAGCTAAATAAGCACACTGAGCACATGCAATATTATTTTGGCTCATTTTTTTATAGCCAATATTCGGTCATATTCCCCATGGAAAATAGTATATGTATTATTTTCCCAATCCACAGGAAAAAATTCCAACTGTACAAAATAGAATATTGAATAACAAATTCTAAAATCTTTAAAAAATAAGGACTTTTTCACTGTTATGATGCTTAAATGTTTGAAGATGCCAACCATTCATTTCATTCATTTAATCACTGCAAAATTTAAGTCATGCATTTTTCCCAATTCCATGGGTATGGTTCATGTTCCCAAAATCCTGGGGAAAAAAACCTGCAATATACCTGCTAAACACTATACACATACCCAATATGCACATTAAAAGCAAACCACTGGCAATTCATTTGCCTGCATGGATAACAAAAAGCTTATTTTGTGTGCCTATTTTTCTAATAATGTGCCTACTAATCTAGTCCTAGTCTTGTGCTAAGTTGGCTAAATCAGTACACACTTGCAAATATGTCTTTGTCCAGTCGTTACACTATGTACTCTCTTAACTGTATAATTGTCATTAAAAAATATTTTTTCCTTTTCTTTTCAAAATTGTCTACATGAACTTAATTCTTAAAATACAATTAAACATGTTAATCACCCTGTTTAAGAAACATGTTTATCACACACCCGTGCCGATTTTGCGACTCCGTAAATATGGTATTGCACGGCCGTGCATACATTTTGACGTGACGTCATTGGCGTTATACAAACATAGTGTAAAGACGCGCTAAATGTTAGCGTTATACTATAGGCGCGTCAATGAAAAATGACTCTTATTTCACTTTAAATGGTCTTTATTTTGGGTATGTGATAAATAGAATATTAAATTTGTGTAAGTTCATTACTGAATTTATTGCACTCGTTGAATAAAATAATATTATGCTCGCCAGAGGCTCGCATAATATAATTTTATTCAACTCGTGCAATAAATTCAGTATTGAACTTACACTCATTCAATATCCTCTATATGTATAATTTACATATGTAATGTATGTCCTGTATAATTATAGTTTGTATATATATAAATTTGTTAACAGTTTTTCGAATGCCTTGTTAATAAGTTGATGTGATAAATTATGTTATACTTTTCTCACAATTATGTTACTCTTTATCGCCATACATTGTCACAACCTATTGGCGATGAACATGTATATATGTTTGTGCCAAATAAAATGTTTGTTCTGTTCTAATCATGTCCCTAATTGTCTAGTTGTGTGCCTACTGGACTTACTTGGCTAGTCATTTTTACGTAAAGTAAAAACAGTATTGACTCTTAGTATCAAACACAACAACCATTTAATTAATTCTATTTCAGCTTTTTTCTACTTCTAACCTGTCATGTTTAGTATGTAGAACCTACCAGTTCTTGCAGTTTCAGAAAAGTTGGCAGAATATTTGGTTCCATGTCACGAAGAAACTCTGCTTTGTCAAACACCTGTAAAAATAATGATTTTTGATTATCATTTTCATTTTTTAATATAATTATCGCTGGTAAAATGTTCAAACTCAGTTTAATGCTGCTACACAAATTATTCCAGTTATATTCAAAAATATCAATGAAGAAAAACTATGGTTAACCAAATGCTACTTAAAGGAAGGTTATGCAATAAACATTTCTTTAGCATCAGTGAACCCAATTGACCTTACTCAAAAGAATTACAGGTAGTGCTAAGATGAAGTTGTTCTAAAGCATTGTTTCTATTTTTAGCTCCTTTTTTAGCTCAAATTTATTGCCTGTTTTTCAAGAAGCTATGATACAGATTGTCTGAAACAGGCTGAATGGCACATCTTGAAAATGCATACCAGGAAAAAACCTGGATTCATCAGTGTGTCTCATTTATTTATTTGTTTTTGTTTTAAATACCGATTTTAACACATCATTTTGGTCATATCTTGGCAGGTGATCCACCTAACCAGCTTTCCTGGATAACTAACCAGTAATTACCCATTTCTCGGCAAGTATTCCACATGATTTCTAAATCAGCAATGGCAGACAAATAACCATTGGATTCACTGTTTAAGATCAATTGTAAAACAGAAATGCACCTCTCCATGACAAAACCAACACTATGTGTTTGCGACCAGCATGGATCCAGACCAGCCTGCACATCCCCGCAGGCTTATCAGGATCCATGCTGTTTGCTATCAGTTTCTCTGCTTGTTATAGGGTTTGTAAGCGAACAGCATGGATCCTGATCAGACTGCACTGATGCGCAGGCAGGTCTGGATCCATGCTGGTAGCAAACGTATTACGTTGGTTTTGTCATGGCGCAGCTCAAATGTAGTCTTGTTCAAGGATTGAACCAGTGATCCATGAATTTAATCTGATGCTCTTCCTATTGAGGTAAGTCGGCTTGGAAGTTAAGAAATGTAATTAAAAGAAAATGTTTATAAACCACATTGCATAAATCATATCAAATTTGTCATACTTCTAAACCAGGACCACTTCTTGAAAAATATTATCCATAAAAATTTAATGGTCTTATGGCCCCAAACATGATCCCATGTGTAAACATCAGAAATCTTCATACATGTACCAGTAATTTAAATCCATAAGAATTAGTACAAAATTATCAAGTATGGCAGTTTAATAAGGATGTGCAAAGTGAAAGGTTCTTTTAAGTGGAAAAATAAAATTAAAATTTTTTTTTAGATACTCACAATATACAATGTTTCAGAATTTAGTCCAGTCACAATTTGCTTGAGATGACGTATAAAATCATTCATATTGTCACATTTGATAAGGTCAGCTGTTGCTGCCATCATATCAAAGTTACCAGCAATGTAGTTCAAGATATATTCATATAAAAAACGTTCATTGTAACACTCCACACAGTTCACAATAACGTGAGGTAGCTGCAAATACAGAAAACAACAACTAATAATACTAATAATAAAACTTACAATACAACTACTATTACTACTACTACTACTAATAATAAATTAATATGAATAAAGTCTTTATTTAAATGTTAATGTATATGTTTTAAGATTTACATACCTTCATAGTTTTCAGTAGTGTATTAAGAACAAGAGTCTTGCCTGTTGATGTATGGCCATAAATAAACAAGGATGGTACACTCATTTGATGAGGCTGCCAATAAAAATATTATGTATATCTTCATGTTGTATAAAAACTAATGTGTCTTGAGTTTTCATAACTAACAACTATTTTTCTTATTTCTTTTAGCCTTATTGTTGCATGTAGACATAATGTGCCTCTCTGCATAAGTATGCACATAAGTAGAACCATGACCTTCCATCAGCAACCTGGTGTTTACAACTTCCCCACATGAAATAATCTGAAGTCATTGACTAAAGCAGTGAGTGGCAATGTTTGATTGAAATTTGCAATTTCAACCACACTCCAAAGTCAAAGTACAAACAACAAATAAAGGATAATATCATATTGAATAAGTTTAAGTTCAATACTGAATTTATTGAATGAGTTGAATAAGATTATGCAAGCCTCTGGCGAGCATGGTATTATTGTATTCAATGAGTTCAATAAATCCAGTACTGAACTCACACCAAATTAATATTTTATTACTCACACAGCAAAAAAGTGTTATTTTTCACGGACGTGCCTAAAGTATAACACTAACATTTAGCGTGTCTTGATACTATGTTTGTTTAAGGCAAATGATGACACATCAAAATATATGTACGGTTGTGCATTACCATTTTTACGAAGTCACAAAAAGCGGCATGGGTATGTGATTAACACCATTTCTAAATATGATAAAAGGCACCTTAAAAATATGTTAATACAGTTTACATTACTGAAATTGTAGATTAAGGTAAGACAACAGACAGCAAACAACAATATTATGTGATAACAAAAGCTCACTTCAATGCACTGAAGTATGCTACAATTGATCAACAAGGAACAAATTTTTTTAAAACAGAATCAGGAATAAATCAGATCATAAAGAAAATTCTTAATTCTAAAGCGAGTTTAAAAGGTTAAATTTTAGTCTAAGAACTTTTAGCTAATGTAAGCTAGGTTACGTCAACCTTAAATTATCATATTTATACATTACCTTTCCAAATAAATCTTTTAAAACAGCAACCTGTTTCTGCCTACAATGTATAGCTTCCATGTTTTATTTCAAGTCTATAATTACACCTGAAAGTGAAAATATAGACATTTAGCATACTGAGCTATCACAGAATGATAATATGAGCCGCATCACGACAAAACCAACATAGTGCATTTGCGACCAGCATGGATCCAGACCAGCCTGCGCACCCGCGCAGTCTGATAAGGATCCATGCTGTTCGCTTACCAACTCTTTTACAAGTAGAGAAACTGATAGCGAACAGCATGGATCCTGATCAGACTGCGCGGATGTGCAGGCTGGTCTGGATCCATGCTGGTCGCAAACGCACTATGTTGGTTTTGTCGTGATGCTGCTCATATATGTAACAGGAGGAAACATCTGTATTTAATACATCATTCTGGTCTTTCTTCCCAGCAAGATTAATCATTGAACATTTAGCAAACATACTGTGACCTTGACAAAACATTCTGATTTTGTACATGTACATAAAACCACAAAAAAAAACTTTGATTTGCTATTTATTGTAGTGTATGTTATTAATTGTGACAAAAAGCTAAAATATCATTTATACAATTACAAAAGATATCATAATTATTAATATTTTATTATCCAGAGTTTTATTAACAAAATTAGATTTATCTGCCAATTGGTATCAATTGGTGGCCATGACTTACTAACCTAAGTATTTTGATACAACATATTTTCTTATTATCCAAGTATTCTGTGTTGAAGAAATTTAGATGATACATTGAAGTTAGTTTGATGTCAAAACATGTTCAACTGTTTTCTTTCTTAACGAGCATTTGTTGAGACTTTGTTACATACACAACATGTTTCTATTTATTAAAGGGACTCCACTGAGATTTTTTGACATGATGGGACTGAAAATATTTTTTCCAGATAAATGTACCATATGATGTAGGTTTAGACCACTGATCTTTGTGCAAAATTTCAGATCATTGGCGCACTTTGTTTTTCCAGGATAATTATTCAAATTGAAAAAAAAAAAAAAAATGAAAAGCGTTTAAACACTTTTCATCAAATTGGGCTAAGAAACGCATAAAATACGATTTTCTTCAAAGTATATTTCTTAACTATCTTTGCATATATTTCTGTTTAAAGTGCCCCAAGCTCATTTATGAAAGAAATTCAAATGTTTTGTTTTTAGGCTTTTAACCCTTTCCCCCATGAGCATATTGTGAAAAATGGCCATTTTCACTGAAAAGCCTTCACTTACAAGTTCAAACTACTATGAAACTATGAAAAATGCTTCAATACTAATCAAACTTGGCACAAATGTTGACTGGACCATTGCCTTTGTAACGACATGCTCAGTCTTAAATTTCCTGTTACCATGGCAACGAGGGGACATCTCAAAATTGCCAAAAATCACTATTTTGCCTCGATTTTTTCCATCAAAATTTATTTCAAAGTGCTGCAACTTCTCAAGGGATTGAGATAGAGTCAAAGGCTTTTCAGCTTTGGTTACACGTTCCCTTATGATCGACCTGGGGTCATTTTAAGCCTCTCACAAGTCCAAAATTTTCTTGGCAATGAGGGGGACTCCGCCCCGCTTCATACCCCCCCAAACAGAAGGGGGCACATCCCCCTTCTGGCAACCCCCTGATGTATCTTTTGGATGGGGAGTGGCGCCAAAAAAGTGCTCACTTTTTTTAGCAACAATTCTCAAACTAAAACATGTGTTTGGGGCCCAAATAGGACATTTTTTCACTATTTCAGGCCTAAAAAAAGGGGGGGGGGTCGAAAGTGCGTTATTTAGCGTATATATGAGGTAAAGGGTTAAACCTCAATGGAGTCCCTTCAAAATGTTTTTGCTGACAAAACTTCGCCAATAGGCGACATGCAATTTATTTTGAGGCTTAAAAAAGTTTGCCTATTTCTTTTTTAATCGACATTATGTCTGAGACATAAACTAGAAATGTGTCCATAGGACACAGGTGCCCCCACACTCCACCGATTTGTCAATCTTGTGTCTCTAGGTCAAATTTTTTTTTTGGCTACATATGTTTAAATTGAAAACTAAAAATTATTAAGTAAAGGGCAAATACTACAAATGCTGAATAAATCCACAAGAAAACCCCAAGGTGCATAAGTACACATGCTGACCAATATTCTTGTAAACTTTCAGGCCTACAGGTCAAATACTTTTTGAGTTACGTGCAACACAAGTTGAATATTGTAAATTTTTACTAAGTCAAGGGCAATAACTCTAAAAATATCCATACCAAAATCCCCAGGTGCACAACTACACATGCTGATCAACATTCTTGTATTCATGACTCTAGTCAAATACTTTTTGAGTTACGTGCCACACAAGTTGAAAATTGGAAATTTATAAATATCCACACGAAAATACCCAGTTGCACAACTACACATGCTGAGCAACATTCCTGTAAGGTTTCATGACTCTAGGTCAAATACTTTTTGAGTTACGTGCCACACAAGTTGAAAATTGGAAATTTTTACTAATTCAAGGGCAATAACTCTAAAATATCCATACAAAAATCCCTAGGTGCACAACTACACATGCTGATCAACATTCTTGTATTCATGACTCTAGGTCAAATACTTTTTGAGTTACGTGCCACACAAGTTGAAAATTGGAAATTTTTATTAATTCAAGGGCAATAACTCTAAAAATACTAAATAGATCCACACAAAAATACCCAGGTGCACAACTACACATGCTGATCAACATTCCTGTAAGGTTTCATGACTCTAGATCAATTACTTTTTGAGCTATATGCAACACAAAGAGAACAGATAGACGGACATTCCTACTGAGTCAACATCATGGGTTTTTTTCTTTAATCTCTAAAACCCCATAAGCAACGTATTTGCACCCCATAAGCAACCTTTTTCCCCAAAAGTACCGTCTGTAGGGAATGAACATGGATATTCACCCAATAACATCACTTGAGGTCGTACGGACATTCTAACAGGAGAGTAATAATATGGCTACTCTATTGTTCTCTCTATTGTTCTTTTTAGCCACACAAAAGAAAATAGCCACATAAAAGCATTACTGAATGAATGACATCAAAGAGAAAGAACATTTTCCTATTGTCCCTCTAGCCACATAATTACAGTCCTGTGAGTGCGGATGGACAGACAGACAAGGGTATATCGAAATGCACCCCACTATAAAAATTATCACTTATCAGCAACTCAAAATGGCCAAACAGTCTGTCATGTATATAATATTTCACTACTCGACTGTCTGGTTTATTTGTGTAATATGCATTGCTAAAAGTGTTTGCTAAAAACAGCGCGTGGATTAAATTATCGGGTTCTTACATGTAACTTATAAGACCATAACATATAATAGAAATTGATTTTCGAACGTCGACTGCCCTAAATTCGCCCCTGTCCTAGTCAACATCCTTACTTTATTTTTCAGAAAGTCTTTATTTATAACAATTAAATGTTCATTTAGGCAGTCACAATAATCCGAGGCTTTACCGAAATAGCCGAACAATTTTCATTGATTTGTGATTGTGCATTGATTGACAATTCAATAGGCCAAAGCTCCTTTTAAACATTGAATGCATTATAATTTGTTGGATACTTGTAACAAAATAAAAATATTTCTTCCCTTTTCATTGCTAGCTTTGAGCTGTTATGAGAACTACTTATTGTTGTTAGAATTGTCCGGAAGATATTGAATGTCAGCATTGTATTTCCTGATCTGCGATCAGAAAATACAAAAAGCTCTATTATTCCACGAGAATACGAGAAACCCCAAGAATACGAGAAATATGGATACAGTAAGCTCCATATGATCTTACAGATCATCTGTTACATCTTACAGATCATCTGTAACTTTTTTCTGTTACAACTATATTTTTGGACCGTTTCTTTGTCAAAATAAAATTTGTATTCACTTTAACATTCTTATTCACTTTTTTAATTGAAATAATAATGACTTTGTTATATCCCCGTACTGCCTCTTTCCGATCAGCTAACAGATTTTTCAACAATAACTGACAGTAAAATTATATTTAATAAAAATCTCTTTCAATTCTGCGAATATTATCATTTTAGCTAATAAATGCACCAACTTTTTTAAATTTTACCTGAATTATTATTATAAATCGAGGACAAATCATTACTGACCCATTTTCCTGTTCTTCAAAATTTCACAACCACTTTTCAATCAGTTAACAAAATATAAACTGTACCACATAAAAATTGTCATACAATGTTAAAATATGATCAGTTATGTATTGTGGAGAAATTTTGACATACTCAACTTCAGATAAATTGTAATAAACAATTTTAACCTAATTATAATGCCATTTTTCAATCTTGATATCTATTTGCAATGGTAAAGCTGTCGTAATTGGGGTATGGATGTACATTTCAATTTGCATAACAGAAAAAGCATGTTCTTGTGAAATTTTTAGGATCTTAGGGTCTATATGACCCCATTCTAGTGACTGCTTACTGAAAAGTTATCAAAGATAATGTTTTTCCTTGGTTAAGTGACTGTTACTATACTGATGTATTACCTTCCAATTAAGAACTGTATGGTAAAATATGTACATATTAAAATTACAACTTTTGAAGTGCAGTATACATTGTGACTTCATGATATTGAAACAGTTGTCCAACTTAATATCCATTTCTGCAGACTGACAAAAAACTGAGTCTGTATATCAATTATTTTTAGAAAATTATTGCGATTTGTAACTGTGTAAATAAAGGAATAGTGGAAAACACACTTTTTACATATTTTGAACTAAAATGCTAGCATTTTCTTTTTTTATCGCCTAAATTGACATTGCTGCTGATAAATTTAGTCAAGGGGAGTACAAGATGTGCTTACAGTTTGGTTACATGACAAAAAAGGTCAAAAATAAAAAATTTCTAGGGGTGATTGAAAAGTGGTTGTGATTGAAAACTGGCAGTGTGTGGATAAGACTTTGAAGTCTTATCTTACTTTGGAATATGTAATGGTACGAAACTTTTGGGAACAAAATCACTCGTTTTTCGCGGAATGTTTCAGATTTATTGAATCTTTTTTCGACGCCATTTCATTTGACCGTGATTACGCGTAGTGTTAATTTTTTGTTTTACCGTATTTTTATCAGACAAGTTATCGAGAAATCATGTGGATGTTGCTAACTTTCCAATATTTATATTTGTACACACCGCCTTTCCCCGTGCACAGGGGACCAGTCTAAGGGGAACCACAAACTTAATCTGGTTCCCTGTCCTATTTATGGTTCTATCCACTTTTACAAATGCGCAGGGGACCAGTCTACTTTTCGGACTGGGAACCAGATTATCGGAAACCTCTGACAATTCCGTTGAAAACTTAGTTGGCGGTAGTGTCTATGTCTTTGTTATTTTGTTCAGAAATCCATGTGTTATTTCTAGTTATAAAGATAAACTGATAAGCTTTATATTCAGGTAAATGAACTGATAATTCATATATCATATGTGTGTACACCAAATGAAAACAAGTCATGCTAAAATCAAGTTAAGTGAAGTGACGATTCGCCCCAGTTATGATTCGCTCCAACAATGACAATGTCCAACACAAGTTCAAAATGCATATAGCTGTCTTGTTAATTTGCTGTGTTTGGTTGTTTTTGAAACTTGTCACTGAATTTTTTGACATAAATGCAGGGCTGTAGCCGAAAAAAAGGGAGAAGCTCCTATCAGGGAGAAGTTTGAAAACAGAGGGAGAAGTGAAAGAGTGCTTGGCATATAAAATAATAATTTGATCTTAGGCTAGGCATACGGGATTATTTAAAAAAAATAACCAAAACCCCAAAAAGAATTTGGGAAACTTTTGTTTTTTTTTTATTAATAAAACATTTTTGTGGGAAAAAATTTAAAGTAAAACATTTTTTATTTTCAAAAAAATTTATTTTCCCGCAGGCATTAAAATTTAGCTTTTTTTTTGGCTTCTTTTTTAAACAAAGAAATTTTTTTTCCCCAAAAAAAAAAATTTTTTTTCAATTTTTTTTTTCTTTTTTAATTTTAATTTTAAATTACAGACTTAAAGCGGGGAGTTTTTTTAGATTATGACAAAGTTTTTTTTGTAAATATCCAGAAATTTTTTTTAAAACTAGCTCACTTTAAAACTTTTTTAATTTCAGGGTTTTAATTTTTTTCTGATAGATCTTAAGATATTTTTCGTTTTAAAATTAAAATTTTTTGTTTTATTTTTTTTTAAAAATTTAATTTTTTAAAATAAGAAAAATGAGATAAGTTTTTTTTCAAGTCGGCAAGGGTTTTAAACATTACAAACATAACTCTAGAGCTTTTATTATACCGACTGTTAAATAACAATTTTAAAGTATTTAAGAATTTTTAAAAAAAGATTTTTAAAACAGCTTTCAATTTTAAAAAATGATTTTTGACATTTTATCATTTTTAATACATTTACATGCATTTTTAAATAGGAACCCCTTTTTTGGATGTTTTATTTTTAAAAACGAATCATAATTTGCTTTTAAAAATAAAAGATAGTTTTTTTTTCCCAATCTTTTTACATCACTTTTGCAAAGTCTAGTATCTTTTAAAAAATTTTTCTTAAAAATTCAATTTTAATATTTTTCCGAAGTAATTTTTTTAGATTTAAAAAATTTTAATGAATTAAATTTTTAAATTTAAATGAATTTTTAAATAAAAATACTAAAAAAAAAACAAAAAAAAACAAAAACCAACATTTTTTCATATATAATTTAAATATGAAAGACTATGTGATTATCAGTACTACACAAAGAACAGAAGGCATATTAAAGCATGTAAAGTCATTAGTTGAACTCATTTAACAGCTAGCTTGAGTCTTGCTGGAAAAGATAAGCAAAAAAAAAAAAAAAAACAACAAAAACAAAAAGCAAAAATCAAACACAAAAGATTCACAAAATAAAGCAACATCCTATCTAGAAAAAACTAAATGATAATATTAACATAAGCAGGGAAGAATTATTTAGCAAAAACACATTTAAAGCAAGCAAGAAAAAAAAAACTGAAGAAGCTAAATGATAAATGTGACCCAAAAGATAATGTTCATATTTTTCCCTTTCTAGAAAAATATAATTTAAAAAAGTTGGGGTAAATTTTGATATTTTTGAAGTTAGCTGCAAGGAAAAACATTTTAACTGTTTTCCATCCCGGATGAAATTTAAATTTTTTAAAAATGAGCCCAAAAATTTGAAAATTTTCTTTTAAATTTTTTGGGTAGAATATTCCAATAAAAACAGGTGCAGGCATACCTGAAAAATTTTTTTTCCTTAAATTGTAGTTCTTTACTTGCGGGGTCTGCAAAAATTTTTTGGGAAAATTTTTAAAATTTTAAAAACCATTTGTTTTTTGACAATTTTTAAGGGAGACAGAAAAGCAGGAACAAACATTTAAAAAATTTTAAAAATTTCAATGGGCCCTTAAACCCTTTATTTTTTCTTTTTTTGGTTGGTATTTTTAACTTTTATCAGCCATTTTTTCTTCATAATTAAATTTTAAAATCATTTATATTATTTTCAAAATCTGAGTGCTCTTTCCTGTATTTTTTTCCATTTCTTGTTTTGTTATTATTTTAGTGAAAAGACAATTCCATTGTCCAATTTGGACAGAAATTAAAATATGGTGACAAAATTAAAAATTTGAAAGTTTTTTTAGGCGCTTATTTTGTTTGTATTTAAATTTGTTTGACCTTTATTTTTCTTTTTGGAGGAATGTTTTAAAACTGATTAGCAAGCTTTTTTACATATTTGCTTATGTGGGAAAATTTAAAAAAATTAATTGTTGACAATGTCGATGCCAAGGAAGTTTTATAATTTCCGGTCACAATGTTATTTCCTAGTATTAATTTTGAAAGCTTTGGGGAGTTTAGTGGGAAAGCTTTTCTTCCCATACAGCAATGCTTTGAAATTTTATGCAAGGTTAGCTTGCATTTTATTAAAATGAAACCAATTTATAAGATAGTTACTTTCTTGTTCTAAGGTACATATTAGTTCATCAAAAATATTTAGTCCGAAAAGAAAGGGTATTGTCATCTGCATAGTTAATATAAAGTACATTTTTTTATAAAGAAAAATATGTCATTTATCGAAAATATTTGAACAGTAGAGGGCCCAGGATTGATCCTTGAGGGACACCTTTGGATATATTAGCCCATGAACTTACAATATTGCCTTTTTTTATTTGCTGTTTCCTGTTTGACAGATAAGATTGCAGTGAGGTTGGTGGCAGGGCCTGATAAGCCATATGCTTTTAGCTTATCTAAAAAGAATGTCATGTGGCAGACAATCAAATGCCTTAGATAAGTCCACCTCAAAATTGCTGCCCACATATTCATTGTTATCCAGGGCCTGTCTCCAGTCCTCAAGCAGTCTTAACAGAGTAGTTTGACACCCATGGCCTTTCCTAAAAGCACATAAATAATTGTCAAATATATCATCAAAAAAAGCAGAGAGCTGATCAAATAATACCTTTTCAAAAAGTTTAGATGGAATAGGTAATAAACTTACTGGTCTGTTAGATAAGCAGGGATGCCAATTTTCCGCAAATTCTCCGAATTTGCTCCAGTTTATTGTCCAATTGTAAATATTCTTTTGGATATGTTCAGTTATTGTGGCTATGAATGGTAGCGTTACGTAACATATACCCACCAATCGTAACATAGCATCTTTCTGTAGTTGAAGAAAAAAAAAATGTTGGCCAATTAGCAAAAGTGATATTAGAGCAAAAGTGATATTAGGTAGTGAAAATGTTCAAACTTTGATAAAGCACAATTTTGAAGGAAATGCCCCCTGGTCCTCCACCAGGGTTTTGTTCCCTGGTCCCCAACCAGTGCTCTGTACGGGACCTGCATGGGGTCTTCGGACCCCCATGATCCCTTCGGGTTTATTTTCTGTTGTTTTTTTCGTTTTGTTTTTTCAAATTACCTGTTGGCATCCCTGAATAAGAAGTGCAGGTAACTATCTTCATCATTTAATTTATCTTTCATTGAAAAAAGCCCTGCCATACGGCTAGCCTCAGCAGTAGAACTTTTGGCTAGCAGTACTATCATGTATGGCTAGCTACTTTGTTCTGTTAATTGTTTGGACAACTTCTTTCTTCCTTGACTGTTAGGTTTATTCTTGTTTGACTGTAAGATTTTTTCTTAAAGTTTTGTAAAACACCATTCATGCATGTCCATATGTCTGAAAATGATTAAGTGTTTTATATAGTTTATTGTTGGTTAATATACTAGTTTAATAGCTGTAGAATAGGACAGAAAGGTGAGGCAATTATTTATGTGATGTTTTAGCCAAAAATAGGTTGTTTTTTTTCCCCTAAAGATGCCAGGCATCAAAAAATATTTTCAGAGTCACTCATCCTGTAAGACAAGTAGCTTCTAAATCCAATGTGCAGGTAATATTTTTCTACTCGTCCTGCATCAAATTCTCTTAAATTCTACTTGTAATTACCAGCGGATGTGTGGAATTTTCGATCTCTGAATGCTAATATTTTCCTCTGTGCATGAATGCTAATATTTTCCCCTGTGCAGTCCTCACCAGAACCATGACTTAATAGCATCTGTCTTATATCAGCTAGTTAATCAATTTAATTCACTGAAAAACAGAAATTTGTCCCTATAGCTAAGACTCATAGATCTGCTATTTACCATAAATGTTAAATTAAGTTGAAATTGAAGATTTTATAAAATATGTGGGTAAATTCCATTCTCAGTTGTGAGAATTTAATTTCAGATTTCCCCCCCCCCACATTTTCTGATTTATCATGCTATATTTTCCCCTTCAGAAAGCCAGAGATTGTGTGATAAGTGAAAAAAAAATTCACTGATATTATCTATCACCGTGCATCGTAAAACTTGTGCATCATAATAAAGTAGATGAAGAAGGCATCCTCCTTTAACCTACTTAATAAGAAAATTATTCTATTTCAGTGAATTTACCCGTGTGTGATGGCTAGTGTATTGACAACAGACGTTGTTAGTGGCAATGGTGGAGTTAGCCAAGACAAGTGTTCGCCACTTGCAAACAGTAAATCTCCTGACTTGAAAGGTGTTGTTAAAGCGGAGTACATGAGGCTACGTAGATTAAAGAAACTCAAACATACAGAACAAGTAAAGGTACAACTTTTTAACATGGCAAGACTAAGAAAGGGGCTGGTGTAAGTTGTTCACTTCTGAAGATTTTCTCATTTAGTTTATATAACTAAATCTTAGGAATTGTACTACTAACACCTAAGATTCCCTCAGAGGGTTTTAACTTTCAAAGTAAGTCTAGGGGCTTAACTAGGTACAGAATTTAGGGATAAGTTGGAAGACTTGATGTGAATATTTTATTATGGACTAAGCTACTTGGAATACCTCTAGAGGTATCCAAAAAAAATCCTCTTATATAGAAAAATTCTACTTTGCATGAATATATGACATTTAAATAATACTTACAACTGATGTTTATACTATAGTACAGTTATCACATACAGTTTACATAATAGTTTAAACAATGAAATAAAGGGTAAAGTTAATAATTTTTCGGTATAAAATTTCTCATGTTAACTGGACCTTTAGATAATTCATACAGTTACATTAAAAAAAAATTTTACATTTTTTTTTGTTTTTTTTAGATTATTTTATTTTGATACAGACAACTTGAATTTTGCTTTGGAGTTTGATTTTGGCAAAGTGATTTTGTTAAAATTGTCCTTTTTGTGCAAGTTTTACCCTAAGCCATTTGACTCAGCTGTCTACATATTAATACACTTGTTACTATATATAGTAACAAAAATGCCTGATTTCAACTGATTATGAGTGTCACATGACCATTTATGAGTTTGATGCCCAGGCCAATAACTGATAATTATAATCGGCCTGCTGAACACAAGTATGCATGAAAACTGAAACAATGACATCGCATTTTACATCATCAAAAAAGCTAGCTGTAAAAGTGAATTTTGGTTTTAAGCACAAAGCAATCAATTTTATGATGAGAACTTATATTTTCTACACACACAGTTTTTATTGAAATTTAAAGAATTCAATCCAAGAAAATGCAAAAAGCTTCTTGATTTAAGATAGTGTGCTTTGTACACATATTAGAGAAGCAAGTCTTTCGAAGTAGCAGTAAAGTAGAAATCTACAGAGATGGGAATTTTAGCAAAAGAAATATCATTGTAATTTTTTAACAAAATGTTACCATAAGATCTATCAAGTGTATTGAAATACATTAATACATGTCATAGATGGGCCAGAAAGTGATAATCGGCCCTGAAATGAATAATGCCCTCAGGCTGAAGCCCTCAGGGCAATTATTCATTTTGCGGGCTGATTATCACCTTCTGGTCCTACTCTGCCATGTATTACTATTTTATTACAGGCATTGTATAGTGATAACCGTAAAGATATTCAGGAAGACTTGGAAGATCACCAAGCCATGTATACAAATCCAGAAATACAAAGTTTCTACACTCCAGAAATACTTACAGCAGCTACACTTGACAAGAAGGTATGTGATCAGTTTTATAAAATATAGGAGAAAGCATATAGAATAATTTCTGACTGTTTTAGGTGTCTGCTTTTTTCCTGATCCTACATGTATGTTTGTAATATAATTTGTATATATGTTCATGCAATCTATCTATCTATCTATCTATCATATAAATTAATAGATTTTGAAAGTGAAGATTTGAAAATGGTTAACCTAGGTATTTGCTGCATTGGTCTGAAATTAGTAGTTAGTCCCAAGTGAAATTAAGGCCTCACAAAAATTTTAATTTCAAGCTTAGATGGGTTCACTTTGTTAAGGTAGGTTTATTTTTCTGATGGTAAACAACAACAACTCCAAGGCATTTCCATAAGCCCCAGAATATTTATCAGAAGAAAACATGTCAAATTATCAGAATAATCCCGTAAAGTGTGTAACTGTTCCTAAGCCTGTCCTCTCTGATATTCGTTAAGCACTATTGAGTGACTTTAAGCTTTATTCATGTTAATCCAACTAGCATACCTGTGTCATTTTTAGCTCGACTATTCGATAAGAATAAGTAGAGCTATTGCAGTCACCCGAGCGTCGGCGTCTGCGTCGGCGTAACCACTTATGTTAAAGTTTTTGTAATAGTTCAAATATTTTCAAAGTCCATTGACATATGGCTTTGAAACTTTGCACACTTGTTCACCATCATGACCCCAACTTGTAGACAGGAGGAGGTAACTCTATCAAGCATTTTGACAGAATTATGCCCCGTTTTAGCTCGACTATTCGATAAGAATAAGTAGAGCTATTGCAGTAACCCGAGCGTCGGCGTCCGCGTCGGCGTCGGCGTAACCACTTATGTTAAAGTTTTTGTAATAGTTCAAATATTTTCAAAGTCCATTGACATATGGCTTTAAAACTTTGCACACTTGTTCACCATTATGACCCCAACCTGTAGACAGGAGGAGGTAACTCTATCAAGCATTTTGACAGAATTATGCCCCTTTTTCGACTTAGAATTTACGTTAAAGTTTTTGTAATAGTTCAAATATTTTCAAAGTCCATTGACATATGGCTTTGAAACTTTGCACACTTGTTCACCATCATGACCCCAACCTGTAGACAGGAGGAGGTAACTCTATCAAGCATTTTGACAGAATTATGCCCCTTTTTGGACTTAGAATTTATGTTAAAGTTTTTGTAATAGTTCAAATATTTTCAAAGTCCATTGACATATGGCTTTGAAACTTTGCACACTTGTTCACCATCATGACCCCAACCTGTAGACAGGAGGAGGTAACTCTATCAAGCATTTTGACAGAATTATGCCCCTTTTTGGACTTAGAATTTACGTTAAAGTTTTTGTAATAGTTCAAATATTCTCAAACCCATTGACATATGGCTTTGAAACTTTGCACACTTGTTCACCATCATTACCCCAAACTGTAGACAGGAGGAGGTAACTCTATCAAGCATTTTGACAGAATTATGCCCCTTTTTGGACTTAAAATTTACGTTAAAGTTTTTGTAATAGTTCAAATATTTTCAAAGTCCATTGACATATGGCTTTAAAACTTTGCACACTTGTTCACCATTATGACCCCAACCTGTAGACAGGAGGAGGTAACTCTATCAAGCATTTTGACATAATTATGCCCCTTTTTGGACTTGGAATTTATGTTAAAGTTTTTGTAATAGTTCAAATATTTTCAAAGTCCATTGACATATGGCTTTGAAACTTTGCACACTTGTTCACCATCATGACCCCAACCTGTAAACAGGAGGAGGTAACTATATCAAGCATTTTTTTTTACTATCAAGCACTAAGAATAGTCGAGCGTTGCTGTCCTACCGACAGCTCTTGTTCGACTTAGAATTTATGTTAAAGTTTTTGTAATACCTCAAATATTTTGAAAGTTCATTGACATATGGCTTTGAAACTTTGCACACTTGTTCACCATCATTACCCCAATCTGTAAACAGGAGGAGGTAACTGTATCAAGCATTTTTTTTACTATCAAGCACTAAGAAAAGTCGAGCGTTGCTGTCCTACCGACAGCTCTTGTTTGATTTGTGAAAATCAGGTGTTTAAATTAATACCTCCAAAAAAGAATTATACTGTCAAGGCAATTTGGAAATGCTTGTTTATTATGAATATTAAAAAGATGATTAATTTAATAGTTATATAAATGGATGCAATTGTTGTTTTTGTAGTGTGAAATTACAAGTGCAATCAAAGAGCTTGGTGTGCAATCTGTTCCACTCCGTATGATGAATCCTCTCAAACCAATACCATCAATGTATTCATGGGCTCCATTACAGCAAAACTATGTGGTAAGTATTTAGAAAAAATAATATAGTAATCCTTCAGTCTGCTGGTGGCAACTGTATGGTGGCTAATTTGTGCCATGTCATATTTTAGCTTGGTGGAGCACTAAACAAAAACACAAAAATTCAACAAAGGAACCCATTTTCCATTCTTTTTCTTGGTGGGGCTCAAGGTGAAAACCGATAATATGACCAAGTCATGACAAAATGTTGACTTTGTCATATTTTCAAGTTTTCGTCTGGTGTCTGGCAGAGCTATAATATGACATGGCACAAATCAGCCACTATACAACTGATTCTACCCATGCAAGTAAATAAGTAGTGAATTATAATCATACCTATGTATGTCTTGCAGAGGTCATATTATGGTGTCTATGCAATGGCTTTTTAAATTTTTCTTGTGTTTAAGCTCACCTGGTTTTAAGCTCACCTTGCATAAGTTGCCATACAACATGTGCATGTTGTCTCATGATGAAGTTTAAACTTATGCTCTTTCCTTTAAAGTTTATCTTTAGCCAACTGTAGGCAACATAGTCTTCCAATGCATCCTTTCAAGATATTTACGTATGTTTACAGTTAATGGAGACCAGCATCAAGGTTTTTTAGCTCACCTGTCACAAAGTGACAGGGTGAGCTTTTGTGATCGCTTTTTGTCCGGCGTCCGTCGTCCGTAAACTTTTACTTTAAATGACATCTCCTCATAAACCACAAGGCCAATTTCATCCAAACTTCACAGGAATGTTCCTTTGGTGGTCACCTTTAAAAATTGTTCAAAGAATTTAATTCCATGCAGAACTCTGGTTGCCATGGCAACCGAAAGAAAAAACTTTAAATATCTTCTTTTAAAAAACCATAAGAGCTAGAGCTTAGATATTTGGCATGAAACATCTTCTAGTGAGTGTCTACCAAGTTTGTTCAAATAAAAGCCCTGGGGTCAAAATTGGCCCCGCCCCGGGGGGTCATTGATTTTCCCTATATGCATATAGTAAAAACTTAAAAAATCTTCTTTTAAAGAACTCAAAGAGCTATGGCTAAGATATTGAGCATCAAACATGTTCTAATAGGTGTCTACCAAGTTTGTTCAAAGAAAAGCCCTGGGGTCAAAATTGGCCCCGCCCCAGGGGGTCATTGATTTTCCCTATATGCATATAGTAAAAACTTAAAAAATCTTCTTTTAAAGAACCAAAAGAGTTAGAGCTAAGATATTTAGCATGAAACATGTTCAAATAAGTGTCTACCAAGTTTGTTCAAATAAAAGCCCTAGGGTCAAAATTGACCCCGCCCCGGGGGGTCATTGATTTTCCCTATATATGCATATAGTAAAAACTTAAAAAATCTTCTTTTAAAGAACTCAAAGAGCTATGGTTAAGATATTTAGCATCAAACATGTTCTAATAGGTGTCTACCAAGTTTGTTCAAATAAAAGCCCTGGGGTCAAAATTGGCCCCGCCCCGGGGGTCATTGATTTTCCTTATATGTGTATAGCAAAAACTTAAAAAATCTTTTTTGAAAAAACCCAAATAGCTAGAGTTAAGATATTAAGCATGAAACATCTTTTAGTGAGTGTCTACAAAGTTTGTTCAAATAAAAGACCTGGGGTCAAAATTGGCCCCGCCCCGGGGTCATTGATTTTCCTTATATGTGTATAGCAAAAACTTAAAATCTTCTTTGAAAAAACCCAAATAGCTAGAGTTTAGATATTAAGCATGAAACATATTCTAGTAAGTGTCTACAAAGTTTGTTCAAATAAAAACCCTGGGGTCATAAATGGCCCGGCCCCAGGGGTGTCATTGTTTTTAACTATATGTGTATGGTAAAAACTTAAAAAAAATCTTCTTTTAAATAGCCCAGTGAGCTAGAGCTTAGATGTTTAGCATGAAACATCTTCTTAGGGGTGTCTACCAAGTTTGTGCAAATAAAAGCCCTTTGGTTAAATTGGCCCTGCAACGTTTGGGGGGGGGGGGGGCTATATACAGGTGAGCGACCTCAGGGCCATCATGGCCCTCTTGTTTGGCATTTGCTGTTGGTCAGACTTGTCGATGAACATCTAAGATTTTTGGCAGGACAAACTAAATAAAAGAAAGCAGAGACTTTTTTTAACACTGTCCTTTTGAAATACATTAGCTAGGCTTTTGTTTAATTAATAGTTGAGCACTCTGTCCTACTGTCTTCATTTCCTAAATTCACTGAATTTGTTATATTGTGACCCATGCAATTATACATGTATAATATTTTATGATTGATAGGTTGAAGATGAAACTGTATTACACAATATTCCATATATGGGAGATGATCTTTTGGAAAAAGATACCTCTTTTATTGAAGAGCTTATCAAGAATTATGATGGAAAAGTTCATGGAGACAAGGACAAATCAATGCTTGATGATGAATTGTTGATTAATCTTGTACAGTCAGTTTCTGCAGCCTTTAATAAAGAACAAAATGGTGAGTAACTGGTGATATTTAATATTGTGACCAGTGTGTTGCTGTGCAGCTCCTGTAGAGATCTTGGATATACATATATAATGCACACAGTTTTATTGCTAACAATTGTTATCCCAAATTTCCTCCTCCATTATCTTCATTCTTATACATAACCTCATGTACAAGATTACCTTGACAAGGTTGTTTTATAAGCTTGTACACATGAAGTGTGATGCCTGTATATACTGTAAATAAATGAAGCGCTTGAGAGCTATCATCACAGTATAACAGACATTGCTACAGCGAGGTTAAGGACGTTTTCCGGAGTTTTCATATAGACATTATGTCACATACAGGCAAAATTAAAACTGTTCGATAGAATTTCTTTAAACTTGGCATGTTGTTAGAATATGATAATAGAAACATTTTAAACGGAAAAAAATTTGGGGTCACCGTTCTTGTTGTCTGAATATAGGAATCTTACTTCAGCCTCCGGAACAGACCGGAGTATCTAGCTCAAGGGTAACTGTTTATTGCGGTAACGGGGCCCTGCCGTGTTTCCTCTAAATAGTTAACCAAGAGCTAGGCATGCTTGTCTGTGGCAACAGCTGGTGTCTGATTCTTTTCCTTGCATATTAGAAATATATATTCCATAAAGTAGCATTTGAATGTACAACTTCATTTATAACGGCACAATGACGTTATCCTAAGAACACCATTCATAAAAGGCGCTTGGAAATGACATCATTTAAAACATGCCACTTGTCTTACATTTGTGTGTAAGACAGATTTTTCTAGCACCAGTGTAAACAGTAGATAACCCTGTCTGATATGCAAGAAAAAATGAGCTTTTCATTCTTGTAAAAAAGGCGTAGTAATCTTTGACATGTAAATGACTATTCGATGGTGTCTGGAAGTGACATTGTTGATTGCAAATGATCGAGTGACAGCTATGATCATATTAATCGAGATGTTTTACAAAGCTAGGATGGATTATGTTGTACAGTGTAACAGCATCACCTTTTGTCATAGCTTTAATTGTAATTAAAGCTGAGGTTTAGTAGACTCGCAACTTTAAACATGTAGTTGCTGTTTATGTGTAAATTTAACCTAATTGTAGTCAATTTTTTTTCTAATTTTATCTACCTACAGGCTATTGTCTTGAATTGTGACTGACATAAGTATGGTAGTACTTTATTATCAGAATGTACAATATTATACAAACTTTCCCATAAAAAGTTAGATCTTCCTTACAAATTTTAGTTGCAATGAACCTGGTTTTTATATATCATTTTATAGAATGTTCAAAGAGTTTTCCTGCATTTGCTGTGTTTGAAGCCATCAGTGAAGTTTTCCCAGAGAAAGGGAAACCTGAGACATTGAAGCACATGTAAGATTTCTGTTGCGGGTGAATGCACAAATTACAGATCCAAGTGAATTTTCATCTTAGCATAGTTTTAGATTTTTCATGAAACTTTCTATGTTTGTACAGTATATAAACAATATAGATATAAAAATCACAATTGTTCTGTAAAAATCAATGGTTTACACTAATTTTTAGTATAAATCTGTATGTTTAAAGGTACCCTCAATCTTTAGTTTATAACAGGCTGTCAGTGTGATAGGGTGAAAATTTACTTGGAGTGTACATTTCTCGTATACCCTCTTATTTTCTTGCTTTTAGACATTTTTAACCATTTATATGCTAGACGTACTTACCATTATTTACATCATCTGCCTATTCATTTGTATTGAAATCTATATACTGTAATTGAATGAATGTATCAGCAACAAACAAAGTCCTAGGTGGTATGTAGATGTCAGTGTATGGCTAGTCTGTATGTAGCAGTTTGCTTGTGGTAGGCATAACTTCCAAAATTATTCAAGGGATTGTCTTAAAACTTGAAATACACATACATTGTGATAATTTGAAAGTCAGAGTGTAGTAACTAGCAAATACGATGACAAAATAATTGAGCCGCGTCATGACAAAACCAACATAGTGCATTTGCGACCAGCATGGATCCAGACCAGCCTGCGCATCCACACAATCTGTTCAGGATCCATGCTGTTCGCTTACAAACCCAATAACAAGTAGAGAAACGGATAGCGAACAGCATTTTTCTAAAGCTTTTAAGCTATTATTTGTTACTTGTATTCTCGAACTGACTTCAGAAAGGGTCCCTGACACCTATTTTCCCTCCGAAAAACTTTCCTCTTTACATTGTTTTAATCATGGTATGATTTTAACTAATATAGGTACAAAGATTTGCTGGAAAAAAATGATCCAAGTTCTTTACCAGCAGAATGTACACCAAACATTGACGGTCCTAATGCCATGTCAGTACCAAGGGAGCAAACTCTGCACTCATTTCATACATTGTTTTGTCGGAGGTGTTACAAGTATGACTGCTGTCTACATCGTAAGTTTTTAACCTTTAGCCTCCTGAATTTTAGTTAAAGATTTTCCCAGCTGTTAATTTGGAACAGTTCATTCAAAGGTTTAAGGGATTTAGAAATAAAAGAACTAACAGTATAGTGCATGATCCATGCAGTCTGACCTGGCTCTATACTGGTGACAAAGGAAAAACACTTGCAGTTTCAGCAGGTTAACTGTTAACAGCTTGATACTAGTGAAAACATTAGTAAATATTTTTCTTCTTTATTTCAATAGAATTCACATTTCAGAATAGTGCTGTTTAACAGATTTGTTTCATTTGTTATAGATGTCATTTTAAATACTAGTACCTATACAATTTTCTTGGATAGGAAAGTTTAATGCTTATGTAATACAATTTTCATTAGATATTATCTCTTGTGACCTTATAAGTTATTCATCACTATATTTAGTAATTAGCAAACCTAATACTACTGAAAAAGATTTTTTTGTGAAAACTTATTTGTATGATCTTATTAGATTATAGAAGAAGATTGTGGAAATGGTAATAAAAGCAAAACACAATTTATAGTTCTGAGCATAATATCCTGTATATGAAACTAAATACACAAAACTAAATACACGACTTTTAGTACATTAAACAATTGTAAACCATTGATATTATGATGCATTCAAGATAGCATCCAAAGGAATTACTTTTTACTAAACAATATATTTTATAGCTTATAGACCAAGTCCGAGTAAGTTGATGAGGAAGATGCCAGACAAGAAGCAGGAACCAGAACCATGTGGTGCAGATTGTTTTATGCACATTGTGAGTATATAGATTTCACTGTCATCTATTCTGTGGCCAAGTGGTTAAGTTCATGGACTTCAAAACCACTTGCCACTCATTGCTGTGGGTTTGATCCCAACAGGGACTTTGCATTCTTTCATGTGAGGAAGCTATCCAGCTAGCTTCTAGAACGTAGGTAGTTCTACTCAGGTGCCTGTTTGTGCATGGAAGGGCACCTGAGAGATTCCTGCACCAGTAAAGCTGGGACATCACCGTATAACCTATGCTGTATTGGTGTGACCTAAATCCCAATCAAACAAACACAGTGATCTATAATAAATAATTATCTTCTGATGATTACGTTGAAAGGGGGATTATTATTCCCCACAGACAGTATATCAAATTGACATTACCTTTATATCATATGTGATTGTCTACTTTAAGCTACTAAGATTAAGTTAAGAGGCCTTTTAATGGTCTGCAAATTATGGATTCATCCAATAGCAGGAGAAAAAGGGGTCATGGAAAGAACAGATGAAACTCAATTCAGTTCCAATAAAACCATCAATATGATCTATCGTTCCTACAAATGGACATTAATTACAGCATTTTGTTGAACAGGAACAACTCAGATTTTTATAGAATAAGCTAGAATATCAATCTTTGTAACAAATAAGTTTCCAAAGAGGGAATATGGTTTAAAATATAAATAAATGCCTTTCCAAAAATGTAGGTGCTGTATGGTGCTTGTATTTGTTTTGGATATTATTCTGTAGTTTGACTATCTTGACCATAATAAGCCTGCAAGTATATTAAGGACATGTTTAGTTCTTTTACGAAATTATATATGTGTTATGTTGATGTGGAAAATTTCCAAGAGATATGAAATGTTAATCAGCGTTATTAGATTCAAAGTGATGATTTATCTATACATTATATATTTGATCCTTGAAAAATAAACATAACATTTGTTATTATTTTTATTTACCTCTTTGGGTACCTTAATCACTGCCTTTATCTGGTAATAAGAACATGTGCTAATTTGCATAAGTAGCGCCACCTATAAGCTGCAAAGCATGGCCGATAGATAGTCTTTATTCATTGACTTAAACTTTGATGGATATGTGTTCTTTAAAATATAGTTTAAAATATGTACTTTTCATTCTTACAAAACTACCGAAACACCTAAAGGCACGGCCCTATATTAAAAAATTGTCTGTATACCTGACAGGTTGGCTACAAGGAAAAGGAGGTATCTGTCTCAGATTCCGAGAAGTCGGACAAAGAGTGTAAAACTGAGCGTAGCAAATCTCCTGTAGGAATGATAAAAGGAAAGAAACGTAAAACAAACGGAACTGGTAGTGGTAGTGAAGATAGCAATGATGGCGTGGGTAGGTATTTCTGTGAATTCACTGAATTTATGGGTATGCAATCTGTGATATTGTTGGTATTTAAAATTGTGGGTTTTTGGATTGTCTGTTTGTTAAAATTGCAAGAAAGTTAAATGCAAATAACGTAATTATAATAATTGTATAGCAGACAAAATAAAATTTCTTGGATCTTAAACTCATGGATTGACCTGTCCACAAAAGCTATGAATATTGATTACTCATGAATGATGATTTTGCAATCAAAATATTAGCTTAGAAAATCTAAATCATACTACATTATTTTTTCTGGAGAGTAGAATATAGACATAGCAGCTGGTGTGAAATGTTGTACTGATATCAGTCACATAGTTTGACTTCAAATTAGCTTTGTTAGCTTACGAAGAAATACAGTCTAACTTGCCCATGCGACCACGTGTATTAAGCGACTTTTGTCTTAAACGACCACTTTAAATTCCCCCCGATCATTTTCTCTCTATATCTTTAATGTATTAAGCGACTTTTGCTCAACGCGACCAGCGACCGCTAATTATTCACCTAATTGACATCAATCTTTTCATTAAACGACCACTTTTACCTGTCAAGTAATTGTGTTTTTAGAGAACGCCACCTCGTTATGTCACAAGTGTCAACAATCAAAACACAACAATAAACGTGTGAAAAACTCTATTTCCCATACCGTTTGAGCGTATGCAAATGAAGTTAAGTATACGCGTGACGTGTATTATCCAATAATATCGGATAAACAATGCAACGCTCCGCCCATACTGAGATGGTGTATACGCTTCGCTTGTTGACATTTAGACTGCATTGAATTGACCTTGAACTTGATCAGCCATTAAATTAATCGTAACAAATAGATGTAGTTTGTTTATTTCAAATGAAAAAAATGCACAACAGAAAACATCTTCACTAATAGGGTTTTCGTGTTGGAGACAAGGAAAAACAACGGAGAAGTTAAAAAATTCTGGAAAAAATGTCAAACATGTAAGTAATGGATCTTGAAACTGTTTTGTCAATAAATATCAGAAAGTAATTTTTTACATTTGCATCCATCTAGATTATCGGAGCGTACTTTTTTTTCAACATTTATATAAAAATGAAGTTGAAAAACAATCCCACCGAATAAAAAAGTTGTCATTTATAAATTTTGACTTTTATATCATGCTGACTGTCTTAAGAGACCGTTTCATTAAGCGACCGTTTTGGGTGTTTCCCTTGCACGGTCGCTTAATACACGTTTGACTGTACATGAATTTCAATCTTTACAATGAAAAATTGAATTTGTAACATGATTTATTGTATTTGGTAACGAAATTATGTTATATGTTATATTTTTATGTGTGTGTTAGAAAAAATACTAGTATATTCTTTGTTCAGTGCAGAACTTCTGCACACATAATTGAATTACAAATGAATTAAATTTTTTTAACCACCATAAGAGACGATGTGATGCAAGCAAGACTTTGATCTCGAGATTAAAAGGTCAAGGTCACTACAGGTGATTGTACTCCATAACATGACTATTTTAATAGTGCATGATAGCATTGCTATAAAAGATACAGGTAAACAACTTATAAAAGATAACTTATAACCATCTTAAAGCCGATATTGCGTAGGTATCCATGACCTATTGACATGTGTGTGTCTATGGGTGTGTGTTGTTCAAAGGTTTGACAACCTGTACACAATTGAGATATATATTTGACATTGTGACTTGGTGACATACTTTCGCATTGTGAAATTTCTTCCTTGTTTGGGTGAGCAATCCTGATATGCTATCAGATTTGTTTTATTTTTATTTCATTTATTTCAGGTTCCATTATGAAAGCAAAATACAAAAGTAAGTATATGCATTTTGTTTCTACATTATTATTGACTCGATACTCGACTTAAAACCTATATCAAAAAAGATTGACAGCAAACAAATTCTTGACTGTAATTTTTGTAACTGAGCAAGATTGCCACTAAAGGTAAAAGCAAAAAAATCCTTTAAGTTACATATCCTCTAAAACAGCTGGCAGATTTTAATTTTATCTGCACAAAAATAACTAGAATTGTGTTGGTTTGTTGAACAAAATTGCTTCCAGAGACCTTTAAATGATATCTAATTCAACTACTTTAATGAAACTTATTAGAAATAACATTAAGTTTAACTTTTGACTTAAACTGACATTTACCATGAAAGGTTGAACAGGTCAAACAGAAGAGCTAACCTAGATCCTCTTGATCTTATGCAAAAAGTTTTACCTACCCCGTTCCTATAAAGTGCATACTGTAAAGCAGTGATATTCACATATTAAAGTTAGTCATGACTTTTATGACAGGTTTGGATTTGAAGTACCCCATGAAAAGTAAGAAGGTTGTGAAAGAGTGGACAGGAGCTGAAGAATCTTTGTTCCGTGTACTGGCTGAGATGTATCGAACAAATTATTGTGCAATAGCCAAACTACTCTGGAATAAAAACTGTAAACAGGTAAATAAATAGTTTGTGCAAAAATAAGATGTATTTAATGTAGCACATTACTTAAATTGCAAAAAAGAACACTGACACTTTTTAAAGGAAGGCTTTTTTCTAACATTCTAAAGGAAGGCTTTTTTTTCTAACACTGAAAGTAGTTTTGAATTTGAAAGGTAAATGTAACTGTACTGTGTCAAATTGTATAATCTGTATGAAAAAGTGTTCAAAAAGTGTCCAGTTGATGTTGCCCGACCAGTATGATCGTAACGAATACCTTTTTGTTAAAAGGAATATTTTTTATGTAAAACTTACATAATATCACTCTTTCACTATTAAATTACATAACAATGTCAGTTGGTAAAGTCAATGGATTTAAATCTTTACCTACCAAGATCAGGATGGTTGTCCTTTGACCAGCTTGGTGTCAGAGTTGAGCCAAAAGAATATGTATTTTGGAAACTACAGAAGCAGATATATAATTTAGCATGTTAAATTTGTTGTTGGTGGACATATACCATTTTCATGTCGTATAACCCTACGAATTTGCAATACAATAATATAAAACATTGTTTTGTTGTTTAATCAGGTATACGAGTTCGCTTTAAAAGAGATGATGCATCTACCTGATATTGACAGTGAGGATAATGAGAAAACGCCACCTAGGAAAATTAAATCTAAAAAAAGACCAACGTAAGTAAAAAAAGTTTGTGGCCTTTGTAGGAATATTTGTCTGATCCTGATTATCTCTGATCAAGTTATGCCTTTGCTATAATTTACATTTATTTGAATATCTCACAATGGGGGGTCACACAGTCTCCACTGCATCTTGACAAAGCCTATTTTTTACTTTGAAAAAGAAAGCCTGCTTATGCTAGTATTATGCTGGTATTTTGATGTTTTCAATTTCTATTGAGAAATGTTGCTTTCTTAATTTTAAGCTCACATCCTAGTTAACTCCAATTATCAATGCTGATTGTAATAAAACTTCACAAAAATGGTCCTCTTCAAAAATAACTAAAAATGTTTTGGTCTGTGAACTAGAAATAAAAACAAGCCTTTGATAAAACTCAATAGGAATGATCCTTTAATGTTTCTCTACAATAAGCTATGATTTATTGCTTAATACAGAAGACAATAGAGCTATAGATATAAGCTTTAAAAGATATCTCTGGAATATTGAATAAATACTTTTTTAGATATTTTTCCTATTTTCAATACATTTTTATTCATGATGAAAAAAAGGAATTTACAGACTACAATTATACTTAGACATGTGTTTTAAAAATTTTAATTCAGATACTATCATAATGATAATATTTGATTTACAGAAGTAAAGTTTGGGCATTACATTCAAAGCGAGTACAGATGAAGAAGGACAGTAACATTAAGACAGTGTCAAACTATGTACCATGTGATCATCCTGGTATGAGATGTGATGATACCTGTCAGTGTGTGATGGCACAAAATTTCTGTGAAAAGTTTTGTCAATGTAGTGATGAATGTAAGTCTATAAAACAGTGGTAAAACTTACCCAATATTGTATTGATACACTAACGGTTCGGTCAGATTCTGATTATAAGAAATGATCCAGAGCCCTCAGTTCATGAATTTTGGTGCTGAAACCTTCACAATATTCTATTGAAATTTGCTTTTTTGCTAAATAAAATACAAAATATTGATTAGCATGAGTTTCTTAGTATGTTGGTAGGAATAATTCTTTGGTATGTGCACATACATACTAAAGAATTATTCCTACCAACATACTAAGATGAAATTCATGAATTTTGGTGCTGAAACTTTCACAATATCCTACTGAAATTTGTATGTGCAGCAAAAATTGCCTGAAATTGCCACTACAAAAACAAATAAAATAGAAATGGAATGAAATTTCCCCCTTGTACAGGCAGGTACGGTTCCCCCAAAGATAGAGAATTTTATGATTGAAAATGTACATCAATATGAAGGTATTGAAATGCTCTCACCCAAAACCTGTTGGAACCAACCCTGTGCCACCAGGAAAAATCCAGGCCACCAGTATTTATTGCTTATTTTATAAACGGACATACGTTTCTTGTTGGATGGTTTAAACTGATATTTATATTCAAAATTTTTGTACATATTTTTAACCTGTACAATGTTGTCTTTCCTTCTATTGAGTATTTGCTGTAATCACTGTTAGAAATAAACAATTTACATTTCTATATTTCTAAATTAAAAGGCTATCAATTTATATTAAGTCCTTCCCAGTGTTTTTAGCTCACCTGTCACAAAGTGACAGGGTGAGCTTTTGTGATCGCTTTTCGTCCGGCGTCCGGCGTCCGTCCGTCGTCCGTCGTCCGTAAACTATTACTTTAAATGACATCTCCTCATAAACCACAAGGCCAATTTCATCCAAACTTCATAGGAATGTTCCTTTGGTGGTCACCTTTAAAAATTGTTCAAAGAATTTAATTCCATGCAGAACTCTGGTTACCATGGCAACCGAAAGAAAAAACTTTAAAAATCTTCTTTTGAAAAACCATAAGAGCTAGAGCTTAGATATTTGGCATGAAACATCTTCTAGGGAGTGTCTACCAAGTTTGTTCAAATAAAAGCCCTGGGGTCAAAATTGGCCCCGCCCCGGGGGGTCATTGATTTTCCCTATATGCATATAGTAAAAACTTAAAAAATCTTCTTTTAAAGAACTCAAAAAGCTATGGCTAAGATATTGAGCATCAAACATGTTCTAATAGGTGTCTACCAAGTTTGTTCAAAGAAAAGCCCTGGGGTCAAAATTGGCCCCGCCCCAGGGGGTCATTGATTTTCCCTATATGCATATAGTAAAAACTTAAAAAATCTACTTTTAAAGAACCAAAAGAGTTAGAGCTAAGATATTTAGCATGAAATATGTTCTAATAAGTGTCTACCAAGTTTGTTCAAATAAAAGCCCTGGGGTCAAAATTGGCCCCGCCCCGGGGGGTCATTGATTTTCCCTATATGCATATAGTAAAAACTTAAAAAATCTTCTTTTAAAGAACTCAAAGAGCTATGGCTAAGATATTGAGCATCAAACATGTTCTAATAGGTGTCTACCAAGTTTGTTCAAAGAAAAGCCCTGGGGTCAAAATTGGCCCCGCCCCAGGGGGTCATTGATTTTCCCTATATGCATATAGTAAAAACTTAAAAAATCTTCTTTTAAAGAACCAAAAGAGTTAGAGCTAAGATATTTAGCATGAAACATGTTCTAATAAGTGTCTACCAAGTTTGTTCAAATAAAAGCCCTGGGGTCAAAATTGACCCCGCCCCGGGGGTCATTGATTTTCCCTATATATGCATATAGTAAAAACTTAAAAAATCTTCTTTTAAAGAACTCAAAGAGCTATGGCTAAGATATATAGCATCAAACTTGTTCTAATAGGTGTCTACCAAGTTTGTTCAAATAAAAGCCCTGGGGTCAAAATTGGCCCCGCCCCGGGGGTCATTGATTTTCCTTATATGTGTATAGCAAAAACTTAAAAAATCTTTTTTGAAAAAAACCCAAATAGCTAGAGTTAAGATATTAAGCATGAAACATCTTTTAGTGAGTGTCTACAAAGTTTGTTCAGATAAAAGCCCTGGGGTCAAAATTGGCCCTGCCCGGGGGTCATTGATTTTCCCTCTATGCATAAAGTAAAAACTTAAAAATCTTCTTTGAAAAAACCAAAATAGCTAGAGTTTAGATATCATATTAAGCATGAAACATGTTCTAGTAAGTGTCTACAGAGTTTGTTCAAATAAAAGCCCTGGGGTCAAAACTGGCCCCGCCCGAGGGGTGTAATTGTTTTTAACTATATGTGAATAGTAAAAAACTTAAAAAATCTTCTTTTAAAAAACCCAATGAGCTAGAGCTTAGATGTTTTGCATGAAACATCTTGGGTCAAAATTGGCCTCGCCCCGGGGTCATTGATTTTCCTTATATGTGTATAGCAAAAACTTAAAATCTTCTTTGAAAAAACCCAAATAGCTAGAGTTTAGATATTAAGCATGAAACATATTCTAGTAAGTGTCTACAAAGTTTGTTCAAATAAAAACCCTGGGGTCATAACTGGCCCGGCCCCAGGGGTGTCATTGTTTTTAACTATATGTGTATAGTAAAAACTTAAAAAAAATCTTTTTTTAAATAGCCCAATGAGCTAGAGCTTAGATGTTTTGCATGAAACATCTTTTTATGGGCTTCTACCAAGTTTGTGCAAATAAAAGCCCTTTGGTTAAATTGGCCCTGCAACGTTTGGGGGAGGTGGGGGTTGGGGGGGGCCTATATACAGGTGAGCGACCTCAGGGCCATCATGGCCCTCTTGTTAAGATGTTGATATGTTTTGAATAGCTAATTTCACAGTGACTATGAATGAGGATAAAATGATAAAGGATAACTGTGTTGTTTCAGGTCAGAATCGTTTCCCCTGGTTGTAGATGTAAGGCTCAGTGTAACACTAAACAATGTCCATGTTTCCTGGCGGTGAGAGAATGTGACCCAGATCTTTGTCAACCTTGTGGTGCCGACCAGTTTGATACTGATAAAATTTCGTGCAAAAATGTTAATGTTCAACGAAATCTAAAAAAGGTACTTGTTAATCAGCATTCTTCATAGTATATAAAGTACTGAATAATTATTATTATTTGTGGGGAACTAATATTCATGGTTTATATGGATAGGTTAATTGACAAATTTAATTTCCACCAAAATAAACAACAAAATTTTGTTGAGCCCGTTGTAAGATTATTTTGCATCTTTTGATTTACATTTTACCTTTTGGAAAGACAAATTGGTCCACAAATTCAAGAACTCACAAAAATGTTCTTTGTGACAAAACCATGAAATTTCATGCCCATGAAATTAAGTGAATTCACAGTACATGTTCAAAAAAAAATTACAGTACTTAAAAGCAGAAAAAAGGATCATGAACTTGATGAATCAGTTTGATTGACTATTGTTTTAATGCTCAATTATTTTTTGAGAAATAATGGAAGTTTTGAGTTTTCATGTGTTGGATTTAGCCACGAAGGCCATATGATTAAGTAATTAAGTGAAAATATATGTTAAATATATAAGGGGAGATTATTTCCGCTGCTGATTTCATATTTGGCTGTTCTATTCCGAAACTTACAGTTAACTTCGGTAATAAACAAAAGAAATGATTACATAAGGAAAAAGCTATTTCTATTAAAGTATTATACATTTTTTTATTCTTCATTTTTTTTCATCAATATAAACCTGCATGTCAGATTGGATTTTATAGTCACTAGTGAGCTAGTGCCCTTTATGTTTAGTTTAAACATATTTATTTAATCTCAATTGCAAAACAAGTTCTTGCAGCTTATATCAATCACTTTTGAGTACGCTTCCTGGAATTAACCAGTACTGGTGTCATATGTGAAATCATGGTCATGACCTGAGTAGGGCTTGAACCCATGATCCCTGGGTTGAGAGGCAGACACCTTAACCACTAGGCCACTGCTCCCATTTATGTTTGAGTTACAAACTTAGAATGACATAGGGCTGTCATTGAATATCGCAATATGTCATTAATATTCATCATCCAATACTATATCGATACATAATTTCAAATATTGGTACAAGCTAAAATTTACTTATTTCTGCCAAGTGAATATACCTCTCTATTCTTTCCAGTTTTCTTTGCTAGCTTGAACTTAAAATTCCATTTTCAGATGTCAGTGACAAAAAATAACAAAACAAAAAAACAAAAACAAAAAAAAACAACAATAAATAAAACCTGTCTGTTAGTTTGTAGTAATTGTAATGTCTGATACATGCCTGCATAACAACACCATGATCACAATTTATAACACATATTTAAATGTTTTTCATTCTATCTTAACTGTCAAAATCGGTATATCATCGATATTTTGTCTCTCTTTATATCAATACAAAATTTTCCATCAATGACAGCCCCAGAATGACATCATTTTGCTAGTAAGGAATGGTAAAAAAATTCTTGTAATACATTATATTTGGTAAAATTCAAAACTTGCCACTCTAGAATGTTATTTTAACATGATATGAAAAGAAAACATTGCCTATGATAACCCTTATTTTTAACAGAGGGAGTACATTTATAGATAGAACAGTTGTGTAAGTGGTAGTTATTGGCAGGTTTACACTTGTTATTTTCTTTGTGTATAGTGATGAATACTGTAATCATTTTAGATAATAACATTCTTCAGTCTTCACATTAGGACAACTTGTTTACTATAGTAATGACATTAAAATTTGACTTTGAATGAAGTTGAACTTGATTGACTTCTGAATTGAACAAATAACAACTTTTTTGTTTGCAATTTTATCTTAGGAGAGCAATCTGTTGCCATTATCTTATTCTTGTTTCTTTCCTACTGTTGTAAAGCTCACACATTATATTATTTACAGCTGTCATTGATAGAAACAATATCAATGTATCATTGATATTTTTCTGTTGATCAATAATGGATACACAAAAAATCAATAGTTTTAACTATTAAATAAATGTCTAGAAACATAACATAACAGAAGCAGGTGTCCACTATGCTGTTGTTAAAAAATGGAAAAATTTCATAGCAATGATGACAAAAAAAATCATGCAATGGGCATTTATAAATGAGACATTCAACATAACATGTACTGAAATCATTTCAACATATATGAAAGTAAATGACAAGTAATTAATGGAAATAATCAGTGTATTGTTGATAATTGTCATCCGATATCAATATATCTTGGAAATGCTTCGAACTGAATCAATGACAGCTCTAATATTATTTCACTACATCAGTACCATTTGTAAGAACCATTTAGAACTGTAAGTTTGATAACAAATATTGGTACTTTAATTTCAGCACTTACTGTTAGCACCTTCAGATGTAGCTGGTTGGGGAATATTCTTGAAGGAGTCGTGTGAAAAAAATGAGTTTATATCAGAGTATTGTGGTGAGGTATGTAATCCTTGTGCTAATCCTCAGTTCAGCTCAATTACTAAGAATTTATTTTTTCACAAAGTCTCAAAAGTGTGGTTGAAATTTATATGGTGTTGATGCTCGAAGCCAGAGAGACCTTGTATGTGAAAACTATTTCTCCTCTTTATCTAAAGAAACATTTGAGCAACAGCCTTTAATCATTTGATCAGCAGCTTTCAAAGGGGCGGAAGTGGTAGGATGGTTAAGGTTGTTTATATCAAATCGCTTGCCTCGACTGTTGTGGGGAAACTATCAAGTTAGCTGATGGAATGTCAGTGATTCAACTCTGGTCTTGAAAAGGAGAGATTTCTCAAAAGCACCAGGAAAAAACTAATGAGGCTAGGTACTTCAACTCTTGCAAGCATATTGTGAAAGTTATATATCTTTCTGACTAAGAAAATGTTCAGAATTTTATTTGAGAGGTCGTCAAACCTCTCCACAGTTTTGAGAATGATTGCTGGCGGCATATACCATTTGCTCCTTTAATACATCGGAACATCTCGCCAAATATTCCTAATTACTTTAGAGCTTATCCGATGACTGACAGAAGTAGCCTCAATAACAAAACTATTCTGTCTATTTATTAAACATTTTTTTAATTAAACAAATCTTCCATGGCTGCAGAAAAACTTTTGAGCATACTTCTTTATAAAGAAGCAAAATTTATTAGTACTGGAATATCTCAGAAATTCACTTGAAGCTTTATACGTGTATATAGACAACGGTTTATTTATGTTACAGATTATATCACAGGATGAGGCAGATAGACGAGGCAAGGTCTATGATAAATACATGTGTAGTTTCCTCTTCAATCTTAACAATGGTAAGTTTTGTCATTGTTGTATCTTAATATTGTTTCAAATCTTGGCATCTGAAATGTGCTTTAAGAGTTTCATTCATTTAATATAATGCATTAATATAATTGTAGTGTCCGCTATATTATAGTTACTGGACAAGCATGGGTAGAGAGATTAGACAATGCAGCTATCTGGTTTTAATCTATTTACTAATGATACTACAGAGAGGTGATGCCAGGTGAATTTAGGCGGGGCTTATCAGCTAGGGGCTTAAACTAGCTGACCAATAGCGAGTCAATATATTACTATAATCCATTGTACAAAAGTCCAATTGTATATTGCAGATTTTGTGGTTGATGCAACACGTAAAGGAAACAAGATCCGGTTTGCTAACCATTCAGTCAATCCAAATTGTTACGCTAAGGTAATGATGGTGAATGGAGATCACAGAATTGGAATCTTTGCTAAACGACCAATACAATCAGGAGAGGAACTTTTCTTTGATTACAGGTATGTTTGTCTTTTGGGATATTGTGATCGGTCAATGTTGTCATAAACTTAACTTAGCTTAAAAGTGAGAGCATCAGAGTTCCCTGGTTGGATCTTCGGGAGATGTGATAATTTGTTTGACAATTGATCTGAAACATTGAGTGTAATGTTCATTTGTCTCTCACTGCTGATTCAGAAATCATGTAGGGAAGTAGTTGGTCACTTGCTGACAAATTGTTAATGACTGGTTAGTTATCCAGAAATGCTTGTTTGGTGGACAAACTGTTAAATATTAACAAACAAAAAAGACTCAAAAAAGTGTTGAAATCAACATAAAAAATCTACAAACAAACAAGATGTGGTTAAACAATACAAGAAAGGAATCAAAATAAGGTAACTAGAAAGAACACAATACAAGAAAGGATTTAAAGGTCCTTTAAAAAAATTCAAAATTTCTGTTTGTTAAACAAGATAGTGTACAGAGTTCCTGAAGAGCCTTTCACCAATCTTATGGCATTTAGTGTTATGGTGCCATAGAATTGTATCCCATCTTGAGTAGCATTTACACTAAAGGGAGGTGAAGCAATGTACAGTAAATTTCTTGCTTGAGGAAATGGGCAGATATTAGATCCCATTCATCTTTACAGTTACTGTTAATGAATAGGGTCTGCAATCTTTTCATTGTTGCCATTCCGGGCCAATACGAGGGATGATCAAAAATTAACCGGACTTTGTAAATTATCCTTTACCTGTTAAATGAATTTACATAAAAATACACGGAAAATAAATCGGAATTTATCTCCTAAATGATACAAAAAATACCAACAAGAAATATTAACAAAGAAAAAAGTTATGCTGTTATTGAAGTGTACATGTCAAGCAATGCGGCGCACGGTATAACTTTAAAATTGACGTTAACGACGTCACAAGCGTATTGTCCTTAACGGAGCAGCTTTTTACGCATTCACGGACTAGGCCAATACGTGGTACAGTCATATTGTTGATGCGGCGGATCCACTGCCTTATATATTTCTGTTACAAGTGGGTATCATATTGTATTGTAATAGAATAAATGGTGATAAAGAGCTCCTGTAATTACGCAAACTTCCGTTATTTCCTTCTGCCTAACTTGATTGTTGAAAAAAATCGCACATGCAAATAATATAGTTATGTACTACAAATAATGTAAAATAATGTTGCTGAATGATAATGTATCATACATACAAAAGAAATAACAGAATATACAACTATGATCAAAATTGTCATTATTTTAAAATAAATAAAACGCATAGCCAGATTTGAACAGTGGACTGTTAAATTGCTTGATACAATTTTTTCCATAAGACTACTGCGTAAAATAAGAAAAATAATTGATACAATTGGTAAACCAAGAATACAATATATGTAATTAATGCATTAACTATTATCATTTTAAAATCCTTAGAGTTGACTGCACCGTCCCGTAGCTACTGTCGAACATCATTGACAATGTCCGCAGTCAATCGACTGTCATTTTTCAACGTCTTTGCGATTGACGTCACCAACGTCCTTGAAAATTTCCTTTTTCTGTCTCACCCTTACGAGACATTCCGACGACATAGTTTTAACGCGAGTATTTCGTTAACATGTGACGTTTGAATTGTGATTGTAAATATAAGTATGGTTTAAATGAAGTCATTTTTACTGACAACGTCAAAGATATGGTTCATGACGTTTTCGGTGTATTTTGAAATCTAAATGTGCCATATTGTAAAAATACACGCAGCATAAAGCGCCTGATGTCAAGGCGAAATTTACGCACTGCGCCGGGTGTGCGTTACCATGGTTTTTGAATTCGCTGTTACGGACAAGCCATTTGGGTTATCAGATATTAAGATATAGCATCAGTTTACAGGTATTGTTTTCCGATTAAGTATGATATATAACAATAAGTGATAGGATGAAAATTCTTCAATTGTCAGTCACAGTCCGGTTTATTTTTGATCATCCCTCGTATTTGGGACCACATTTTCATTTTTAGCACGACTATACAAAGTATATGGAGAGCTGTCCTACTCGCCCTGGCGTCCGCATCCAGATTTCAGATTAAAGTTTTGGTGCAGTAAAATATATTTCACTATAACTTTGTCATTTCTTAAGGTATCAACTTCAAACTTCAAATATATGTTCCTTATCATCAACCACATCTTATGTGACAAGGTTCATAACTCTAGCACTAATATTTCCAGATTTATATCCCCTTGAACTTAGAATTTTCCTTAAAAAATAATACTAATTTTTACTGTTACTTCATTATTTCTTAAGGAATAAATTTCATACTTCAAATATATGTTCCTTTAAATCATAAACCATATCTTATATGACAAAGTTCATAACTCTAGCACCAATATTGCAAGAATTATCTCCCCATAAACGTAGTTTTTTTTACTTGAAAAATGTTATTTTTTACTATAATTTTTTAGTTTTAAAGGTTTCTTCAAACTTCAAATACTTATTCCTTATCACCAATTACATTTTATGTGTCAAGGTTTATAACTCTTGAAGCAATAAATACAGATTATCTCTCTTTGAACGTAGGATTTTCTATAAGAAATATTATAGCTTCTTTACTTTTTAAGGTATCTACTTCAAACTTCAAATATATATTTCTTATCATTACACACAATCATGTTGTGTGACAAGGTTCATAACTCTAGGGTGACTATTTCCAGAAATATTCCCCTTGATCTTGGAATTTATGTGTACAATGTTATTTTTTTACTATAACTTAATACATAATTATATATAATTGATATTTTTTTCATAGTTTTGTCTTCCTTACTGTGTCCAGTATTTTATTAGTCGAGCTTCGCTGTCTCCTGTTACAGCTCTTGTTTATTCACAAATTGTTGTGATCAAAAGGACACACTACTGTTCAAAAACTGAAACTCTTTCAGTAACCTTTTTTATATGGAGTAATGGATCACTAACCATCAAACATAATTCTCACCATTCTTTATAGGTCCTCTATAAAGATAAAACATATTAACTGTCTCTGAGGCAAAAAACTTATAATGGTGTTCTTCCAAAAATAAAATATATTTTTGTTTTATTTGTAGATATGGACCAACAGAACAACTAAGATTTGTGGGTATAGAAAGGGATGTAGAGATGATCTGATTGCTGAGACTGTAGGACTGTTGTTTGGTGAAATTTGGATGTACTTCAAAATTCTGTTGGAATCTCAAACATGTAGATTCTCAGTTTTGGTGATTTGAACTATTCTATCAAAGAGCTGTAATAAAAGTCTCTGGTTCTGTACATTATTGATGGACGTTTCAGAAGTAGTGTTTGTTTTAGTTAAATGCGACACAGTTAAGATAACAAACCTGCATTTGAACATTCAATATCTTTTGATACAAAATTACTTCAAGAATATTGCGAAATTAGTTTTTAAAAACCAGACAAATCAAACTTTTCACCTTTCACCAAAGACAATTTTATTTTTATTTTGTATAGTATTTTGATGCTGCCTAAAAAGTTACTCTGTTTTCCAGCTATCATATCCACTTTGTGTCAAGAAACATTTATGAATTCAGTGATAGATTTTTTACATTTAACAAAAAGTAAAAACAAAAGTTGTATTGTCTTTATCGTCTGCATAAGTATTTTAATTTGCTGCAATGTTTTACACATTATCTAAGAAAAAGACATAGATTTTGATATAAGGTGCCACTGGTTTGTAATTTGTGAATTCCTTCTGTTACTAAGGATTGAAAGAAAAAAACAATTGTAAGGCAAAGCTGTGATGATGCTCAGTGTCAAAGAGTGCCTGTTTATAGCAACTGTTGAAAAGAAAAGTAGCTTTTGAAATAATGAAATGAAATTTATGCTTGTTTACATTTTTCAGTTCCTTGGAAATTTGTAAATGTTAATAAATTAGTGTTACTAATTCGAGTTTCTTTTATACTTTTCCTTTGCAAATATTAAGGTTACAGTCTCATATGCTTGAAGTGACATGCCCATCTAAGAGTAAATAGTGAGTATTCAGGCTGAAATTTAAGTATATAAAGTTATATATATATAATGCTGCAAAAAATCATTGTTTGAATATTAAAAAGAATACTTCCAAAGTGCTTGTATTGAAATAAATATCGGTAGTAAATTGCAAACTTACACATGCACGAAAAACATTGCTAAAGGATAAAATTCCTACTTAAAATAGCAGAATAATATTTTGTTTTGGAACATTTTATTCTGTTTTGTGCAATATTCATATGTGTGCTTAATAACAGAGGCCATTCTATGTAACAATTCTTGGGGAAAATTGACCATAGATTATGGAACCCCTATATAATTTTAATGTTGATAAAACATAAGATATAGCTTTATACCCTTTAAAAATAAACTTCAAATAATTGTTCAATTTATAAAAAAAGGATTGGGGTAGTCTTTACATTCTATCCTAAACATTTTGTGAATATCAATTATTGTTCAATACTTATTAAAATATCAATCATTTTGAAATGTATAAGCTGAATTATCTCAACTCGACAGTGACAAAATGAGGATAATTTGCTTTAATTTAACTGATGCAGTAATATAGCGTTTCGTATCATTGACAGTCGTGAAAAGAAAAACAAATTTTTCCTGTACATCTTTGTGTTTCTTTTACCTTTCTTTTATTAAATGGGTAATTTTTGTTTTATGGCAATCTTATTTAGAAGAGAGGCTGGATTTGTACAATTTTCATTGATCAAAATAACCAAATGTAAATGGAAACAAAACATCGCTAAAAGACCACGTGGTTTTCAATATTTTTTCTTTAAAATGTCTTTAAAGCATTTGAACTTGACCCAATTTGGACGTTAGCTCACTTCTGAAAGTTGGTTTTTGAGAACCCAAAGCCATGATCTTACAAAAATATGACATACATTGGTTAATAAATAAATCTTAAAAAAGCAAAAGGATTGAAAAGTATTCAAAATTAAAAAAATGATTTAAAATTTGAAAGTAAGATTGTTAGGCATTTAATTGCACTTGCACTGTTTCTCACTGGTCTTTTTTAAGGGTGAAATTTTTTAATAAAACTTCCTCAAATACTCCGCGAGTTTTTCTAATGGATAAGCTTTTTAATATTATTTTTTTCCCAAAAAGGCGTAGTTGCTGCAATATGATAAATTTTAATTTCCCATTTTCCCGCCGAAAAAAAGTTTCTAGTTTTTGTAACTTACTATTATGAGTTTCCCAATAGAAGTGACCATGAGACAGATGCCGCATTTGATTGGACACCTTAAAATTTTGCGAATATTTCCAGATAAATTAGGCCAAATTGCCCTGGTTTAAATTCAGAGATTGGGGGGGTGGGGGAGGGAGTCTACTCCACAACAACGACATACTCTAACGACAAGACCTAGCTTGAAGTCGAAACATTTTGACCAAAATAAATCGTTTTTTTTACCCCGAGACTCGGTGTTAGGGTCTTCACCACGCAGACGTTATAAAACTCTTCGCCCACAAGATAGCTCGAAATCGAAACATTTTGACGTACTTTTTTTTAGCTTAACTTTTGGGGCAGCCCTTATAATTACTAGTTATGAATATTTCTACTAAAAAGTTTTTTCACAATTTGACGAAGCGGAAAGAATTGCATTGTGATCTCTGAATAGATAAAAAACACTATTCTTTAAAGATCAGTTGCGTTAGTGTAAATTCTTATCTAAGGTCATGAAACATGTATTTTAAAGTTATTTAACATATTGTATAGAATAATTTTTGGTGAACAATATTAACAGTATGGTAGCACGGTTTTTACTGATTGTCACATTGTTTGTGTCTACGATTGCTCAGAATCAGCAAGGAACCACCGTGAAACCTGTACGTTAGCTATAATTTCTGAACGAACTAGCCCAAGGTCACATCAGGGGGGGCGGCGGTGCAAGGCAAAAGTTGCCCAATATAAAGAAAACTACGACCTGTTGTAAGAAAATCTGTTCAGCTAAAGGTATGCTTTGTTTTCGTTTGCTTAGTTTTTATGAATAAGAAATTATTTTTCAAAAAATGTTTTATTTTCTAGCTTCATGAGAAGCAAATGTAAAGCTATTGGGAAAAAAAAAATTAAACTTTTTAAAAGAAACAATGGATTGATGCCTCGCCTAAGTATTGGATACATATATTTGAATGAAGATTTTTACATCATTCAGAGTGCCTTTTACCATTAACTTCAAAGTTAAAAAACTGGGTTCAAGGGCTGATATTTCCTGAAATGAAGGATACTTTTTATAAAAAACAAGATTTGTATATGTTAGAGTTTAGATAGTCTAAAAAGTTTTGACCCTGGCTTTAGCAAGGTAAACAGTCTGGGACCAAAAGGTTGTTTTACTTTAACTGATTTAAAAAAAAAAAAGTTTGATCAAAAGTGTTGGCGAAAAAACGGGTTTTCAATGAGGTGTTTATTTGAAAAATTTAGATGTTTACAAAATCGGGGTACGCTTCCCTTTTTTTCCCCCGGACCATGTTTTTAAAAAGTTGAAATAATGGGCACCTTTTTTTGGGCCCCGTCTAAGAAACGAATCATTTATTTTGAAATACACACAAAATTCTTTAAATTGGGTAATGAAAATTTGTATTGATATACGATAAATGTCACAAATTTTTCGCGGTATAAAAATATATTTTAATTCATGTTATTTTTAACATAACCCAAAATTTTACCCAAAAGGGGATTATGATAAAAAAAATGTAGGTATCACGCTAATTTTAAAAAAGTTTGTCTACTAGA